GTCTCCTTTAGAGCGGACTGAGAAAGACTAGTCGCGTGCTTGGCTAAACGAGCTTCCTGACTGTGAGAGACTCCATTATCTATTACCTGATCAGGTTACGGACTACAATTCGACGACAATTAACCCTTAACAATAATGAGTATAAATTCGTGATGAAATATGTAACAGGGTCAGAATGCAAATGCATTGTGGTATACTGGGTGTCCGGTGGAAATGCTACGAAATCGGACAGGCTTGACAGGTGTCATGCCGTCACTTTGTAATACTTCATAACCAACAGTGTACTGGGTCTAACAGTGTCCATTGGCAAATTGTGGAAATTGAGATGTGCGCATTAACGAATGGACATTACATAGTGGTACATCATTGAGAGATGGTTGATTGAATGTAGAATAAAAAAATATTTTCTATGCATTCCGCAAGTGCGAGAGAGACAAACTTATGTGTATACAGTTAAGTTAGACGGAGACAGGCATATAGGACGGAAAATTGGCTGAGCTCTGGCTGGAACTATAAATTTCCACAGGTCCGAGCTCAAAAGCGAACCAAATTCTGAATCCTCATGGAGCCATGTAACTTGGCTAATCAATTTGAAGATCTTCGCGTCTTCCAGGTCCCATTGAAAAATAAAGAATCCGTATTAAAGGAGCTTCTTGAGAGTCCTGGTGCTCCTGGCCAAAACTCCTGGACGTTGAGGTGCGCGTAATTCGAGGAGGGCGTCGGTGCAGCTGTTGGTGGTCGTTTCGTGTTTTCGGGACCCGGGACACGCGCCATGGGCCCTACCACGAGGGGGCCCTTTTGCGGTCTCCAAGACACTCGCGTCCCTTCTCTACTTCGTCTGTTCCTCGATGGCGTTCGTTGGGCGCAGTGGCGTGGCGAGGGTGGTTCCTTGAGGGTAGATCAAGGGCCGAAGGGACAGGGCTGAGGTAGAGACCCTCCAGAATGTTGAGAAGCATGTTGGTATACATACCTAGAAATAACCGCTACGTAATATATAGGTATACATTATACACGTATAGACTACAGACAAGTGTGTTACCATCCTGTCGCCAGCCCTACGCAACCCTTAGCACGCAGCAATCCTCCCTTCTCTGAATCGTAGGTGTGCGTAACCCACGAGAGGGTCAGGTAGGACACACCTTGAGGTTTCAGGACGTTGTCTGATCCTAGGGGGAGACCTCGGTCTGCACACCTTAATGGGAAACACGTCATCCTGGGTGAGTACGTGCCTGCGTAGGTTACGGATCCTGGAATGCCTACGTCATTGCATCCAACCAATTGTGTTATATAAATTTCCATGAAACTCTTCAGTAATTTATTACCGCTATACTTTGGCAACAGCTCATTCTTATATAGCCGTATTTACTAAATTATACGTGCAATCGTTAACACGCTGCCTTCTACTGGACGCACGTCTGTCAGTGTCGACTCGGAGGATACCTGAAAGCAGAAGTACACGGGAATCAAGGGTTGGAATAAAAGTGGGCTAAGGAAAAAAAAAAAAATAAAGAGAGGGATCATTACCCAGGGCACGAGACACACTCGAATTTCTCTCTATAATTTGGCCATTCCGAAGCATTATAAACGATACGGGCTTATACATCCCTTCTGTGTGTGTGTATATATATATATATATATATATATATATATATATATATATATATATATATATATATATATATATATATATATATATATATATATATATATATATATATATATATATATATCTGGGCTTCTGGGGTACTTCCTTTCTCCTACTCCAGAGAACGTTTTCCTTTTTTATTTTTAGGGGAACACAATGACTATAGTAGCAGCTGCCCTCGTGACACGCGCCACCACCGTATGCAGCTTGTGTCCTATGGGTGTTGTACCTTTCTATCCTACCCTGCCTTTACGTAGCTACCCTCTCGCTCACTCTGTCCTTATTCGAGTATGTGGAACTATTCGTGTTGCCTTACCTCTCCATGCTTGGACTGCCACCATACAAACCCCATGAGGAACGTACGGTTCAAGTGGAAAGAACCGGAGGGTTTGATTGGGATGACTGAATCCGAATTGTATGAAATCGTTGGGCTGTACTAAACTACCCCCATAAGTCGGCACGCACTTATACCTACGACTTACGGGGACGCAACCTGGTCCCAATGTACATTCTGCGACAGCGTAACTCCAATGTTTTTCTAGAAAAAGAAAAAAAAGTGTTCGTGTTAAATGCACGTGGTAAAAATAACAAAAGAATCCTCCTTATAATTTCGACAGATGATACCGTGAAAAAAGAATGACTTATCCAGGTATCCAATTACACCGTAGATAATACCACGGTGGGTATCCTCGTTACGAATGGACCATTCTCTGATCTCACAATCGGGTATACCGCGTAACCCATAAGCCAACGTAACAGAGGCCAAGGAGGGAGAGAGACGAATGATGCAAGCAAGGTGGGAATAAAGGATGAAAAAAAAAAGAAGCAAGAAGCGTCTTAATGAAGACTTAAAGGATGGACGGAGGATCGAATCTCGCGATCTCGGCCCCACCGAATCAACGACCTGTGAAGAGCTGTCGGGCCACCGGCCGACCTGGTGGAACGAGTACGGGGAATACTGGGAAGGGATAAGGATTTGGGGAGGGGAACGAGGAGTCTTACAGCCTCAGGACGCACTCCTCTTCGTGCCTTATAGATCTTGAAAAGGGACGGTCAAGGGCCGAGAGGAAGATGAGGAAGGAGCCGTGCAAAAACCTACTGGAGGAAACCTACCGGGCCAGTCGTGACTAACCTGAAAGACCTGGAGGATTCAGAAACCTATCTTCTAGGGCTCAGGGCCCTTTCAATGATTATACGGCTGCTAATGGACCAGTGGAGAATCTATCAAGATTCACAATGATTCCCGGCTTATTTCTTTTTCTCCTCTTTACTCCTTTCTATAGCACGAACCACTGTATAATACTCACTATTCTTCCTCTTGTGTTTATGTATGTATGTATGCCAGATGGGTAGCTGCCATATGTATACTCATTACACGTGGCCAGATATGTATGTCGTGTTGTACTCGTGGCCGGAGCGCAAGTCGCGCGTCAAAGCGAAATCTGAATAATGGCGGCCATTAAAGCGGCGACGAATCGTAGCAAGAATAATAGCGACGTCCCTGAAATGAACACCATTAGACGCGCGAGGTATAATATATGACAGCGGCCAGTGCCACTCCTTGTGCTACCGGTCAAGCGACATTATGTTGGCTAGATGCGTCCCAGGATAAGATTACTCGACGACACCGGACACTCGTGAAAACCGAGCATAACCTATAAGGTCTGTATTAGAGAGAGAATTGCGGCGAGCTCTGGTAAACGTCATTGCCGTTACAATAACGTTCGAACGACTGTCAATAGGAAATTGATGTAAGAAAATTCATTGGTTAAGTCAAGTACGAAGGAACAGATGGGACGAGAGGTTACGCCGTTTCTTCGAGAAAATTATCGAGCGGGTTATAACCTCTCATCCAGCACGGACTCACCTCTTTAAACTTTTTCCCTCTACTCTTTCCTCGTTCTCCCTTCTTCTCGTTCTCCTCCTCCTCCAACGAGACTTGGCCCCCGGCCACGGACTTCTACCGGCGTGACAAATGAGTCAATATTTTGAGCAGCAGTGGCCTCTAGTCGCGCCGAGAATTCCTCACGTACTCGCTCACTCGCTAGGTATCTCTACGTACTCGATGAGTAGTACGTCTATGCACATACGTAGCTATAAACTATTCCGAGTGCGTATGACCTCGCTCGCGCACCCACGGATTCCACTTATAGTCGACACAATCCATCCAGGCATCCCTGCGTCGAGCGATCCATCGATCAATCGATATAAATTTCACTAATATTCGATAGTCTTGTATTTAACCTTGTCAGTTGAATCTAGAAGTCCGTTAAACAGTTTGAACTCCCTGAACGATAAATTCGAGTATCCATTGACAGCTGTAAACAATGGCGGACACTAGTTTTAACTGACGACCGTTTAAGCAGGTCGTGACTTGTATCTATGATATTTCCCATCGACAGGAATTACAAAGAGATAAGGATAAAAGTAAACGTGTTAGTTGTAGGCACGGAAACGCGCACGATCCTTGCTATATTTTTTCGATAGAAACGGAAAGATATTTCGGGCGTGCTTAGCAGCGGAGAGCGTAGCGGCGGCCATTACGTCTGTGTCGTCTGTGTCGTCTGTGTAGTTGCGTTCTCGGACGCTTGACAAGCGGCAAGTCATGATCGCTGTCATCGTCATTACCGGCAAGGCCGCGAGAGCGCGGGCGACGCCGATTCTCAAATCAGCCACCGGGAACGATCGATGAGGTACTCGACGATGACTTCTTGGAAGTATAACCGACGTGATTTACCAAGATGCTAAATAGAGGACGGCGTAACGCCAAGGTGGTTCAACGGGTTTTCGAGTCTCTAACATTCAACTCTCTAATTTAATAAGTTGCGGTAACCTACCTCTACGTATCTATCTTATATTCCCATACGACTGCATACTTGCACATAACCTCATTTACGAATGATGGATCCCGTCACGGATCATGCTGCGGTGTCGTCTAAAACCATTCCGGCGGGCACGTGTCATCCGTATCCCATTCATCCCCCTAGCCTCTCTAGGGAGAAACGAGAGAGAAAGGAAAAGCGTAACGCAGCAACAGTCGAGGGACTCCCGTAAGCGTCCAGAAGATGTTATCGCGGTCAGAGTCGTCGCGTGCGACAAACCGACTTACTTACAGCGCCGTATCTCAAGTGCGTCACGCGTGCGTGCATGCATGCGTGCATACATGAGAACCGTAAGTGTCGGCCGGGTGACACGATTGTCGTGGATCATTCGCACGTGAAAGAAATTAACGTTGTAAAAATTCTAAAGGCACTTACGTCACGACGGGAAGTACGGCTAAAATGCTTCTGCTACCAGTGCCATGTAATTCGCCAGTTTCCAATCGACTGTCCTCCCACCTGTTGACAGACGTAGAAACTTTCAGGTCAACTTTATAGCTCTACGTTTTCTCGCTTATCATGCACGCATTTGTACGTGTGGATGTACCGGCATGGCTAGGAATGTCACACGAGCATCAGGGATGACTAAACTGAATACAATGGAAACAGAGAGAATCCACTATTGGTTAGTACTATTGTAGCTACAGTGCGGACTGAATAATGAATGCGCCGGCAGAAGATCACGGGCCTAAGATTTGTGGATCGGGCATAATGGTTGCCCATAAGGGAAATCAGTATCAGCTGGGTAGTATACAGTGCAAGTCGGGACTCGAGCAAGCGGTAGGAACTGTTATTATCGCGTAAATTCTACTTCGAGGTAAACAGCGATGGAGGCTGACCCGTTAGGAGGATAACGGAGGAAAGAAGTTCTGCCTTGAGTTGCGAGTTCGCCCGGCCACGACTTCGTTCCAGCGGCCCGTAGGAATCTGGCCGGCCTGTTGCCGCAGCCGACGCGACCGGCGCGCTAGTTAAAACAGCAAATCGCCTTGAAGCCAGTCCTCTTTTTTTTTCTTTCATTCTTTTTCTCTCCTTTCTTTTTCTATCCCAGTTACCAGCGCGACTCGAGTAGCTACACTCGTGATCGGCCTCTACTTATACATAGTGCTGTGGCCACGGGCGTCTCCTGCGAGTTGATTAACCCGCCATGACTGCGAACGTGACGGAGGATGGGCTGTTGTACTTATTTTCATTGTGAATATATATATATATACACACATAAATGTATAGTCTACGTACAGCGGCTCTTTCTACAGTTCTGCAACGACGAGCAGCAGGGGGAAGGAGAAGAAGAGAAATAAAGAAGAGTGGACGCTTAAGCAGAAAGTCGAGGCAATTAATTAGCGTGATTAGCGATCCAGCAATGGTGAGCTCAACTGCGTCTCTCGATGCTCCATATCTCATGTTGGCTTTGCCAGGCAGAGGCAAAAGGATTTTCTCTGGTTAAAGACAAAAAAAAGGTATCGTCTGTGTCTTCTACTAATTGCAAGGACACTGATAAACTGTGTACTTTTCCTTTTTTTTTTTTTTTTTTTTTTTTTTTTTTTTTTTTTTTTTTTTTTTTTTTTTTTTTTTTTTTTTTTTTTACAGAAAATAGATAAAATTCCTTATCACTCACGTTCGTTATGGTCACTCGTTATCACCGGAGAATGTGAGTCTAGGACTTCCTAATTGATTCCGAGTAAATGGACACGTTTCTTAAGATCATCCGATACAACAATACTCAAAATATCGTTATGGGAATCCCCTTCTAGCGTTGCCATTAACAATGGCGAACGGAGACCTACAAGGCTGATCCACAATTGGGATTGGAAGGACTGACTCGTTCAGTATATACCTAACCAGGTAGGTGCATGCCTAATACACTTAATCCTGGATCCTGAGCTCGAAAGGCATTACCGATTGCAGGATGATCGGCATAGGAGCAAGAGAAGAGGAAGAAGCAGCTGCTTCGATGATGGGGACCAGATGGTTTTCTCTTCCTGTAGCAGCTAGCGGGCCAATGCTGCCAACCCCATGAACGCGACGTACGGATGGTCAGGCACAGATAGAGAGAGACGAAACGACGGTCCCAAAAGATGGGCCCGAAAGTGGGCCGTTCTCCAAACAGCCTGCCCACCTGCCCCTTCGACCGGGGCCTTTTTCGAGTAACTATACCAAACAAGTACCATAACCTTCTACCCCATGACAATACCCGGTATCCACTACCAGACCCCCATACAGCAATCCTATAGTCAATTGTACGCTAATTAATCCAACCGGTTTAGTCGTCAAACAAGCTTACCGCTCTATCCCCTCCATCATCTATGGTTTGAGACTCTATTAATGCGGCACAGGTGTATATCAATGATTATGCAGAGAGAAACCATTTAAAGAAGAGTACGTCAGATTTTTATCTTTTTAATGCTAAAAGTAATTCATCGCTTCTTATGACCGACTGTATGGTGGTTTTTCTTTTGCCATTGCCCATCGTTTTTCTCTCTCCAAATTATCCGTCTCACTCCTACTCTAGGTTCTCCTGCAGGGACGGAGGCTATCCCAGTGTATTGGCATGTTGAAACGCGGGGCGTTCGGAGCGCCGGCAACCCAGGGTATTGATTTACAATGCTTACTCCATTCTATAGCTGCTCCTATAACTCCAGACTCTATGCTACGGCTCCGTGAACGCCAGCACCCCTCCGTACCACGATTACTAATACAGACTTGCCACCACGACGAGGGGAAAGTACTTGAGAAATAGCCTGACGGTACGAGTGCCAAAAACTTTCTGGCTATTTAGGCCAAGGTAGTTCGGGACGGAAACCGAGGCGCGGGATTTTCAAAATATCATTTCGACGGTACAACTTTTTATAACTCATAGAACCACTTATCATACCAGGGATATGAATTTTTTTGTAAATCCATTTAATATTTATTATTTTTTTTCTCTATCGCAAAAGCGTCCCGACGCTCATACAACGCGTGGTTACACGCGGGGGGTCCTACCGGAAGTTTATTACCCGATTATCCGACTTGTAACTCATTTTACATACCCCCATAAAATTTACCTTGTCCAAGTACCTATATACTTGAGTATATATATCCTTCGACCACCTTCGACCAGCTTATCCACAACGTCTACTGGAATGGCAAAAGACCATATCACATACAGGCGCCCACTCGACGCCTCGTGCAAGCGTCCCTATGCACTTGTGTGGTCGGCATTAAATCGTCCTCCAGCAGAGCCTTAATCAATTTGAATAAATTAACGAGCGCCATTAACCAGCCAACCGAAATGCTAATCACGCAAATTGAACCGATCATTCCTTCACGTGTCTAACTATCATTATACGTTCCAGCTTTATGGGACACGTGACTGGCCACGAGGATGACGTCTCAACCAATGACACCTGTGCACCTGGATAGCCTCTATCGCGTACACGTGTATCACGTATATCAATACAAGAGTGACGTCACCAAGTCAGAAACCAATCCCGACCCCAACGAGCATTTACGAAAACGGGACCCGATGCTGACTAAGTGTCACCTGTTGAACATGTCTCCTGGGATAAACACTAAACGCAGATTCTACATGTTTTGGGTACAACTGATTTTCGCACTAGGGACATGCACTGTCACATATGCCATAGAGCTTTACATGAATTTGACACGTGCCGATACCCCCGGCATGGACGTTCTTACCTTGTCACGAGGATACAATTGGTGCGCCTTGTTAGGAACAGCGATTTCTGTGCTACTACAAAACGTGGGTATTACTCTAATGACTATACTTGGCTACGTACGGTCATGCTTTTGTTTTTTTTTTTATTTTTTCGCCTTTATTCCATTTCTATGAAACGGTTAACAGTTTTGGATTCTTCGAACGGTCGACTACCGTGATGCCTATGAGTTATGACTATGTACAGGTATACGTATTTACTTGGTTTTGACAATAAACATTGTCCTTAGTCTACGTCCAGTAAACGTCACAGGCCACGTGGCGAGCACGTGTCAAATTCCATGATTTCAAAACCATTAGCAGCTACATGTGCTTACTACAGAAACGTCAAAATGCCTTTTCCTATTATTCGATCTGTGAGTTTCCGAACGGTGGGTCAAAATTTCGTGAATTTGAATTTATTAATAAGATTTTCAAAATCTATGGAAATCACTGCTCCGCGCCACGATCGTGCTTATGTTACACTCGCGTGGCGACTGCTGGTAAATAGAAGTCGAGCAGGCTCATTAAAACCGACACAACATTCCCAGTGGCTGGAAGGATTTATTGCGATTCCGGGAAACTGTCTCCGATAAGATAGAACTGCTAGGAAACGCTCGAATAGCCATGTTAAATCAATCAAGCGATCTAGCGTAATTATTCGAAACTGACCATCGAGTGTTACTTCCCCGTACATAACCCCACGTCATACTACATATACTTAGTGCCATTAACGTCGCCGCCATAGAAACACTCAAGCTCACCGGCCTGGTACCGCTGCTTGGATCACGTTCAAGAAATCCTATACCATACCAGGGATCTATAGATCCCCAATCGCACAGCCTGATTCGTGATAATTCTTACGTTCGCTTAACGGGGGTGCATTGTCGCGCGCAACACCGAATTAAAGGGGTTTGCTAGAGGGCAAGGGGTTGCTGCGAGGCCACGCCCCTCCCCCTCCCGTTCACCCCCTCGAACTCACCTCGACTACGTGTACCAAAAAATCCAAGTTTTACGATGGCCTATGACCTCCGACCAGAAGTCCCTCGGACCTCGGCTCTGCCGGCGTGGCACCCGGCTCTTTGGCCATTTTGCTTCTGGCTAGCCGTCAAGATGGCTGGCCAATGTATATTTAAGGGTCTTGGGCTGGGTACTGTTAATCGCTACCTTTATTAAGAATGTAAATATCAATTGACACCGTTAACAATTAGGACTTGAAATCTTATACCCGACAACACATCAGCCCATTCCCATAACTCTTGTGCGCTTCAATTTATTTGGTATTGACCATTCATGACACATAAGTACTATTTGATTTTACCGGTAATCGTAATTGCTAATGGCGGACGAGTTATGCTAATTTTATGTCTACACTCTGTTCACGATACTTATCTCTCTATGTATATAGGTATGTGTGTCTGACGATTATGAATATTCATAATGGTTACTGTATTACATAACCGATCGCCCTCGAGTTCGCCAAGCCTTAAGATAACCTCCGTGAAACGTTGCTAAAATGCTGAAAATAATCAGCGGTACGTAAATAACGATCTGGATCCAGAGATAGGAACTGGAGCTGTGCGAACCTTGACCGTTTACGTATGTAGATTGTATATATATATATAGAGAGATACGTATACACTTGTCACCGTATACGCTTATAAATAAGTAAGCTAGACGTACATATGACACATATAAGACCACTCGCTGCGGCTGGAAGTAAAAAGAGAGCAGACAGTCGATGCAGAATTCGAAGGGGCACTTTTCTGTAATCGGAGGTCGCCGATCGATCGAGCCACGTAGAGAAACGATAATGCCGTCGCGACGCCTTTCGACGCCAGCTTTCCAAGTAGTACCCTGGTAGACTGTTTCCTGTCGTCGGTGAAAGGGACGCCAGGGGAGAGGGGACGACGACGCTTCCACCGGCGCTCGCCATCTTTACGCTTGCCGTGCTATAGGCGCCTTTTTGCGTTACGTCCGTTGTGCATTCACCTTTATGCCTGGGTTTCTCCGTCGACTGTCGCTTTTCTTTTTTTCACTGTAATAATGAATCCTGTCGATGCTCGATGACGCCATTCACTGGGGATGCTTCGGATGGACCAAAATTCCTCTCCGGTGTGAATCTGCAAATATATTTGAATTAGGGACTTTTTTTTTCGTTATTACCCCATTTTGACCCCCCCCTGATCTTATCTTTTTTTTTCTTCTTCTCTTTTTGTCTTGTTACGATCTTCCTTGGCGACGCGTCCTTTCCACGGGAGGTTCGTCGTCGTGGAAGCGACGCTCGAGCGAGCGACAAGAGCGGAAGTTGAGAATGTGGGGCGGTGATGGGCCACTTCCGGTGGTCCCTGTACACTCGGCAGTCGGTCGGCGAACCGCAGACAGACGGTCTGTCTCATCATTTTATTAAGCGTCGGCATGAAGGTACGCCCTGACAGACGGATGTCTAAACAGGATAGACCCAAGTATTTCTGGGAGGATGATAACCCACTGGTCCAAGTCAATCTGTAACTGATACTTAAGACGTCATCTCCAGAAGGACTTGATTAGCCCTGCTCGCCCGAAGATGGACATGAGAATCGTTTCGCAATTCCTAAACAGACTTTGGTGTACTTGTTGAATTCCGGTAACAATTTTCCCAAGGGTCAATGAACTTTTATTATACGGAAATACTCGAACGGACAAATATACTCACAAAGATTAAGGGACGGGACTTCAGGACGAAGGATACTCGTTGACAGTAACGTTGGATCATCTTCGCCTATATGTATGTATATATAATTTTCATTAAATTATCAATTAAAAATAATTACCTAATCTTGGGCCAATTCAATTATTAATATTACTAATCATCATTATTGATATTATTTTTTTTATAGTATTTACAAAAATATGCAACTTTTCTAATTAGACTCGTATGGTATCCTTATGATGATCGGCTGCCACGAGGGTGTTAATTTTGTAGATTGGCCCAGACGAATTCTACTTCCTCTTCTTTATCTCGTTTAAAGAGTTTGCATTCTCCTTTTGCTCTCTTGAGATAAACCCAGGTACCAGGTGCGGATCCTGACTCTGGTCTTGGCGATATAATAAATTCATCTGAATCTGAAACTCTCTCGTAGCCGTTTGCGTGTCGGGAGCACGACTCGCGTATATTCGTATCGCGAGTCTGTTACGAAACAAACCACGTAACACTGATTGGCACCGTTCTCGCTGGTTACTTCAGCCGTAGCGCAGAGTCTCCGACGTTAACCAGTAGTTTCCTCAAAGTTCCGAATGATAGTGAACCTGTATAATAAAAAAAAAAGAATTATTCAAAATATAATTTACGACCAAAAAATAAAATCAAGATCTCGATTACTCGCATTCAGTTCGATATAATATCGAATCTCGAGCCAATCGTACAGCAGTACAACCGAAGCCAACTTCACGTACCTAACCATAAATTGATCAGACCCATCCACGCGAATGGGCAGTGGCCAAAATTTTCAAAAAAAAATAGTTGACCTAACCTCAAAGCGACGCTCACCGTCCAATCGAATGAACAATAAATTTTTGTTTTTCCAAAATTTTCCAAAATTTTTTACCATCGTCCTTCCCGTTAGCAATAGATTTTCAAAAATGTGAATCCTCAACCATGCCAAAAGTATATGTCTTAAATAAGTATAGCCAACATAACCTCTAAGCCACGTTCTCAAGGATACTCCCGATGTCTCGGAAGCGCTCGACCCGTAAGTATAGGCTGTATCGAGTAATAACGATAAGTGGCGGCCACGGCGGATTTGGTTGAGGGGCCGGTTTCGAATAGCGCGCGAGATACGATGCTTAATAAAATCTTCGCGTCGGAATCCACTTTGGTCCGCGGGTATATATGTATATCGCGCGGCGTGCATCGCGCCCAGCGGGTCTCATCGCACGCGGTGAAAGCCACGGAGTGGGGGAGAGACAGAGAGAAAGGCCTCCGAACGAGAGGAGCGGCTGCACGTCTCAAGAGAGAGAGAGAGAGAGAGAGAGAGAGCCAGTAGGCTGCGTATGATGCCAACATCCAGTAGACTGCATGAGGTGTCTCTTTGAGAGGAGCGGCTGCACGTCTCAAGGCGGCGTGCATCGCGCCCAGCGGGTCTCATCGCACGCGGTGAAAGCCACGGAGTGGGGGAGAGACAGAGAGAAAGGCCTCCGAACGAGAGGAGCGGCTGCACGTCTCAAGAGAGAGAGAGAGAGAGAGAGAGAGAGCCAGTAGGCTGCGTATGATGCCAACATCCAGTAGACTGCATGAGGTGTCTCTTTCTCTCTCTCTCTCTGTCTCTATACATATATATATATATATAAGACAGTCTCGCTCACGAAACGGACCGACGGAGCCCGAAGAGACTCTCGGTAAGTTGGTAGACACCTATACAGACAACCATCACGCTTGCAAGGCGACTGGAGCACGGCCAGAGAAAGAGTTGGCAAGGGGCAAAGTACTGCGGAGGAGCGAGAGGCATTGCCAATGAGAGAGAGAGAGGGAGAGAGATAGAGTGCATAGGTACAGAGAGAACGTAACGCTGGCAAGAGAACCCGAAGGCCTCTTGCTGCTCTTGCTACTCCCGCGACTCTGTTTTTCACACGGTTATATTACTATATATATTTGTACAGTACATATATATACATACATACAGGACTACACGGTACCTATAAAAAGCTCATACACGGAGCAGCATACCTTTATTTTTTGGTATAAAATTTTTTTCTCAAAATTTCTGCACAACCGACACACCCGGTATACACATTGACGTATCTACGTTTATACATTTTCTGACCTCAACAGTCACGTGGCCTGATGGTTAACAGCGACGCATATAGTAAGTGCTGATTTGTAGCCGGATACTATCAGGATAACACATTCGGAGTACAGAAGTGCTATTGCAAGAGGAGCGTCTTCGGCTGACGGTCTTTACGCTTGGTTTGTACGCCGATTTTATCCCTTCTCTCTGTCCCACTGGCTCTCGTCTCTCTCTCCCTCTCTCTCTCACTCTCCCTTCCAGAATCGTTCAGTCGCGTAACCATGGTTATGGAAGCACCTAAAGGGTCCGTAAGGGTAGCCAGGGGGGTAGTGGGTGCAGGAGGGGCTGGGAGGTAGGGGGTGGGTGGCGAATAATTTGTAATCTCGGAATAAGTCCGGGAGAGGGTGACAAGGGAAGAGGGGTGGAGAGGGGCCTGGATGTGGGGTCCGAGGGTACAGGGTGTAGACGGTCAACCCGTTTACAAGGGAGAGAGAACCGAAGAGAGAACCCAGGAGAACCCAAGATAACCCAAGAGAAGAACGTTGTCAGTAGCACTCCCTGTAGAAAACGTACGTCGAGCGTCGACGGATCGATAGACGCTCCTATGGAGTTGGGGTGGTCGAGGACTGTGTGCGCGGGTGGACGCAGGGGGGCGCAGGGGGACGCCTCGGGGGTGTTACCATGGAGACGAGAATTACTATCGGGGGTACAAGGTATATAGAGGCGCACTCCTGTGTCTCTATGTAGGCGAAACGAAGTTGAATTTTGTAACGGCGCTCCTGGATGCTTCAGGTTCATCCTCTTCGTCGGCTACCGGCTGGACCTGAAAACCGGAAGCGATGGGCTTTTACCATTAGGAAGCACGGAGGGAGGGTTGAGCTTGCTCGGAATACCTTCTGTGTCTTCTGGGTCCTCTGCACCTTCCTCTCGCTGTCGATTGGACTTACGATGACCTTTGACCCTTTGGTACTGGAGGGATGCTGCACGCTTCATTTTGGAGATTAGACTTTTTCGGTGGATTCTTTTTCTTTTTTGACAATCCGGTCACGTGGGCTGATCTGCATTTTTGACATCTGGTACCGCTTGTGGTACCAAAATGGCTACTCTTTGTTGGACTTCCTGTAGGGGTTAATTGACTGGCGATTAACGTGAGGCTTTCCTTTGGTTAGGTTTTTTAGGGTTGGGACGTTTTTTTTTTTTGGTTTTAATATGGTCCAATTTGGTTTGGTGGATTAGAAAATTTTTTTATAGAACGAAAATAAGGTTTTTGCATATACAGTCTGTATGGAAATTGATGTCGAGTGTGGTTGTTACTAGGAGTAGGAAATACTTGCTCGTGGAAAGTTCCGCTCGCTCCTGGCTGGACTCCGGTCTGCGCCGACTCTGTTGTGGAATCCGAGCCGCACCTTGGGCTACCAAATACCACCATTTTATATCTTGGCTTCCAATTGCGATAGAGCCTTCATTCTTTTTGTGGTCGATTCTAAACAATTTCGCCGTTTTAACTTTTTTTTTTCGTCACGTTATCACCAGTCGTTCACGAGTTACGGACGATTTCTGATAACGCCTATCGGCCTCGGAGCTCATTCGGGATTTGCTTGTATTTTCGAAAACGGCCAATCTGGAAAATAAATATTTACGAATTTGAGCATGACACAGTCTTCCGCATCGGATGGCCATTAAGGATTTCCCTTAAATCAGTTAATTACCCACTTTTTCGATATGCCATTTCTGACAGACCCGCCTCTGCTACGCACTCGACGAAATGTACATATTTTTGGAAAAAATTGTATAAAATAACAATAGCATTGTTCAATAACCCAATTTCAGGTTACTCTCCACATATTTTTTTTTTGATTAAATTCAAAAAAACAGGCAATCGTAAATCGCGGGTTGGGCCTAGTACCACCCGGGACATTTATACGCGATATTTCAAAAATTGAGTAAAATAATGAAATTTGGCTACCGTCAGAATGAAGCACGGCCCTCGGCAATGTTTCCTTCGTAAATGTCTGCCTTTCAAAAGTAACGAGTATACCTAAAAACCCCGAATTACCAAATGCGCGCGTCATACTGCCTTAGCCCGTCACGAGTGGTTGCTGGATAAAACTAAGAGACGTCAAATTTGACAGACACGTGCGAAATGGGAATGTTTATTTTCCTCGGTATACTTCAAAATAAAAACATCAACACGTGTCACATACACGAAGTCCCCAAAAGCGTGATCTTCGGTCGGCGTGACGCGCTAAGGTACGAACAAGTTCCGTGGGGGAAGCTGGGGGACCTGCCACGGTACAAAATGGTAGGACCCAACCAGGCCGGCCCAAACAGGAGCAACAAGTCCCAGGAGAGGCCCCCGTAGACCTACAGGCTCTTTCAAGAACGACCGCGACGCTCGCCTGGACTCTCGTAAGAGCTCCACGTAATTTCAGGACCAAGCACTTCTTCCAAGTGCGTTCCGCAAAACGATGACACCGTACCGACCATCCTTAAAGCGGGTTTCCATTGAACGAATATCGCTAAAAGTCAACAGACGCGTATGCAGGTACGGCTGCTCCAGGCAAATGACGTAGTCCCTCGACGAGTCCATAACCTCAAAAAGTCGCGGCCGATATCGCGCACTGTATACAGTGGTCGCTGCGTTGATAAGAAAAAGTCGTCGGGCGTCCCACGCGAAAATTTCTCAAGGCGAGTATGCATCGAACGCCGCGAACGAGATGCGCACCCGAAAGTATAGATTCTGACCGGTCAAAAAATACCTAATACCAACCGCGTAGGAACGGGAGGCTGTAGTTATTAATATTTTTTAAAAAATGTTAAAGGCGAATTCACATCGAGGAAAAAGAGAAGCGATCAGAAAGGAGAGCCATCGGTGGAAACGAGAAGACCCATGGCTCCGTGCGACAGTAGCGACATCTGGAATGCCGAGAGCAAACAGTTGGCGCTCGGTACGTCGCAACGCGTCTCTAACGTATTGTAGTCGGTGTATCGTGTGGTATATATGTATCGCCTGCGGGACTTTAATAGCGACTTGTGTACTGGGCCTGTATACCAGGCCCGACGGACTGCGGATAAGATTACGCGTCCGCGACATCATGGTGGAGTTTTCGCCGAACGAAATCCGGCCGGTCTGGCCCCGCTGGGAACTACGGTCGCGAGTCCAAGTACGTATGTAGAATCAGGGAACTGAATAAGCAGGCCACGTCTGCTGCTTCCGTAAGTTCATGTATGTCAAATTATTAATGTGTACAGCTGGAGGTGCGTGACGTCTCTGTTTCTGTATCGTCCACCTATAAGACGAGTTTACGTGATAACGTGGCTGATAACGCGACACGCGCGCTCGCATGCGCGTTCAATCTTTTTTAGCAGTTTGTCGCTGTGCAGAAACTACGGGGAATTCAGGAGAGAGTTGGGAAGGCTGGGCGAGACTATGGAGAGACCGGGAGAGACTATGGATAGACTAGGAGAGAGTTGGAGAGACCGGGAGAGACTCTGGAGAGAAAACGTAGAGAGGCTAGAGAATTCATGAAATCAAGTTGGCAACTATTTGTATAGAAATAATAAACTCAAATGCCTTCCTGTTGTTGTGACTTCCTTTGAGAAAATATTAATATACCTTTGGGAGAGTCCACAATTTGATGAAAGATCACATCGATCCGGGCGACCACTCGAGTGACACGCTGGGAACTCTCCCAGCGGTCGGTGGGGTTTAATTTCTCTTTGAATTATATATTTCTCTAGTGTTTCGGTCGTATCCGTAAAGTAAATGATACTTTTGAGAAAAGGGCAAGAGGAAAATGGAATTCTAAAAAAAAATATCACAGGAAAGACTAAATATATAGAATTTAGATTTTACCTAATTTCCAATATTTACGTAATACACGAGTCAGTTTACATAAAACACGATTGCATCGCCGTGTTTTGAATTTTTTAAAAATGGCAAAAATTTATTTAGAAAATTTCAATAAAAAAATCCTATAGCTCGGTAATCGATTGCGCAATTTTTCTTAATTCGATTGATCGTTCTACGCAACGTCATCGTACAAGCGGTAGAAACGTCGATTGTAATACGGACCTCCTCCCGTGAGAAAACCCATAAAATAATAAAGGGTTATTCCCATCGAACCAAAAAATGTTCTCGTTAGCGTGACGAAGTTAACCTTCTGTTATCCCACGATCAATGGCGATAACCGGGCGTTGTCTCTTCGGCAAACCGGTCAGGTTTCTCCGGCTGGATTAAAATCGAGATCGATCTTTTGCTCTTATAGTTACAGAGTCCTTCGCTTGTTGAATAATACAGAATCGATATAATATCGATAAACGAGTACAGAAGCTGAATCGATTGTCGAAATAAGTTCAAATTCCGTGTAACACGTTGCAGAAGCATTTACACGGTGCGACGAGAAAATGCGGAAAACATAACGTAAATTTTCAAAAAAGTTGAATTTTGAAATTTGAATTTTCAAAAAAAAATTGTTCAAAATTCATTACTACACTTTCATTAATCCCATTGGTATCAATGGTTTAAGAAATTTAATTTAAAAACGCTTCTATAGGGGTTTACAAAGTTTTTTTGCTTCATGAAAACCGTAATTATTCACTTTTAACCTAAAACCACTGATATAGCTTCCGGCGTAGAAAGAAAGTGGAAAAAATCACGTAAAACACATGAATTCGAATGATTTCTATGTAGCCAAGACGCAAACCTATTTCGATCGATTACGCAACACCCGTAAAGAAAAGATCAATAAGAGCCATATAAATGATCATGACAAATGGTCTAGAATGATATAGAAAAAGTTTCATGAAAAAATGTCAAACCGTTCCTGAGATATTAAATGGCGGTTTTTGCCAGGCCACGGTGCGGCTTAGATTCGAGTATCAGCAGCCAGTGAGCCAAGAGCGAACCGGCCGAGCCAGTTCGCTCCTCCTTCGACCACGTTTAAACCATAGAAACCATAGGAGTACAGCGATAACCCATTGAAAGAATATTCCCTCAACATGCTCCCATAATCTTATAATTATTGCAAAAAATAAATACCATGATATCCAACGTTTGTCATCTGTCAACTAGCATGGCTCTCGTACTGTTTTCCGCGGCCGAATCACATACGGCCTCATACGGTCTTCACACTGCAGTTCCGACTGTCCAATAGCGAGTGACGCATAACCCCATACACATAAGTACTAAAATATCATAAGCATACAGGATTTTCTATACGGAAGAATGAAAAGCTGTGAAAGCTTTGAAAAATAACAGACGACGCGACACGCCCTGAATACACGTAATGGACGCTCGCTATAACGACGGACTCACCGGATATTCACACTTTGCATAGATGTGCACTTGGCTTTGCACTCATGTATTATTCACTGGGAATTTGATCCTTTAACAGTCCAGTATACGATTCTTCATTGTGGCAGAGCGAATCGACGTGTGTCAATTAGAAGTTTCCGTTAAAACGTTCGAAGTTACTTGAATTTCCGCAGTGGCTCTCCCTCGCGGTAAAACTAAAAATCACTTCTCAACGCCATCTTTGACGTTTGAATAGTACCCGTGACTGCAGACGAACGGATTGACAGTTCTTTCGTGCGATCCACGGTCGTGATCATCGGTGCGATTAACCAAAGGATCCACGGTACGTAGAGAAAAGACTCTAGTGTAGTTCTTGGTGTTACGAGACGGTTTCGCAAGCGGTCGGCTAAGTTTGAGGTCATCGTATGCATTGTTGCGTGACCATTCGGATATTAAACCACCGATATGCCAGGCTATTTCGAGACGCTCGGCGTCTCGGCGCTTCTCGCTGCTCTGCGCTCTCCTCTGCTTTTCCTCTTTGCCAGTGCTTCCTCTCTGTTTCTTTATCAAGACAGATTCCTCGAGGTCCCTCTTTAGTTTCGCTTACTCGAGGATATCTCTCGCGAATTCTGAGATTCACGTGGATCTTTGATCCTTGAACAATTTCCTGGCGTCGATCGGATTGTGTCGTAACTTGCTGATCAGCCAATGTCAATGACTTTCGTCTTTTCTGTTTACAGACTTCTATCCTGTTAAATTGTCGGCTTTGGGCATTGAAGTCGTCGCTGTAAGATCATCGTTCATTGCGAATATCCTACAAGCGATCCTCCGTACAGCATCCGCATAAACTACAGTATGCACGTGATCAGCATCGTCCGTAAATCATACAAGACACCCTTGGAGCCAGTAGGAAGGTTTGGTAAGTAAGAATCAGTGAGTGAGAGTGATAATATCATAGTGACAAGTGCGAGCTGAGGAAAATTGTGAACTAGAAGTGCGCGATGGTGTTCGGGAAGTGCAATCGGCGAAGGATCGCAGTAGGATCGCGTGTAAAGGTTGATCGTGAAGCGAGCGTGGCATGGGCGTCGGTTTGGGTAGAACGTAGCCAATGGGAAATGGTCGGAGGAAGGCCATCCTCGAGGATGTCAAGCCGAATAGCGTATTCTGGACGTCGAGGTCATAGGACCCGGAGAGAGTCGCGGACTCTCTGCCGGAACAAAGAAGCGGACGGTTTCACGTAGCGCGTACCTACTACCTATACGCCATCTATATTCATTCCGTTCCATGGTTGCGCAATGCCGGCCAAAGCCGGGCGCCGGCCTGCTTTTTTTCGCTGACAGGGCCGTTGCGCCGTGTGTCCGCGGCGTCAGGTCGAGGTCTCCTCGGTGACGGCGGAGGACGGGCGGTTAAGTTAGAGAGACCGGCGACTAGGCAGTCAGGCAGTCAAAGAGTCAGGCAGACAGCAGGCTGCGTTAGTCTCTTCTGGAGTCAGTCGGGCATCCGGTGAGAAGAAGCGAGAGAGGGGGGCGACGGGGGGGTGCGAGACTGCTGTTGGGTTTTGCGTAACGATTGATTGCGCAGAGGGAAGCAGGAGGGATAATACATGGAGGGCACACGGTACCTCGTGACGATGCTGGTGGATGGATGTTCTGGCTGCGCAAAGGAAGGGAGTCCCCGACGAGAGGAGAGAGAAAAAAAGAAAAGGAGCGAGAACCTAAGGGCGAAAGGGAGAAACAGTGGGAGAGCTAGGGATTCGACCTAGGGAGCGTCATAGGGAGAGCGAACGAGGGAGTGAGAGAGCTGGGGCGACTGCGAGTGGTAGTAAAAGAGGAGAGGTAGAGTAATAAAGAGTAGGAAAGCGTCAGTGAGCGAGAGAGGTGAGAGAGCGAGGGAGAGAGAGAGAGAGAGAGAGAGAGACGAAAGAGAGCAGAGAACGAACGAACGAACGAACCGCTGCGTAGCGTGGTAGAAGCGGCATCGCTGCACAGCCGGGCCAGGATATTTCAATACCGACAGTCGGAAGAGGGGAAAACGGCGAGGTCTCCCCCATCGGGCGCCGGCAGAGCGGCCCTCGACGAGAGTCCCTCTACGTGGCTAGAAGCCCCCGAGGGCCCCCAGGCTAAGCCCCTCTTCCACGGCAATACGACACACACGGCGTCGCATGCCCGTTGCGAGGGAGCGAGCGCGAGAGTGAGAGTCGAAGTGAGAGAAACAGAGAGGGGGAAGAAAAGTGAGAGACAGAGGTAGAGAAAGAAAGAGAGAGAGAGAGAGAGAGAGAGAGAGAGAGAGAGAGAGAGAGACCGGTGGCACAGTAGCGCTTCGCTATTCGGGTTCGTATACGAAGAAGAGAGTCTCTCGAGGTGGCGATAGAGCGAGGGACGACGCTGCCCGTCGCACGGCCGTACGGCGGTGCAAAATAAGCGACGCCCATGGCCGCGAGAGAGGGAAGCCGGCGTGGGCCGTGCCAGTGTTAGATTGGTCGACGCGACCGACGGGGGCCAAATCGTTGGGGTGCCGCGTAAGCTCGACCAATGCGCTGACTCCTAGCCGTTTTTTATTAAAGTATTTATGCCAAAGGACGGAAGAACGGTCGTCTCGTCGGGAACGGAGGACACTCTTGTTTCGGGATCCGTCGAGGTTACACGCGTTTCACGTCGAGCTCTTTGCGCCCAGCGTGATCGTGCATACTGGGGCATCGTCCTCGATAAACATACGTTCTCGTAGTAGAGTGTCAAGCCTGTGGAGTTTTGAGTCTTGCGTGTCCTCGAGGTTCAGTGTTTATTGGAGTACAGTGTGTTTATCGTGCCGCCGCCACTGTCGAGGCTGCTACGCTCTGCGGTGTGACAGAACGTCGCAGGCTACAAGGAGGATACGGTGTTGCCGGATTTACGTGCTTCGTACGGTGTGCGGTGTGAACAGGCGTTCGGACGATCCGATCGATCAGTCCGGCGCGGAGACTCCCTGAGATCGTCGTCGGTGGCCCGCGGCTCCTGAGGGCCCTCGCGATATCGTCGCAACGGTGACATTTGGTGGGACTATCGACTCGACTTGGCAACGACGCTTCGGCTCACAGGGGGCTTGGGGTGGCAAGCAAGCAGGCAGGCAGGCAGGCCGGCAGCTTTCTTCTTCCGAGGACGGCGCTGCTGTTCCAATCCTCTCTCTCTCTCTCTCTCTCTTTCTCATTCAATCCTGCGCTCTCTTTTCTCCTTTCTCTCTCTTTGTCTCTACTCCCCCCCTCCCCTCCTCCGCGTCTACCCCACTTCATTCTACCTATCCCTCGTAACACACACACGCGCATCCTCTCCCACCCTGCTAAGCCATCCTCAGTCCACGTACCGTTGAGTGCTTGACGTTCTCCTCCCACCCCCCGGGGCGTCACCCCTCCTCATACTCTCCTCCTTCTCTCTACGAGCTCTCTCTCCTCCCTCCTTTGCTCTTCTCTGCGCGCGCCCCCTAACCTCCAACGGGTCGGGCGAGTCCACTGGTCGTACGAGGGGAGTCTGGCAGACCTCGGCGCTAGTCTGTCGCGGCCTGGAGAATGTGCTAGTCGGCATCGAGTAACGCGCGACTTCACCATAAGCAGCCGACACAGGGCACAAACTACAAGTTTTCTGCAGTAATTAAGCCTGAATAGGAAACTCTTTGGCGGATTATCGGACGCTGCTCCTGCTGGTCGCGTTCGCGCATCGCGCGTTCTGTTTTATCGACCTGCTACGGCGACACTCGCCCAGTGTATATCTCGGCGACGGCCATGTTTGGTGTTTACGCGAGGGGGAATCGCTGACGTCACACGGGCCGATCTCACCCGAAGGGAGCAGAAAACGTGTCGGTCGACACCGACGTCCATCCGACCATCCCGACTGGCCTATACGGTTAGGATCCCCGACGCCGCTATTATCTACGTGAAAGTCTTACTACGAGACACGGCGCACCGTTCGCGTCACGACGAGAAACTTGGTGGCACGCGCGAATCAAAACACGCGAGAGCAGAGCCCGTGGCGCACACCGGTGCCGCGTTTTATTCTCTCCCGATGGGACGTGCGTGTCCGCCGTTGTCGCCGCCACTCGTGCTCGCCGTTCGTACTACTGCCATTGCTGAAAACATCGAGCACAGCACCGCCTCGTCGCTGAAATAACCCTCCGCGCGCGCTTAACGGACCGCGAATAATCCCCTCACCCGCGACTCCCACGTCGCCAAACACTGATCGAACGATACGAAAAACATCGGCCATGTCGGCTCTCCCTCTCGAGTCGACGGCACGTGCTCCGAAATCCTACGCATAGGACATCCCGCTAAAATGATGTCTTGCTGAGAGCATCACGAGTCCTCTCGCCGGTGATTGTCATAGGTGTTTACGTGCGCCGGATACTACGGAATAACAACTGAAGCTCCGTAACATCCTTGGCACATATGAGTGCACCTAGAACAGTGTTTCATTACGTTCGCAAGAACGCGTTCCCATTGGATATATAAATAAAGTGAGTGCCAGTGGCCACCCTGGGAAGGATTTAAAATGGAGCTGGGAGACAGAGTTTACGCCGCCGAGCGGATTACGAAGAAGAGAGAAAAGCGGGTAAGTTGTTCGCGGTAACGCCGCGTGGCGGCGCTACTTCACAGAACGTGTTTGTCTATGCGCCGTTGCCGCTTTTCCTTCCCTCCTTCACGTAGTTCACTCTTTTTCCTACAGTTCTCCCCGCCATCGTACCGCACCACTCCAGAAACCTCTGGCCCTCCTCTAGTGATTTATGCCGTATACAGAGACTCGCAACTTTGCTCGTTAAGTGCCAACGGGGGAACGACTCTCCGACGTACCTGCTCTCCTAAACACCAGAAATGCATGAACCATACGTTACTCCAATTTTCCTTTCGATACGTAATTCTAGCTACTTCCAATTCCTAATCTCTATCGTACCCATCTATTGCACTTTCTTACCTTAATGTCTGTCGAAGTTGTTTACCACCAGGTCTATGAAAAATATGTACAATCAACTACCAATCCTTTGAAGTCCAAGTTTACTTGGACGTGTCTGCTTTGATGATTTCCTAGAATTTTTAAGGAATCTATTGAAGGTCATAAAAATTCATTGATTCTCAGTACAGCTGTTACGGAATTGAGAGTACATGGAGTGTCATCAGTTGTAGAATCTATGATATTATTTTCTCACAGACTAGCACTCAATGGATAAATTGTCTAAGGATCCAGTGCAATTTGCATCATCCTTGAAAGTATCCCTTGGGAAATATGGGGGAAATACGGCACCTAAGCCGGCATAATAGACGATAGCTTTTGGAAGGCGCCGTCTGAATCGTATATACGAGCCCCCGTATACTTTTGGCCAACCAGAAGGAACCGAGAGGAGCCGGCAACGTCGTAGAACCACAGTTGTAGAACACACGGCACTTTTCTCAGCTGCCGGCCCATGCCCGATAACCCACCATACCTGCACAGTTATGTCATTGTTTTCCAACTGTCACGACGTTGCGCACATCGACAGTTGGTCGGCGGCTTTTCACTCCATTCTGGCCTACAGCCAATCCTTTGCTCCCGTTAAACGCCACTACGATCCTCACCAATTTTCCTTCGCCGATACCCACGTTACCTCGCTTTATCCATTTTTCACGTACAACCAATTCTCTTGACATCCGTCCGAAACAATCCGTAACCAAAATTCAGTCGACCCTGTCGAAGGAGGTTAGGTTAGGTTTTCCGGTAGAAAGCGTCGATTATTTTTTTTCTCTCTTGGACACTGTCGACGATCGGATATTCCATCCCTATTGTCACACTTTCCTCCGTTCTCGCTACAAATACAATGCGTACAGGACGCAACGAAAATGATATCGTTGTATGAAAATATTGGTCAGTCGCAAACGTCACGTAGACCCTCGGCGACACGTAAAGAAGCTATCGACGATCTTTGATACGTGGCGACGCCATAGTCAAGGAAATGTCAGATCGAAGAAAGCATTTCTACCTCGTAGCTCCTCTCTGCGTGTACGTGCGTGTATTTTTGGCCGGCTGTCTCGCTGGCGTTGAAATCGCTATAACGTGTCTATGGCAAATCCGCCGTTACTCGTTTATCGCCAACGACTGTCCTCCTTGGAATTTTCGGGCAATGAAAAAAATCAGCTGCTATAGAAAAGAAAAGAACAAGATATTCTCTCACGGGTCATCAATGGACTTTATTTTTTACTGTATCTTTAAATATTTCCTCCCTTCCGTCTACTCCTGACGATTCTCAATAAATTCACCATTTTCACATCGCGTATGAACTTCCATACCACTGTGCTTCTCCAATCGCAGCTTGTACATTGTGATACTGGCTTTTCATATGCACAGCTATGCATATATACGTACAAGGGAGAAAATTAACAAATCGAACACGGAAATTGAACCAGGTTCTGTTTACTCGTTGCAATATCATTGTTTTCACCGCCCCGTTCCTCGCCGACCCCCCCAAACCGCGTATTACCCCAACAGTTCGACGCTTCCATTTCCGTGGCACTCTAATCCCGACAGAATAAAAAGCCCGCGCTATTCGAATATTCAAATAACTCGATTTGCATACACGTGGATATATCGCTCGCTAATGTCCCACGCGGATTGCATGTTGTTTGGATATTATCGGCACGAGAAGCAATATTACTTTGACAACCAGTTTTAAAACGCGAATTCGCCTGAATACGAAACACCAGCGGAGTCGAAGCGAAAACAATTAAATAATTTTAATCGCGATTTACCATGGAATTATTTTCTTTTAATACTCCTATAATCGAAGACACCCGTCCATCCTTTGTAAAGACGTTGTTTGGCCATACCCGCGAAATTCTACCGATTTCACAAGAGAGTGTCCCGAGGAACGGATAGTTTCGGTAAAACGTATGACCTTCGCCGGCAAACACGTAACCGGTCGTCCCTCCTGATATCCATCTGCATTATATCTATATACACTCTCGGTATTATTACCTCATAAAGATATGGCAATGGGAAGTACACGGTGGTTGTTTGCCACTGATAGAATAGGTAACTAATAATAACGCACTACCCACGCACCAGAGAGCCAGCGGTCCTGGACGATAAGCTTACCGGGATGTCTATTATCGCGATGAAGGACTCTGCGGTTTGCGATAACACAACGGCAGACTATCTAAGGGCACTTCTCTTTGTTTCAGGGCAAGGTGGAGTACTTCGTGAAGTGGAAGGGTTGGAGCAAAAAGTGAGTATCCCGCATTGCGTTGACGTTTACCAAAGTGACGGAGGACGAGTCTTCCGAGGGCTGGGTCGGGGTTGGATGACGTAAGGGCGAATTCACAACGGCGCGAATTTTCGTCGACGACACGAAGTACGTGTGAACGGGACCTTAAAGAAATGCCCGAGGCACACTACGTCGTGGGACTGGAAAAATTTTCGTGTTTCGCCTCATTGTTATCGCGACCTTTTGTTCGGCGATCGAAGCGCGAGTGTGTCTTAATTTTATATTTTTTTTTTATTTCCATAGTCGCGACGCGTCTTTAGTCGGCGACACGGGGAGTGCTCGTTTTAGGTGAATAAATTGACGTGGTAAAAAGTTTTCTCGACCGCGCGTTCGGGGGGTTTCGCGTTCGAAGATTCGTACGTCTACGTGGGTTCCGCGTGCTAATACAATGTAAAAATATCTATGCTATTTTCAGGTACAACACGTGGGAGCCCGAGGAGAATATCTTGGACGTCAGGTTGATCGAGCTTTATGAGGAGAGCCAGAGGGGCGGCGACGTGTCCACTAGGAGGCCTAGACGAAGGGATGCCCGATATAACGTAAGGGACACGTGCTGCAGGATTGGGTCTGGGGTGGCACGTTCACTTTTCTTTTTAATAAATAGAATTAGTACTTCACCAATGGTACTCATCAACTGAGTCTTGTACGTAGGAACAGGTTTTGGCCAATCTCGTGGTAGAGGAGGAACCGGGTGGAGACGAGAGGATCGCCGAGGACAGTCAGGACGAATCGACGACCGGCAGTACCTCGGCGCCACGTTTAAATCCCGTTGCCCACGACGAGGACACTCTTCCGAGCTCGTTGGACGGTCACGAGTCCCCGGTACCGGTCGAGAGATCGGCGTCGGCATTCAGCGTGGACTCCGACAGCTCCAGCAGCAGCGTGGACATTCCTCTGATGCCAAGGAGAGAACCGGCCGGGACCAAGAGGAAGGCTGAGGTACTCAGTAAAGAGTCTGGAAAGATTGGCGTGACGATCACGACCAGTAGTCCCAGCAGCGGTAGCGGAAGTCCACCTCCCAATAAGATTCCTAGGTTACTTCCGTTAAAGGGAAATCCTACGTCACCCTCGTATCACGTAAGCACGATGATCCTAGGACAAGCTGTAGCCGTACCCTCTGCTCCTTCGACGCAGCGTCTCTTGAATGCGTTTTATTATCTCGTTCCAGAGTCACAAGGTCAACGGCAGAAGGCCATCTTCGTCGAGCGTCAAATCAACTCCGGAGGAACCTCTGCCGGCTGTGCCAACGACTCCTGCGCCCGCGGTTCAAGACAAAAAGAGACCGGAAGCTGACGTGCCTCATGGTCCACCGCCGTCTTTGCCGAGGGCGCCACCGGCGCCTCTGTCACCGCAAATCGACACTCCGTTGGAACAGCCGACGAAGAAGAGACACTTGTCCGCCGAGCACAAGCAGGAGAAACAAAATGGTTCGGTGACGAGCGATACGAATGGACACAAGTCGCCAAGTCCTACGGATTCCTATACGAACAACAACAGGTTACCGAGCGTTGTCAATGGCCATCATAATCACAACAACAACAACAACAATAACAATAATAACAATACGCCGAGCGCTAAGCAAACGGAAATCACCAAACCGGAAATGTACGTCCCTCCTCTCACGAGTCCCAGTACGGATTATTGGCACGCGAGAAATCCGGTTGCCGATCAGGTATTTATTACTGACGTCACTGTCAACCTGAAGACCGTTACCATCAGGGAGTGCAAGACTGAGAAGGGATTCTTCCGGGAGAGGGATCCCAAAAGCGATATCTACTAACGTTCCACCAAGGAACCTTCGTCGTTCGAATGATACACGCGAAAATTATATATTCAAACCCATGTAAATATAAATTATTTTCCAAAACGTTCTGAACTGGTTCGGCCCGGTGTTCAATGCTCGGAACGTGAAATTTTAATTATACACTCTCGTAGAGCCACGCATGCTTCATTGATGAATAAACCTAGCTGGTACACTTTGAGGATTGACGGTGATTGAGACTGACTACAAGTTCTGCCTAATTGGGAAAAAAATGAAGTTTAAGGAAGTTCAGAAATGTGTTAAACGAATGTGAGCTACGGTTACGTGACTTTCGGTCCGGAGCCAATGTTAAATGGACGATACCCTGTACTATCGCTTAGGAAATTAAATTCCAAAGTGATACGACACCCTGTGGACTCTGCCGTGCGCTCACGAGAGACACAGACACGGATTCCGCATTTGTACATTTTAAAACGCTTCATAGAAATTAGATATGCTAAAAGATCTGAAACGATGTTAGATTGTATAATATAACCGAGTTTTTCGATGATATCGAATTTAGGAATCGTAATCGGATGTCGAATCGATTGTCAACCGGAAGTATAAGGTACTCTGGGCAGAATTCTCTAACGGGGAGAAAAGATTGTCGAATATTTTCACAATAAAAAATATTCGATAGCACCTTGTTGGTCACGTGCAACAGAAAGTCCGTCAAGTGTCACGAGAGTGCGGAAAGGTTTACTTGTTTCTGTTTTTATTTTTATTTTATTTTTTTTTTTTTAATTGGTTCCTAGATGCTCTGCTTCGCAAGCTAGAGGATCGTCATGCGGAACGAAAAATAGTTCCGTCACGTTTCCTTTGCCGCTAAACTTCAAACGTCGATTGAAGCGGCGATGAGAGAGAGAGAGAGAGAGACAGTAAAAGAAAACGGAGAACCGAACGAAGGAGACAGGGAAATAATGTCGGCCGAGGATGAATGTTTTTATTCAAAGCGCGTTGTATTTCGCAACGATGATATTATTATATTTACCGATGAATGTTGTCTTTTTTTTATATATTAGGATATAAATGAAAAAATACCAAGGAACGTATACGTGCTCTTTATCGTAGTTTTTTTTTTTTAATGTCGCAAGGGGGTTCGTTCTGTTATCAATCTTTGGCTAACGAATTTTCTAAGATCCTTCTTTATGTTTTTCGCAATTGGACACCCATTGCGTATACAAAGTTGCATGAGATCGTAGTACACGCCTGCTCGTACGCCCGTGTCTCCCTTTACGCGTACGCGACAATTTCTACGAGTATCACGTTTACGTTCCATTGTTCCGAAATATATATACGAGCTGTTCGAAATCTGTTTGACGTGGCTTTCCTCGCCGATAGCTATATGCATTTTTGTTGTTGTTCTTGTTTTCAATTCCACAATTGATTCTCCGGTTGATTTTAAGCATGATTTATCTCTCGCGGTAACGTCCAAGACGCGTTTATAGGTTTGACGAATCATAAAGACTTCTTTTCGTTTACTTTGGATACGATACCGAGTCGCGCGACGTAAGAGCGGCAATCGGTTATCCCGGAAATATGATGTCGGCGGAGCGAAGGTGAAAGAGAAAAGAAAAGAAAAGATAAAAAAACAAAGCAGTACTAGAAAACTAACAGAAATTAAAGAATGACCAAATTGTTATCTTTTACCAAGCTTAGACGCTACTCGATCGCCATTTATTTATACTACGCATAAACTCGGTGCATTTCTTATGCACATTCAGAACCAGTACATCCGTGATATAGATATATAATATACATATACATATAAAGCTGATCATATATGTTGCTTATTTATTATAATTATTAATACGATGATTTTTAGGTTTTTACATTCTTAGTATAGTATTATTAGACTACGTACACGCGATATTCCACTAAAGACGATTTTACGTAGAAACTTTTTTGTTTATTGTTTCTTTTCTTTTTAATCCAATTTACAATGCCCATTCGTTAAAGCAAGCGAAGAACCGATTAAAATGGCTGTGCGGATGTACATTTTATTTTACGTCGTGCGGCCGATCGCATTTTATTTTGATACCTGGCTAAGCGAGGGTCTATAAGAACTGGGATTAATTGATAATCATTGATCGTATTATCTTATATTATTGTACGGTACGGATTTCTCTTTGGTGGAATGATGCGTGCACAAATTAAAATGGGGTTCCTTGCAACGCATGTTGCGCCGGAACGTATAACAGACAGATTAATTGTTGTAACAATAAGGAAAAAATGATGAAATTGACACTGTACATTGACGAAGAGTCCTGTAAAAAATGTATATAAACGAGACACTCCTTGTACGTTATAGTGTAAACAAGTCGAGGAGAAGCCCAAGCGATAGTTATAAAAATCCTGAGTTATCAATTGTATATAGAAATGAAAAAGAAACAGAGGAAACCCCTTTAAGTTGTACATGTATAAGGCTGCAAAAGCAGGTGGCGACAGAGGGATAAAATTGAATGCGGATAAGGAGGAAGAGAGGAAGAGGAAGAAGACTATGAACGATCCTTCTTAGGCTTAGAATTTCGAGATAGACTGTGCGGCGTACCTTCGATATTGTTTCTGTACTTATAGACCCTCCACCTATGCGATAACAACATAAAAAGCAACAGGATGAAGATAACGCAGGCATACACGATATGTGAACCCCGGTAGCACCAAATCCAACAGTAATTTTAGTTCTGTCTGGTACAGATTCCTTATATTTCAATAAAATCATTACTTGAACTAGATCCGTCTTTATTAACCTATCAAGGATCTTGCTTACCTTTTAATTAAAGTCGTTTATTATGGCATTCAATTTAATCTACGAATTGGAAGTCAAATCACAGCTTGACTTTCGTTCGGTTTCTGAATAATTCAGCTAGGTGGCAGCACTGCTTTGGAGTCGGCGACCCGAGGATTGCCGAGAAGACACGACGGATCTGTGCTGCAAGTCGCGCTGCTTATCTAGTGAGGATTTTTCTCTGCGACAGTTGTCAGGAGTAGACAACAGTGGAAAAGGAATTTTTCCTAATTTTCTTAGCTAAAGTGAATACGGTAGTGTCTCGCTAGTGCCATATGTACTGGATCAACAACGTTCGACATGTGGGTGAAGCCGGAAGAAGTTCTGCTGGCCAATGCTCTCTGGTGAGTGTTACCAATTTCCATACTTGATTACTGTTTACATCCAATGTCAAATACAGCTGACGAAAATGATGCTTTGGTTGGATGTATTCCGATCATTTTTTGGCAGTTGCTTTGAAGAAAATTATAGAAAATTGCGTGAGGGGATTTGAACACGGTTTCGTGTTTTAAGGCGGAAAATAAATTCATTTGTCAGAATATTTATTTTGGGACACTGGAATATTGTTTCTCCTTATTCCCATCTAAATACTCTGATGGCAATAACATGTTAAGGACTCCCTTTTTGAAACGAACTGTTTTTGTATCTTATTCAACCTTTTCAATTTTTGCTGATGTTTTCCTTTCTGTTAAGTTAATGACTACTTTGCATGTATCATGTAATCTGTAATTGGAAGACAGGATAAGCATATGAAGGTCATTTGAAAACTTGTAGGTTACTCTTACATGAAATCTTTCTGTTGTTACGAAACTACTCCTTGTTCTGGAATCTGGTGATACAGGAATATCTCTGTGTTATAAATGTATACTTAAAATGCAATAATAATAACGTATATACCAAGTATAACATATTTATTCATATTTGAAATATGCAAATGAATACTTTGTACAGTATACTTTGCTGTCAAAAGAAGACTGTGTGATAGTTTCATTATTAATTCAACAAGATATGGATAAAAAATTCATATTGTGTCCTGCCATAATAATCTTGCTCGTTTATTTTGTAAAAAACTGATAAACCTTGCTTGGATAATCAAGAAGGAGGGCTTCTTATCTTTGATAACTCATCAACGTTCCATTGTACAAAATATCCATTCTATCATATAAAATATGATCGAGTCCCTTGTTATGTCATTGGAAATTTGAATAGTCTACTATAAATAAAAAGTGGAACAGCTGTATGCAGTATATTTCTTTACCATTAAGGGTAACTGAGCAGGCAACAGTATATTTTGTCTTACAACGCCGCAAGGGCCATGGAAAGGCAAAAGGACTTACCTCAATTCTGGTCGGTACACTGGATAGTGTCTTTGATACAAAACCACCACCATTTAGGATTCTACATCAAACGCCTACATCTGAACTTTACTGGTGTAAGTTGATTAGTTCTGAATGCTTCAGCTTTCTCTTTGATTATAAATTAAGAGCATAGTACTTCACTAAACTTTAATATGTAAAATTCCATCAGACAACGGCACAGGCACGCACTGAAGTAATAAACGTTACTAAAGACTCAATAAAATTCAAAGAATGATAAATGCACAATGTTCATCTCTTGAGCGAGCCTACAAACAGCTAATAAAATCACGTCTCTGTTGTAAAGCTGATATAAATTACGTGCATGAATTGTGAGAAGAGTTCTGATACCAACACAGTAACTGATAACAGTCTACATGTGCATAAACAAATGTCAGCTGTCTGTATAATACAGAAGAATCTCTAACAAGATAATGCTCCGTCATTGTTCCATTAATTTGCTCCTCTCTTTCTCTTTCATCTCTTAATTACGTTCTCTCATTTTTCTTCAAGAGGCAAACCGTTTTTGCACATTTGTCCTGTTTTTCCAGTGGTGGCCTGCTCCTTGACATACAATGAGATAATTCAGGATTGGGAATGGCTTCATTCAAACTTAATCGACACTCTGACGTCCTTCGATACTGAGGAGGAAATCACAGAATTTGTTTGTTGTAAAATTCAATCGATTATCGCCAACAATGTACCAGACAGTCAATTCGTTGAAGGTACATCCACTTTCTTTTTGCTTATCTTATTATGACCTCGAGAAGCAATAACAGGCAAGCTAAGTTTTAGCAAAGTATTATTTTTTTTAAATCAATTTTTGCAGAAGAGGATCCTCAATCTTTTAAGACTGTCTCATTCAAGTTTCACCAGCTCTTCAATTTACCAAAGGACGAGAAACTTGTAAATTATTATTCCTGCAGGTAAGCGTGCATCGGAATCAATTAATATCTTTGATCGTACAATGTGACAGGTAATGAATTTAATCATGCGTTAAAGATGAATGAAACAACTGGAGAATCAGCTTTGTGCAGATGTTTCAGTCGAGTGCCACGATTATGTGGACAGTCAATTACTTTTTCTCCTCCTATTACCGTTATGTAAAGATTCTTAAGAGGATCATATTTTTTCCATTAATATGTTCTGTTAGTTACTGGAAGTCTCGATTACCAAGGCAAGGATGGCTCTACTTATCTGTGAATCATATGTGCTTCTATGCTTATATCCTGGCCAAGGAAACCAAGTTGATTGTAAGGTGGGCGGATATTATCGAGCTAGGAAAAACCAACTCCATTCTATTTCCGGATAGTATTCGAGTTGTAACACGAGACAATAAAGAGGTAGAGATAATCGTTTAAATAGTTCTTATACGTCCAGTTAATTACAATCGTTAATTTTTTATGGCGATTGATTTTTTTAATGCACGTTTATCCATAAGTCTCCTTCTCTGATTCTCTGCAGCATTACTTCTCAATGTTTCTCCACAAGTCGGAAACCTTCTCCTTGATGGAGCAGCTCACGAATATTGCTATGAAGAGGTAACGATAAAGATAACTGTATTCAGTGCACGCGAATTTACGAATCGAACGCTTTTACTCAAATAAAAACACGTCTCTCCACTTTAGGCTCATCGACGAAAAGAGTGGTTTTAATGAGGACAGAGATCTATTGAATAAATTAAGGTAATCAGGCTAGGTTTTTCTCCTTTATAATATTTAATAATTCCTCTGCTTGACTTGGTTTACATGGAGCTGTGCCTTTGATTTGGTCGAATGTCAATAATTCTTCTTTTAGCAAAAACGTGCCTAAGAAACCATCGTTCCTTAAGCGAGACCTTGATGCTCGCGCACAATCCGAAGCCTATAGATTACAATTCAGACTACCAGGCACTGAAAAACTAGATGGCAGTATAGACGCAACTTTGTGGACACCCTATAACAAGAAACACGTCTGGGGAAGGATATTCCTCTCGCAAAATTATTTATGCTTCGAGTCTAGGGTGACTATTCTTAGTAATGAATGGAAATTTTGTGGGATACACTAGTTTTTGAAATTTATCTTGGTCCCTCAGGTCAGGCAGATGGTAAGTCTGGTCATTCCGTTACGGGAAGTCAGACTGGTGGAACCTGCTGAGAACCAGCCCTCCAACGCCGCTGTGGACAAATCTATCTTGGTTACCACTACCAGAGCCTCATTCCTATTCGCGCAAATACAGGACAGAGATTTCGTGGTGCAAAAAATATCCGAGCTTTTGGCCAAAACTAAGATTGCACAACTGTACGTCCAACTGCGCTTTAGATACCGACTTCGGCCGTTAACTTCTGACATCTTTTTAGCGCTATTGGTGACAACATAAACTCCCAGAACAGTATATCGAGCAACCTAAGCAACTGCGAGGAAGCCAAACCAGCAGATACCTGGAGTCCTCAGCCACCGTTGATGACTCTGTTTAAAGCACCACTTAGTCCAGAGGCTGCATTGAAACAGGAAGCTAAAGAGAAACAGTGGGAACTTCATTTTGCAGAATACGGAAGAGGCATTACAATTTACAGAACAACGGACACGGCGAAACTAGTGATACAGGGTGTTCCACAAACTCTACGTGGAGAAGTCTGGCTCACATTCTCCGGTAAGCACCAATGACTTGAGTGCTCGAGCGTTATCCAAGCTGAATTGCAATTTCTGAAAATTGAATGTTTTGCCAGGCGCTCTGAACGAAATGGCGATGAATTCGGGTCTCTATAAGTCCCTCGTGGAACAATCCATAGGGAAATCTTGCCAGGCAAATGAGGAAATTGAAAGAGATTTGCATAGATCCTTACCGGAACATCCTGCGTTCCAATCTGACACTGGAATCAGTGCATTGAGAAGGGTACTTTCCGCTTACGCTTACAGAAATCCTCAAATTGGTGAGATTTGAAATTAAAGAAATCTAAAAAAATCCATATTTTCCAATAGCAGGTTAAAAATAACTATGAATATTTATTCTCAGGCTATTGCCAAGCCATGAACATTGTCGCGTCCGTTCTCTTGATCTACTGCTCAGAGGAAGCTGCTTTTTGGCAGTTGTGCAACGTGTGCGAGTCCCTCCTGCCAGATTACTACGACCGACGTGTAGTTGGAGCCCTGGTGGATCAAGGCCTCCTAGAGGAATTAGCCGCCGAGCACTTACCTACACTCCACGCGAGATTACAGGAACTTGGTCTGATCAGGGTGATCTCATTGTCTTGGTTCCTCACGATTTTTCTTAGCGTAATGCCAACAAGCAGTGCTGTCAACATAATGGACTGTTTCTTTTATGACGGTGCTAAGGTTATCTTTCAGGTCAGTACTATAGCGCAGCTGTTATTTTCCTATCAAACTAATGACTAATCAGTTTTCATTAGCGTCCTGGCTTGCCACAGGCCTGAATAATATAAAGTGATTCTATTTCATGTGTCAGATAGCGTTGACAGTCTTGGAATGGAATCAAGATAAATTATTGAATTGTCATGACGACGGGGAAGCTATGCAATTATTGACGGATTATTTAGGAGGCGTTTTCAATGACGAAGGCCCCGTTTTACCCAGACCAATCGACAGCGTCGTTCCCAAAAGAGTAAGTTTATTTAATTGGTAATGCTGTCACGTCGAACCGTTATCTTTCATCTATGTATTTTCAGAGTATATCTGTTCAAACTTTAATATACGAAGCGTACTCTAGGTACGGATCGTTAACGATTGGTGGAATCGAAAGGCTCAGGCTCAAGCACAGACTAAGAGTAGTTCAGAGCTTGGAAGACGGTATTGAGAAAAATGTTGTAAGAAGCGTTGTCGTTGACAAATACATGACCATGGATGAGTTACAGGTAACCTCAAATTTTCAATATCACTTTTTAAAAGGAACGTGAAAATTACCCTTTTTTCCATCTCAATAAATTTCTAGGACTTATTAAGCCTCGTAAGAGAGGAATTGACGAGCCAACGAAAATCCGAACCAGATCGCTACGATCCCACTCAACCGCCTTATGAGGCTTATAAAGTCGATTTTGAATTGTTTAGGATACTATTTGGAGGTCTATCGCCCTGGGGTAAATGTACTCAGGCTGAGTCCCTATCGGCCAGATTGTTTCGTGTACGTTTAAATTTATTAGATAGCTTCATTAGTTGCTTTCTCAAATTTTTATGAGCATTCGTATTCTATTAGTTAATGGATCGTAACCGGGATGGTCTTTTGAACTTCCGTGAAGTTGTCCAGGCTATAGGAATGACTGCCACTGCAGATTTAACTCAGCGATTAAAACTTCTTTACACTTTACACTTACCACCGCTCCTGACACCAGTGGATTTTGAACCGTCTGTCCAAGACGGTGCGTATCTTCTCAACTTTACGGTATACAGCCAGGATCTTAAGTCCGGAGTAGAATGTACTTGGAGGATTTCTTTGATATACAGACGGAGCTGAAGTAGCGGCGGAAGCTACAGACTTTTTCGATAGCATGGAACAAAGTGTGGCGTCCTTAGAAATGCCTGTCAGTATGGCAGAAGAGCCGACAACCGGAACTTTGTCGCGCTCAACGAGCTTAAATAGTCAGCAAGGAGATCAGTCATGGGAAGTTCAAAGTATGGGCAGTCTACGGTCCATGGTAGCGTCAAGAGACAGTCCTCTAGATCTTAAAATAGTTCCAAAAATGTCACAACGCCACTTTATAGCATTGTGGAAGACGCTTTACGACATGTTCCCGGCACAACCCGAAGAGCAGGAGACTTATCACTGTATAGCGTCAATAGGTAACTGGAAAAATGTCAATAGATATAATACTTGCGAAGAACTCAAGTAGAAATAATTTCGTTCAATTCGCAAGGTACTTTGCTCCTTCAACTGGGCGATGTTGGCAAGAAGTTTTATGTCGACCGGGAGGAATCTGAGGACAGTTTACTAGTTGCCGCGACGGCCGCTCAGCAAGCAGCGCCGCTTCCAGAGAGGGTAAATTAATTATCTTTTTATTATATAATTGTGTTAATGTAATGGCGATACTTGAAAAATTGTGCGTTCACAGTCTCCGGACCGCAATGGGAACCCCTCGAGCACGTCATCCTCTACGGATCTTGATTGGTCCATCACGGTAGAACAGTTCTTGGCCTCAGCCTTGACTGGACAACCAATTGTTGATTTCTTTAGTAAACGAGCCGACCTTACTGAGGATATAGTTGCTCTTAGGAATCGCAGATTTAATCGCATGCATTCTCTTTCGGATGCTCCCGTGCTGAACGTATGACATATGATGGTTCAACCGTGCGAAACCGTCGCTTGACCCTCGTAGTCATAAAATTCTTAGAAAACATCCATAGAAGAGAAATGGCGGATAAGATGGGGGATTTTTATAAAAGACAAAAGCATGATAAATCCAGTTATTTATATCCGACATGATAATTGTGTCCCACGGGATTGAATGACTTTTAAGAATTCCGTCGGTTATGAAACAACAGTACTCTTATTAATCAGGTACAGTATAAATAATGGTGACAAATATTCGTAATCAAAAGTTTAGTTCTCGAAGAGGTTTCTTTGTATGAATTATCATTGTCATGAATAATCTAAACGGCTACGGATTTCTGTATACTAATTAACAGACAAATTTACTTGTTAACCATTATTCACATTTAAAGTATTCAATATATCATCTATCATTCATTCGATAATACAGTTTAAACTGATGAAGTTCGAATTCTACAAGATGTACTACGTGTGTTGTAAATTTATAATGAATGCGAAAGCTCAGTATAATAATTCTATGTCCTTAAAGTACCATGAGATCATTGTGTACTTCATTTGTTTTTGCAGAAAAGACAAAGTACAATGGTTACAATAGTATTTTAACAAAAATAAGATACCGTAGTTCTTGGTAAATACTTTTGTTTATTGCAAACTTTCTTAATGAATGTTCCTTGACCGTTAGGTCGTGGCAAGTTCTATGCTTTGATAGTGTAAAAAGAAAAAATGATGTGAGGACGTTAAACTGGTTTGCATTAAATGTTAATCTTTTACATTCTACTACGTAGATATGAAAGAGAACAGAACTTATAGATACTCCCGCCGGCGTTGATTTATTTGGGGAATAATATTTTCCGATCGCGTTACCGTAACAATACGATTCTATTTTATAGATACAGTTTTTATTTTTATATAAACAATGTGCAATACCGGCGTTTTGGTAGTGGAGTCTAAGGATGGTCTGGACGATCAAAGCAAAAATTTACAAAAATCGTGTACTGTACTATATGTGTATATAAGCTTCATCAAATTCATTTCATAGATATTATTGTTATACTTATCGACCGTGTAATAAAAATCATATAAGAGTATGCAAGTTTAATTTTTTTCTTACTTTTATTTATGGGTATTTCGACAAGTACAATTAGTAGTTCTTGGCCAGGATTCCATCCCTCTTTGCTAAACGAACTATGCAGTCATCAGATTCACCCTAGAAAAAAGATATAGAATATTAGATCATTCGCAACAATAATGCAAGGCACATTTTACATATGAATCATGGAACTTACCATACGACGAATGGCTCCACAGATTGCATACATTTTGTGAGTGTCAGTCATGCGTCCTGATTGAGGATCAACATCGACCAGAGTCAGCTGAATCGAGGCATGATCTTTGGCATGAATGATACGATTGCTCGTTGAGCTGTAAAGAAAGAATCACGATTTAACCTTGCACATTATTGAACAATGTTCTCCTTATCTGAAATATGTGAAAATTGCATACAGCTATAACGTGTTGCACATAGAGAAAGGTAAGACTCTCTTGAACCGTTTCCAAGTAGTAAATATATCGTATTTATTATATTTTAATAGAAACAAAGCCACGTGCGTTACTCACCACTTTCTGGGGCAGTACAGATCAACCAATTCACCAGCGTCGTTCTCCATTTTACCTTAGTTCTGAAAGAAAGAACGATCCAATAAGATTTATGAATAAGAAGAAAGATTTTTTCATGTTATGTCAGAAAATATAAAACTTATTTTCCTTACGTTTGACACAATCGTGACTCCTAAGATGGTTCCAAACCGGAAAGAAGGGACGAGCGTCAGGTAATGCCAACTACAGTGACTCTAGGAATTATCGTGCAGACCGCAGGACGATCGGAAAATATTAATTCCCTAGAAAGATCGAGGAGTAATCGCTTCAAATTGACCTTTCACCCAAAATAATTTTTAACCCATTTGCAAACAGTAGAATCATTTAGCAAAAAAATCCACGCTTAAACAATAAAACAACTCTTCGATACCTTAGATCTATGGACTTACATTTTATGCTTCGTTCTTTTATATAAAATTCCTCTAAACTTTTTGCTGCTGATATTATTGTTTTGCATTTTACTTTGGAGGATATTCTGGTGATTCTTTTGAAATGATAATTTGGCGCTCTCGTTCATCGAATCGCAAGCATTGCATCGATTATCGAGGAAGCGGTCACGAATGGTTTTCATCGGCGATGAGACCGATGACAGTTCGCTGAGCGTTGTATGTGGTCGGTGTATCGTAACAAGCGATTCGTAGAATCTCGTTAGTTTTAGGATGTGAAGGATCTAAGGCTTTATCGTGTGCGGAAGTAGAAAAACGTACCAAGCCAACGCGTTTCTCTTCGATACGTCAAAAAAACTTTTTTCATCTTGGCAGATCGCTCTGTTTACAATGTTTCCTACCGCAAAAAACAATGCTCCAATTTTTTAGAAAATCTGGTAATTATTATACAATCCCTATAACAGTCACACACTTTATCAAGCATTTGTTTTTTTTAATCATTATAGCGGCATACGTCACTAATGGTTATCACTATGATGAATTTATATTTTTGCATATTAATTGTTACTGTTTTATTTCACTTCTTGGGTAACGTATTATGGATACGTCCTAGCATTTTGATGTGGTCATTAGATTAGTTTATCGTCTCATCGCATGGAGAAAATTATGTGAACATTTATAGGGTTCAGGGACAAGTCCAGATCATCACAGAACTCTCCTGCAAAGTCAACAAGTTCAGGAACATCACCAGGGAAAGATGGATATGTTACGTCACAGATTCAGGCAGGCACGCTGTGCAGCCTCGAGGAGGAAGAGGAAAGCAATCTCCACAATGAACATAAAACAGACATTTCCTCGTTTCGCTCTCGTTTATCCAAGACATTACCAGAGATCCTTGCAGACAAGGGAGCCCTTGGTTATTTTATTCAATTTTTGGAATCAAGAGGATGTATAGGCCTGATCAAACTTTGGTTGGAAGTAGAGTGTTTACAAGGTGCTACTTCCACCCCAGAATCTCTAGAGGAGGAGAAACTTCCTGATGTCAGTGATCACCGTGTTGATGAGTTTAATAGTTTATCAAGTTCATCAGACAATAACGATAGTCCTAATTGTAGCATAGTAGCAAAAAATTCCAATTATCATGACAGTGATCAGCTATCCAACGATCTGTGTGTACATAGTAACGAGGTCAAATCAAACTGCAATCACATGCCAAAGACTAGTCAGCCGGTGAGAAGAGCTCGACAATCAAATCGCATCTCCGGCAGCAACAGATGTAAGGCTACAACAACGGGTCAAGATGCCTTACGAATTTATAAGAAGTACATTGTAAAGGGTGTACTTGGTGCAAATCATATCCAAGAGGAACTTCGATCCGAAATGGAAGAAGCATTCTCTACTAACAATGTAGAAAGAATACTGAAGTGCTTGTCTGTCGTGCAGCGGATTGTTTATAAAATAATAGAAGATGAGTACGTATAGTATGTAATACAGCACAGTGGCAGTATACAATTGGTATGACTTCTTGTAACAAAAATTTTTAATTACAGGCACGTTAATGACTTTTTAAGAAGTGACTTCCATTGTAAACACCAAATTGACGTTCTTACCAGTGGAAATGTACAGTTGTCAGATATATTGTACAACGAAACAGCCTTCTTTTATTTCATGGAGGTATTGTGATGGATCCAATCATAGAAACAAAAGGAGCACAGTAATAGCTTTCGTTAAATAATCCAAACTTGTACCTTATAGTTCATGGAACTCGAAAATAAGCGAGAGTTACTCGATTTTTGGATGGCGGCTGTCAATTATAAACAAAATCTTTTAGAGAAGGACGGCACAACTGATCCTTTGGAAGCAGAGACCGATGCTCTCATCATTTACGATAAGTAAGTCAACTTCCATCATTCTATCTAACAATCATTATTACATCACTATGAAAATCAAAGTAAATATTACTTTTAAAAGCATATATGGCTAAACATATTTGGGTGGCTTCAGATATTTCAGCTTACAAGCAACAATGCCGCTTGGATTCTCAGACAAAATTCGCTTCCAAGTTGAGCAAAATATTTGTCGTGAAGGTGGCAAAGGACCTGAACCAGATTGTTTTGATCGACCCTGTACAATTGTATATAACTTCCTGAACAAGGTATTACTTTCCATAAGCACAATTCTTTCTAAGCTAAAAACGACACACAGTATAAAAACACTCGAACGTATTCGCGGTCACGTAATCGTTCCTCATTTAGTAAACTCCTAGAAAACAGGACTAGCTACCAATTAGTTGGATTGAATAAGGCATGCATAGTGACATAAGACAACTCGTAATAGAACGAACAGACTCTGAGCAGCCGATGTCAACGCTACTCAGGTCAACCGGGTTTCAATATTCAGTAACTTGGTAACCGCTTTCTTGCAGCATTACCTGGCCGCGTTCTTATCATCACAGCTGTATTATAAATATCTATCAGAGCTGATTAGCACGATTCAGAGCAGTCCGTGTCCAGACCTGCATCCTCGAATACGAAGAGCAGGTACGCCCATCTAATCTTATTTGTTCTGATGATTTATTAATTGACACTTGTCAGCCGGTCATTTGCACAGTTACGGTTAGAATAGTTAACGTGAAAAAAAAAAATATGTAATGATTTTGCATTCTTTGGCGTAGAAATAATGTATAGTGAGAGTCACATATTGTTATTGTAGGCTCTGACTGTAGTAGTGAAATCAGTACTGTGAGTATCAGCACACAAAGTACCCTGCAGGCAGGGAACGAAGAAAACAGATTAACTAACAATTCATCATCGGTTAATGGAAGTATGAGCATTGATACCAGACAATTGTACGATCCTGATTCCTTGTGGAGACGAACTAAATACAAGTAAGCAATTTTTCACGTTGTCAATGATATCCAATCTTATATAGCGACTTTTGTCGTCTTTGAAAACAGCAGGACAAATGTTTTATGCAATAAAAGCGGACAAGATTTTCTTCCTCCTCTATTGCTCTTGAAATCCATTGAATCAATTTGTATAATTTTCTGTTGTAGGCTGAGTGTTGGGTATGTCGATGGAATGGGTAGATTCGTGACAGAGATAGAACCAGATCCACAGAGAAAATATGGTACGTTACTTGTTAGAATTAGTTAAATTCGTCTTTTTGTCTTATCAACTGTCATGTACGCGAGACAAATAAAATATTGATTTCAGAATCTCGATTGTCACGTGTTGTTAAAAGACTCGTTAAAATGGAGCAGGATAAGGTAATCATACCGATTTTTATATTTGCGACATTTTTATGCGATTGGGTTTGATCTTCACTTTTTTTTTTATAATATAATAGGCTAAGGAAGAAATGGCTTGGAAAATTGCTGAGATGATTATACGTGAAATCACCTCGTTAACGCTAGGAACATCAAATCTTCCATCCTGATACCGTGGAAAGACAGTGGACACCATTTTGGTATTTATATGTTGGTTTCCGTTTGACATATTCTTTTTTTTTTCACTCCTTTGTTCTCATTTCTAATTGATCAGTCTTCCCGCGTGATATTTAATTTGTTCAAAAGTCACTGTTGTTCAAGACATACGTCAATGGGAGTTTTTACTGAACAAAAATACGGCATACCATTCAATAGTGTATTACTGGTTAAATTAATAACATGGTCTCTCGAGATTCCCGAATTCATTCTATTACTTCTTTGATGTCACTTTTAAAATGGCATCTTAATCAAGTATTTCAAAGTGCCAAAATGCAGTAACCCAACAAATCAATACGGTTAATTACTTACCCTGTGCTGTTGTTTGTATGATTTTTGCTTCTTTTGTTTTCTCTCCTATTCTACGTCGCTGTGATCTATCAAGTTCTCTGAAAATCTTACTTATAGCAATCTTCGTTTTTTGTTTTTTTTTTATTTCTACGTTCAAAGCTAAGTTCCGTTTGTCTCATAAAATCGTTTTACTTTAATGAGATTATTTTAAAGTACTTTGCAATCACTTTATATCTATCCGTACGTTATACTATTCTATACTATACTATTAACGGACACACATTTATTTATTATTAAAAATAGGATTAACAAGTACATATGTATTGATGCTTATGGCAATGTTCAATGCTTATGGAATAATTTCATTTGGAATGAGGTGCTCGATATTATACCTTGATTCGTAATGTAAGAAATATTTTTATCTTTTTTTGTTCGTTTTACTTTTATTAACGTAATACAAAAGCAACGGGTGCCCTTGACTGATAATTCTCTTTTGTTAAAATTATTTTACTTCTCTGTGTAGAATTATCACTCAGAGACAAACCATACAAGAGATTAAATGACACCAGTTTTACAATATTAATGAATTTATTCGTATAGCTGGCACCCATGTTCATTTTTAAGAATTATTCTTTCTTATGTTTTTAGTAATTTACTTGTAAAATTACAATACGGAAATGCGAACATATGAAATGATGTACTTGTCGCTGGCATTTTAAATACTAAAAATGGACATGGAAAGCATTCGATAACAAATTAATAAAAAAGAAAGGAAACAAAAATAATTGCACTAGCTCCATTCGCTGGAAAAATAGATCTGGCATAATAGTCATTTTTTAATTTAAGTTTTCGCGTAGTAAATTTCCTCGTCCCCCAATACAGTGATTCGTTCTCTTCCGATATTTTAATTAATAATTTTTATTTAACCTCTTAAAGACGTTTTTAAATAACGTTCATAATATCCACGGTGCTTCGCACGTATAAGAATTCGTGTCCACGCTCATGTCAATCCGAATATATAAATACAAAATATTTTCACGTATGGTTCCACAGTGTTATACCGAGACTAGATGATGTAGTGATAGAAATTTTTTCTATTGTATAAAAACGTTCTTGTTAATACAAAAAAAAACACCATGGTGTTAAAGGCTTCAAAATTGGCCGAGTTCGATTTGAAAAGGAATTTAATAAGTTCGAGATATAATATAGATATATTGTCTCGGGTGATTCATATTCGATTAGAGAATATTTTGTAAAAATTATTTTCGGAACTCAGGTTTTGCTAATGGTGCTAATAATTCCGAAATTTAATAAGTCAAATTTTAATAGGATTTGAAAATTGAGATTAAGCGATCAAAAATAGCTGCCCTATTAGTTATACGACACTCGAATCGTACCCCGCGTTTGGGGAATTCAATTGTATTTAAAAAGAATGAACACATGAATCCCTGTGCTCGATATAGATGTAAACAGTCAAGTAAGTTAGTAGCCGTGTAAGTGTAAAAAAAATATTATACTGATGCAACAACGTTTAGAGTGTATATATGTGTATACGACGTTCTTTATTAAATGCGAAAAATAAAAAATATGTACCTGTACGTATTGCGTGTTATTATATTAATTCGATCATATGCTAGCAGTGTATTGTGGTAATCTCGCGCCCAAAAGTTCTTCGATAAAAGTATTATTCATGCATAAGGCATATGTCAAGTGTTGAAGCGTAAAAGCAATTGGCAAAGCACTTAACTATTGTAAACGATAACAGCTATGTATAAGCTGTATAATGATATTAAAATATTGTTCATAAGTTTTCGATTTTATAAGGAGAACTATTATGAAATGGAATCTCTTCTTGTTGTGGCAGTTTTCGTGAACGTAAACAATATTGAGCCTGAGGCTGTCGCAAGTAAAAACATAAGCGAGTTATTATTAGTATCACAGTCTTTATAAGGATGAGGAGCCGTTAATGCTGGTATGTGGTGTGTGGCCATATCGGGTGTACAATAATGGTGACGTTTCCGTTAAGTCCGTATTACTATCTTCCAATTTGTCATTTTGAGTTTTGCCAAGCTGTACGAACCTCTGGCACCAACCTAAACGAAACTTCTCTTTGCGACCCCATCTCTGATATACCAGGGCATTAAAGAAGGCTTGCAGCGGATTCGTAACGGCCTGTCGAGTTAAATTGATTGATTGTTAGGTCATGTAGTATATTAAATGAGGTCATGGTTTTGTGAGGCATTGCTTACCATGATGTACCAGAGTGTGATAATAACTTTTACTGGCAATTGGAACCAAAGTGTCCATAGTAATATTCCGTTAATCAAATTCGGTATCCAACAGATGTAATAGACTAAGTTAGTTAAGGCAAATTTTAGTCTTATCGTTTGTACTAGCTTTCGTTCTCGACCTGTCACTTGCGCCAAGCTACATGTCACAGCCGTTTTAAGATCCTTAGTGGAAGATACATAGAGTGCTGGATTGACTAGCATGACCACCGCTAGGAGTACATAAGTAGCGCAGTAATTAGGTAAAATTCGAAAAACTGCGGTTGACAGCGACGTCAAGTTGTGGCAGCTGAAAATCGTTTTGTTAGAAGTTTACAGACTGTAACGATATTGAATTGGTGACTTCATCTGGAACGTACTTCGCATCTGGAATGTATAAAATAGAGAGACCAAATGTGGTCAGAATGGCTGGACATATCCATGCTAATGCATGATAAAATGTTGGGTGTCCAGAACGTTCACCAAGTAATAATTTCATATCAACAGCATAGCACAATGTCCAGATCCATGTTGCCATGTAAAAATATTGTGTCCAAGCCTAAAAGCAATACACATAAGCCAAACTATCTAGGCAAATTAACTGGGTTACATAGTATTCATTGATTGTTGGTAAATAATATTAGAAAAATCAATAAATTTACCGATGACAAGGCACAGAATACTACACTGGAGGTATCATCATCCATTGGCATAATAGTTTTAAAATTCATCCACAACGCTGACCTAATGAATACTCCTGAAATTCAAAGTGTTCGTCACAACATTTTTGAGAATAGTAGTTATTCCTGACACGAGTGACAATGTTGAAATAAATGGTGATTAAGATATAAAAAAGAGAAAAACAAGAAACCTAGAGAGGCAAACAGATCAGCCACAGCTAGCCAAATAATAATATCTCGACCCCTTGCTGAGGAAAAACTGTGCCATCGATGAGGATAATTGGATTCCTCTCTAGGCAGCACCTAATAGAGAAATAAAATGAAATAATATTGCATTCCATGCTGCAACTGCAATATAGATTATACAGGTTATAATGGATAATTACATTTTAACATGAATGAAAAATATACCTGATAAATAGCACCGATAATGCCCATAGTGGATGATAACATGCACACAGTATTATAAACGTCAGTATTGAATTCTTGCATTATTACTACTGCCATGTCTGTTGTATTGTTATGATGACAACAAAACGTCTGTATTGTTGGATCAGCCATGTTATTTCTATGCCGGTACGATATGCAGATTTCTCTTGAATATTAATGATAATAAACCAACGATAAAACCACGATAAGCACTGCGTTATCACAGGCTTGTCCAGCTTGCTAAGCTCTTAGTACTAAAGTATAATTCACGTTCATAACGATACTCTTTCTATAACGTGTTTCCTCCTAGTCAGGTTATTAGAATTTTATTCCATTACGCCACTCGCTATGGCGTAAGGTATTCATTTTTTCTCGAGATGAAGCCTTACGACGAATTTTTTACCCTGTTCGTATTGACGCCATCTTGAATTTCCATTCACTATTAACCACCGAAATAAAATGACCTGATGCGAAGATTACATATTATATTATATATTAAAGTTTTATGCAACTGGCATTATTATCAGTGTCATGTTCAAATCATGCATTTTCCTTGCCGATGACTCATGATAAGGTGCTTAAGTGCACACTATAGATATGTACATATGTCTTGTGACTCAAGTATAGAGGATCAAGTTGAGGAAGTAGGATAGCAGAATGCATTCGGAACAGTGACAATAAATTTATATTTTTATTAATTTATAATTCACGTGTATACATGATACAATTATGTCGTTGAACGTGTTTTATTTAGGTACAATGGTACAATAAAGCCGTGAATTATCAAATTACACGATTAAATTCTAGTCTTGTCCATAATGTGTGTTATATGTTTAACCGGTAGGTCTGAAACATAGCAGCAAAACAACAAAATCAGGTTAGTGCTATTGATAATGCATAAGAAAAAAATTTTTGCTTAAAGCTACTATAGAGGTTCAAATCGTGGTAATGTATTTACTATATCTTATATTTCATAACCATACCACATGTAAACGATGCCATGATGCAAATCATAATCTCATTCGACAGCGTTTATTTCGATCTAGTCGTTGGCCAGGTGGACACATTAATGGTATGGTAAAAATATTTCTTCCGCCAATAGAAGGAATAGACTTGTCGTACTTTGAATTAGAAGTGGAATCGAAATCAGAATTTTCTTTGTTCGATTCGTGAGAAGGTTGAACTTTATTGCCATCTATGTAAATCACAGCATCTGGTTTGTATCGAGCATAATACCGATATCTGTCTTCATTTAAATTTTTCTTCTCTGCTTCTTCTTCCTCATTAAATCTCAGTGGCGGGTCCGAAATTTTATTGTCGTTTACTATCGCGTAAATTAGCACATTCCATCCAATCGGGACGTTCTCATTCTTATCTTCGGATTCCAAAAAATAAATTGGGTCGTCCTTTTTGTGATCCAGCGAATTGGTCGTCGCGAGTGTCACAGAAATCGACAGAATGAAAACGAAGAGCCACAGGGATTCTTTCAATTTTAATATGCACCTAGTATCACTCATTCTGTTCATCTCGTCTACAAATTCACGACTACGGAATTTCGTTAGGAAGCATGGTTTATATTACATAAAAACCACATATCCCTTTGGAAACCGCAATCAGCTTCTGCGCGAAGCTCGATTTCCACATATTCTTGGAATTGATAATGAAGATGTAAATATTTCTTTCTCTCAAGAAAATACTTCTGTTATTTCTAGCAACTTAATTTAAATTTATGAAATTTCTAGTAGTTTTCATGGACGTCACTGGACCTAGATATTTTTTTACAGGAAAAGGACATCCGTTGGTTTTTCGATATATAAATATTTCGCACGTCTGACCCTAATTACGCATTCCTGTTAATTATATCGTATAAATGGCTCTCCGCGTCTCTATACGTTCACGCTGAAACTGCATGAAATACCAATAATGACGTACAAATCAATAATCACGTTATCAGTAAATTAATCTGAACGCCTTGATTTCCAAACCCATAACGAATCACGATTATCTAATAAAATAGATTTGTCCCTACCAAAATAAACGTGCAATTACCACTTGCACTGATGCATCCATAACGCGCAATGACTTTTATCTCAAAGTAGCTCGGCATACTCCATATGAATGCAATCATTCACTTTCTGGACAGATTTTGATTATAGGCAGATTAATGATCGCAGGATGTGCCGGTATAAATAAAAACTGGGTAGTTTACTTGTCTGGCCAACAGTTCTCTTGGCCAACAGCGTAGGACAACAGTATAGTCAAGATCAAAATTATAATTATTACCTTCGTCAATCTTTTAGTAAACTGTAACATTTTTTCTGTAGACAAACCTGCACTAGCCGTACACGAGTTTTGGGTATTAAAAGGATTTCATACGTTTAATACGAAATCCAAAAGTTTTCCACATTTTATAATTCCGTACTGGTTATTCTAACGAAGACTCATTGCACGGTATACTCGGTATCAAGGTCGTCTGGAATCTCGTCATCGAGAATCGCATCTCTCGCAAAACTAATTCGATATGGATACAGGTATACTATACACAACACAGATACTATGACAGTCTCGTCACAAAAATATATAAAAGGACAATTATATTATTAAGAATGAATTACCAGTGACCAATGAATTACCAATTACCAATAGACCAATACTAACTGATAATTTATACAATAACAATTCTACAATAATATAAAAATAAACATAAATCACGTTTTACATATGCTAGTTACGCAGCCCAATTGTCTTTATAGATTGGACGAACGAGCCTAGAAGTAACGGCCATAATTCAAATGTTTAATAACGTCATGTATCACTGCGATAAATTTGTACTTATTCCAATTTACCATTCATGATTCATAAGATCGCGCAGAATGATCTTCTTTCCAACACCCCATTTATTTGTTCTCTAAAACTTGACGACACCTTCCAGCCAAATCCAACCGTTGATTTCCCGGGCAGGATTTAATTGGTGCCGTGATAATATGTAAAGTACGTGTCTTGAAAAAATTCGTCGTAGTGTTATTTTGGCAGCGTGTCGAGGCGATTAAAATAATTAGCATCACGAGACAGAGCACAAATTTTATCCACCCTCTTGCTAATCCGTACATATTTATGGTTATGGCGGAGCAAATGGAAACTACTAGATGTTTGTTGTCGCGACGCGGACTCAAGTTTAATACGAGCGACTGTAGCGTCGCTACTTAAATACTGGCATATAATATGAAATTAATAATAAAAAAAGGTATCGTTCAAGGACTGAGGTGTTTATGGAATTTTAAATAGCGGAGAACCTGTCCTCACGTGTAAATGGCGACTTATGTATTTTTGGACATACAGTGCAGTGAGTATGTATATTCAGTAAGAATCTGTCAATTACAGTAAGTAGTTAGTAATGTATTAAGTATCGATAAAAATGAAGCTGTAACATTGACGCAAGTGTTCGAAATATAACGAAAGTTAATTCTGAACGTTTTCAGGGACTTTTTCAAAGTTTGGTTATGTTACAGGAATAGACCAGATGCTTTTTGGCGGGAGTTTATGAACTATGACGTTTTAAACAGTCGCCCCGTTACTTCGCGTTACGAAATACTATCCCCACGTGAGTTGTCTCACCGGTAAACGCTTATTGCGTGAGGGATTCAAAGAATATTCAGCCATGTTGGTTCATATCACTGGTTAATGTAACTGTTACTGACTGGATGGTGTATATAGGTATAGTCGTTTAAGGTGAGTGATGGAATGTGCTTTTTAAATTAGAAAATACTGTTTTGACTTTATTTTTCTTTCAGTCCAAAAATAACATTGATGGTCAGGATCGTTAATTTTCCACATTAAATTTGAATTTATTCATTTTAATACGACTAATATTTTACCGTCATAAAATTATAGAAACTTATCCTCGTTAACAATAATTACTACATTTCTTATAATACATTTTTTACGTACGTAATGACATTTTCAATCGATAACCAAAAATAGCTTAGTTTTATAGACTTCATAAATATTATATTACCACAGCTATTAATCTTATCTGATAATATCACCGTATACTTGTATTCTATAGAATTATCAAAACTCATTTGCAAAAAGCTGCCATAATTTAATTTTTTTAACGTACACTGTGTTCCTACTGGAACCCGTCTTGTTAGTTATTGACATTACAATTAAAAATATATTCCCGTCATGTTGAACTTTGATCTTCTTTTCAGGTGCACCAGATATTGATAGGTGAACTGTATCGTCGTTAAATAATATTTAAAAAATCAGTTCAAAATGGCGGAAGCGATATCCGCAAATATTGGAGTACTTCGTCCTCCATTGTCATCGAAGATGGATTCTCTCTCCATAATCATCTTGAAGTTTCTCTACTTGACATATAGGATGATCCGTCCTTTCATACGTCACATCCTCTGACCGCTTTGGGTTTGTCCAGTAGACATATTTACAAAATTGATCAGGTTAATCCTCATGAAAGTTTTAAGATACTCAACGGAAGTAACACAGACATATCTAAATCCTCTTCTTATCTGTTCTTTCAGATTACCCAGTCAAACGCGAAGAAATTCTGATTCCTTTGTCAACACGATACGACTGCTTTTCGTAAATGCAACCAAATCTCTGTTCACGTCTCCGTCACGTATCAACGATATCACTGCATTCCAAGGATCATGATTTTACGTGCTTCAGAATTTCGTATTAGTAATTTATATTTTTAATTTATGGGTTAAGTCTGTTTTTAAAAATTTCTGTAAACCAGGCAAATTCATGCCTAGGAAATGGATTTCTTCTCTTTCCGCTATTCTTAAATATTTTATTGACTACTTTCTTGGCACAGCTAAAGGACCTGACGCCAGCGTCCATTGGCGTCGAGGCGGTACTCTCCTGGCCTATTTGCATAAGATGGCACTGATATTATATTTCGCTTAACACGACCTTTCGGCTCATCCTCTTCTGTTATTTCAATTTCTTCTTTGCTGATCATCGAAGAAGTATTACTCATGCCTTGAGCTTCCTTGGAATTTGTATCTGCAAGTGTTTGATTGCTGGTTGACATTACCATTGTCTTCTCGTTGACAGTGACAGTTGAGATGCTTGAGCCAAGATTGGATCTAGTGTTAGTATCAGCAGTTGTATTTACTTGCTTACTAGTCTGTACATCCAACGACTCGTAGGACTTGTCGCACGTCGATGTACTTTCCGTCTGCTGTTCCGTCTTTGTATTTATATTTGTGAAAAGGTTACCCATTTTTTTAATCACTTAATTTAATGAAATTCGAATATTTTGATGGATCAAAATAGTTTGCTATTTTTATAACTATTTTTTCAAGTGTATTACTCAATAGACTCGCTGTGCTTCTAAATGCTTTGAAACTCGTACACAAACTGCTCTGCTTCTTTGAGTTATCGATAACCAATACCCACTGATACCTCTTTTATCCGTGAAACGATTCGTCACAGTTTCAAGGCTCAAGGTGCGGTTTCAAGAGAAGTAGGAGACTCAATATTTGTATTGGTCTCTAGTTTCCTGAATTTTGGCAAAATTTCAAATATTTTACTGAACACACATACTTCAACGAAATTTTGCGAATTTCTTTTAGCTATGACGACGAAATTAATAGAATCTAAGGAGTATTTTGGTATTTTAATTTTAATTTAGTACTTGTCTATATTGAATACCATTGGGCTATCGTTATCAATTTTATTTTTCATTCTTAACACTTGGATCGGGGATACTTATTTATATCATATCGATATCTGATTCGATTACAATGCGACACAATGTCTTTATTGGTATGGATTAAATAAATTGAATTTTAGAATTAGACATTCGTATGTAGACCAGTAATTTTTTTTACTTTCATACATGTTATATACATATATATATATTTTTTTATCAAGTGAGTCATATGGACGTCGTGACGGAATTCATTTTGCCAAGAACGAAGTTCCCACGTTTTAGATTATTTCTATCAGAAGAAAATTTAACCAAGAATACATATCTTTATCTTCTTCTTAAGAAATGTAAGCGTTCGTGTAATTCAATCGCGCAGTAATACATTATTACATTCCATATAAGGACCTAAGGTGAGGAGGAAGAATTGGAGAATTACAACAGCGACTATATTTACGTAACAAATACACGTGAGTTAGGTAAAATGAATTTGGGAAATTAGTAAAAAAAAAAAAAAAAAAAAAAAAAAAAAAAAAAAAAAAAAAAAAAAAAAAAAAAAAAGTTCCATATGCATGCTGAAATAACGGTTTATTATGCTTCTAAGAATAGTACACAGTTTGTTTGACGTCTGGATGAAATATTACTAATCACGAATACTGAGTGTTACATAAATTCATGAAAAGTAAAAATTTTCTTTTTAACGTAATACCTCCCTGCAACGTCCCCGAGAATCAAGCCGGTATCCGTTAGCGCATAATCCCCAAATTTGTCTTCTGTAATATGGCGAGGGATCTAAAAATAAAAAAACTTCGTCAATTCTCAACCATACGTGATTATAAAAATAAACGAAGCACAATCAGCCACTATAATCACCTTTTTTAGGATAAAGCCGACGCCGTAGAGCATTAAGAAGTTTTGATGAGCTTTTTGAAACAGTTGGTTGTTCGTTGTCATGTTCTGGTATATGTTTTTTGACGGGATATTTACGGGGACTTTTGAAATTCTTCAAATCCCCGTAGCCGTTTCCATAGGTTTGCACTGCGTTTTCAGTATCGGAGGACGATTCGTCGATTTTTCTTTTCACTTTATTATTCGCAGCAGTTTCTAACTTATTAGCCGTCATATCTGCAGCTTCGATCACGTTATACTTATGGTGGTTATATTTCTTCGGAGCGATGACGTGCACTGATATCTTCTCTTTTTCTTTATCTTCGTCTTCATCTTTGTATTCGTCTTCGTCTTCATCTTCATCTTCATTTTTATCTTTGGCTTTGTATCCGTCTTCGTCTACGTCGCCGTCTTCATGTTCATCTTCGTCTTCATCTTCATCTTCGTCTTCATCTTCATCTTCATTTTTATCTTTGGCTTCGTATCGGTCTTCGTCTACGTCGCCATCTTCATGTTCATCTTCGTCTTCATCTTCATCTTCATTTTCGTCTTCGTATCCGTCTTCGTCTTTGTCTTCTTCTTCGTCTATGTCTATCTTAATATATTTCGGCACGTGATGCCGGTAGTACACTGGCACGGGTTGGGCGAGATTTTTTAACAGTGAGAAGTCTTTACTGTCCAATATATTGTCGTTGAGCAAATTTTCGTAATCAGGTGCTATACCAGAAATCCTGGCTAGACATCCTGACAGAACAATACTTAGTAACAGAATCAGTCGCATTATTCAATATCTTGTTTGATATTTTATAAGAGACTAAATCGCTCGGTATAAAATAGCTGCTCTTTATACTCTGGTGGAAACAGGCATTAATGAGTCAAACGTCATTTTGCGGTAAACGGTTTTGTCAGGATCTGATATGAGAAATATTTTAGGGCTTTAACAGGATGCCCTGTTTCCTGCTAGATACTTAACATCATACATTCCTAACTAATTAACTTTAGATTTTACTATTTAGTTCTATCCGTTCGTGATTAGCCTGGAGAATATTATTTATGCTGGTTAACCGTCTTATGTTTCATTTGATTTTTTTTTCGACCAATCACGTCGAATGTGTCATGAAAATTTCGTATACGAATCATCTACAGTTTCCGTTCTATGTAAAATTCCAAAAACATACATAACCTTAGTTTTGGGTTTTATCAGAAAAATTTATTGGTTCAAGTTTGTCATTCGGAGGCGTGTAAATTATTAATGAATTTCCGTACTCTCTTTTTATGAAAATAATCAGTGTTAACAGGCCTTTTCATTTGTGAACAAGACAAATAAAGCAATATGGGAATTCCAGGATCTAAAAGGTACGTGGTTCGATGTACTGATTAAGAAGGAATATCTTTATGTATAATATAATTTATATAAAGACTTGGTAAATTATAGTAAATATTCAAACTTCGTGTTTTATTAGCATAATTTATAAATACACGTGTCAAAAGGATGCAGAATAAGTTGTTAAATTAACGAAAAATTAAATACAAAATATTAAATTATCCAGGCATACCTCAAGAACGATATCAATTAAAAAATCAATAAATAATTAAATAATTGAACACTGTCATCGATCGATGCCCCTTGTCACAATTTTTTCGTAATTTCATCACGATTCGCTCTTCTTCAGCGACGTGGATTCTTTCTTGGGAGCAATTCCATGTTTAGCCTCCCTTTTATGGACTTCCTGATTCGGATGACTTTCGGGAGCATGGTTGATATTGCCAATTCTTCCTCCACTGATTATGTACGGCTGAACCGGCTGTGGATGATTCATTTCAAATTTTTGTGGATTGGATCCCATCATGATTTGTGAACCCTGCTGAGCCCTAGAATCCATATGCTGGGACTCGGATGGCTTTGAATCCATTTTCTCTCTCATCTGGTTCAACATCTGACTTGGCGTCTTGGCTGGATTGGCTGGGAGTTGCGAAGCTGTATGATGATCTTCAGGGAATTGGACCTGACCTTCTCTCTGGAAAGGTACAGAGTCCTGAGGCTGGGCGGGAGATCCTTGCGATTGCTGATTGCTGTCTGGCTGGATTGACGAAGGATTTTGGAATCCCTGCTGCTGACTATGCTGGAACTGCTGATCCTGTTGGTGTCCTTGAGGATTCTGAGGTTGAGCTTGGAACCCTTGCTGAGGTCCTTGTGGTTGTTCGGAAGCCTTTACGGCATGCTCGTAACCGTACTGTGGAGCAAATTGTTGCTGAGTCTGTTGCTGGTTCTGATTTTGATAGGCTGAACGTTCTGGATTGTTGTATGGGTTGTAGGTTCCTTGATAGCTGCTGGGTTGCTGCTGTCCAGCATCGGAGGACCTTCCAAACTGAGATCCTTGGTATTGCTGGTGACACGGAGAAACAATAATTACTATCAGCATCTTGCTGTTGCTCAGAAGTGTCTATATATAAATTTTGTTCTCATTACTTACCCTGTAATATTGTTGCTGTTGCTCGGCTCTAGGCTGGTACAAGTTCCTGTGCTGAGGTTCAGAAGATCTCCCGTAGGAGTTAGATCCAGTCAGAGGAACGAAGCTGGGGTTGCACTGAACGAGGAAGGGTGAATTTGGCGGTAGACCAACACCAGTTCCAGTTGAAGTAGATGTTGAAGTAGATGTTGAAGTGCCTGTTCCAAGTAATCTTCCATAGTATCCCGAAGGACTCTCAAATGAATAAGGGTGCTGGTGGTCGGCTGCTTGAGGCTGCTGGCCGAAGGTCCTGAAGGTATTTGGCATCATTGAGGCTTCTTGTCTTCCATCGTTAACCAAGGCTCCTGTCGTTGGGTCGATAAAGAATAAACCACTTCTTGTCTGATGATTAAGATGCTGATTGGACTCCATCATGTAATTATCATTACTTCTGGCTTGGTGATAATTGTATGGATCATCCGACCGGTATGACCCTTGACAATATTTGCACCATGAGGGAAAGTGGGGTGGGTGCTCGTGTGCAGGATGTGGGGGAGAATATGGATTACTTCCAGGGCAAGGTTTGGGAATGTAAACAGCTACTGGATTGGATGGCACGACTATTGATGGAGGGAGACCTGGACCAGCGGGCATTGGTGGAGAAGGTTGTTGTGGTGGGTAGGGCTGGTATGGGCCAGTGGGATAGCTGGGTTGTTGCGGAGGGAAATCCATACCACTTGGTGGTTGTCCGGGCTGAGATGGTGGTTGACAGAATCCAGGTTGCTCAGGATATCCAGGTTGGGAGGGTTGTTCTGGATATGCAGGCTGAGGAGGTTGTTGAGGGAAATCAGGTTGTTGAGGGAATCCAGGTTGTTGAGGGAATCCAGGTTGTTGTGGGAATCCAGGTTGTTGAGGGAATCCAGGTTGTTCAGGTTGCGGAGGATAACCAGGCTGTGACGGATATCCGGGTTGCTGTGGAAGGTTAGGGATCTCAGGGAATCCATTTGGAGGAAACTGAGGCCTTGGAGGTGAATTCGGATTACCCTGGTCGCACAAAGTCAATGGACCCTGACCAGAACTTGGTTTGATCTCCACGCAGAAGGTCGTCGTTGTACCCGTTGATCCTATGGCCGATTTCTTCGATCTGTCTACTTCCTTCCCCTCCTCGACTTCCGGTACAACTTGCAGTTCCTTCTTCTCAAGCTTCGTCTCCTCGGCCACGGCCGTCTTCGTAGGCTTCTTGGCTGCTGGGCCGGCCTGAGCCATCGCCAGACCCACCAGGACCACTAACGATACTTTTGACAGCAGCATGACGATCTTCTTTCCCATCGATCGATCGAAGACACTGATTATGAGCGACTGGTCTACTGGCACCCTGTTTTAACAGTTTTACCTTCAGGTCGAATGCTGATTGTGCGACGCGCTGGTATGCGAATTTTGCAACGCTCCACGCAATCCAGAATGCGGAATGCACATATTTGCAAAATTTCACATAGCGACTGTTGCTTCCTTAGGTTGGTCATTTTGCCAATTATGCAAGAACTCGCACTAGCCGATTCGTACACGCATTCGCATATTGCGACACGTTAAAATATATAAATTTTAAACTTCTTTAACACAATATTTGCTATTGTTGTGAGAACATTGTTTTTTGCAATCTCAATAACAATCCGGGTACTATAGTACGTTTATTTTTTAGTTATTCGTGAAAAGTAGATCTATCATTACCAAGTGATTAAACTGCCAATATTACAAGGATATAGGACAATAAATTTCGAGGATTTTGAAAAATTTTTTTTATTTATTAAATATTCCCTTAAATATCGTACTTAAGGAATCAGTAGCGATACGTATTTGATAATTAAAAATTAGTGTCACTTAATGACTCGGATGTTCAATGTTGAAAGGTTTACACGAATTTTCTGTTTATATTGCAAATTCCAATATGGTTGCATTACGTAAACGCTTAACCAGCCAAATAAACCTATAATATTATTACCAAAAATTTCTAATTGACTATATCGAAGTGACGTTTCAGGATAATAAATACTAGTTATATAATTTCGGGATAAAATTTTCCTGGCTTTATTATTCAAAATCAATAACAAAATAATATTATACATTTACACCAATACGTTCTTATAATTATTTCCTAATTCTCCAGTTTACTTAAAAGGAACTTCGGCAATCGATGAATTTTCAATTAATTTCTTATCGTCATTTTTCAACGATGACTCGTCAGCTGTTGCTGGCAATCCCCTGATAATGTTTCCTTCCTGTTCATCCTCTTCCATAGCTTCCCCCAGGACCACGTCACCTTCCAGAACATCGTCGTTCGCCTCCTCGCCCAATTTTCCATTAAAATCCTCATTCGACTCGATCAAAGTCATTTTCTCTCTAACCGGATCAACGTCTTCCCCAAAGGCAACATTCGGCATATCCTCGATGACGTCATCCTCTTCATCCATATCATCATCAGGAACAGCAATTTCCTCAGGATACTCCCTCTTCTGGACATCACCAAAAGTCACATCATCGGCCAGTGTGAAGTCACGTTCCTGATTCGCTTTACTTATCCTGGTCATTTCAGCCAGGTTAAGGTCATCGTCGTTACGCTTATCAATTTCCGATAACGCCTCAAAATTTGAATCCCTGTTCCCAATATTTACAGACGGCAATTTCATCTGGCGCGGACCGATCGGTAAATTGTAAGGATTGTGCTTGACTTCCGGTGTGTAGACTACGTCTGAATTTCTGAAAAGCTCTGTAGACGGTACCTGGTCTATTCTCACATCCTTGATATTATGATTATTATCTATTTCCTGTTCACTTTGCATCTTGGCTAAGATAATGGCTTTCTTGACAACGTCTTCAAGTTCCTTATCAGCCTTGAAATTCTTCATCCTGGGGATACTGTCGTAACCATCAGCATCCCTGAGGTAGGAATTTCTGGAATCACCTCTCGGCACCACGTATAGTTTCTTTCCTCTAGTTTGTGGCTGTGTCTTGTACTCTTCCTGAACTTTGTAAATCCTTGACTGATAAGGGTCCTCGATCGAATCCACGTCGTATAATCGGACTCTGGAGTCAGACCTATCGTAAGAATTTTCATCGTGGAGTTTACGATCGTTCAATCCAGACCAAGAAGGTCCCATAGAAGCATAATGACTCATTTCACGAAGTGACCTGTCAGTGAACGAATCCAAATTCCCATAAGGATCGTCCTCGAGAGCGGACGTCGCTTGGGAATAATACGAGCTGTCCCTGCTCCTGGCGGGTCTGTTGTAACTGTTGTAACCCAAATTCGAACTGTAAGGATCTATGGAACGAACTTGACTGTAATCCTGGATCCTTGAAGGAGACGAGCCGGCAATTCCAAGATTACCATAATTTCTCACAGATGATCCCGAGTACCTTGGTTTTCTATACCTGGAATAAATAATGAGTCATTGTAAAGCAATTATTGTCATTGTCATTGTCAAGTCATTGTAAAGCAATTATTGTTAAGCTTCAGCAATCGTTACGCTTCGTTAAATCTATTGCGCAATACTCATCGGACATATTATTATCAACGGTTTTTCCCGTCATTATACCTACCCGTCGTATTACGGGAGCAATGTTCCATTTACAGGTTATGTTTTATCATTGGCTTGAACGTGCCGATTTTTAGGTTAGAAATGTCCGATGAATACTGTTTCTTACCATAAGGTCTGCTGGTATTCCGAGTATGGTGAAATTTCACGATCGTCATTTAGCTTCTTGTCCCAGGACGCCTCGAAGGAGGAGACGCGGCAGAAAAGCGCCGTGCAGAGGCAAAGAAAAGTCACGAGATTAACACGCCGCATCATTTACACTTGTCGATTCACGATGCTTCTCGATTTACGAGTCTTTATAACTTCGGCCCAGTTCCCAGGTCTGACGCAATGCTTTACTCGAGGTTTTTTTATTTAAATAACATCTTTCATTGTTGTGAGACACGTCAGGTGTCATGTCGACACGATTCGCGATATATGACAGAAAAATAAATATTTTACAATTTCGAGCGAGTCACTGTTAACGCGATACGAGAATGAGAGTACTTTGAAAATTTTGAATTTTTTATATATTCTTGACATATGCTGGATGATGGTGCGCGAACAATTTCAAAATTATTTACCATATACTTCGCGAGATATACTAAATGAAAATAATTAAAGTTGCACTATGGTATAGATACTTCATATGCTAAGATAGTTCTTTTTAACAAAATATCTCAGCTTCTATCTAATTAAAGTTGACGAAATATCTAAGACAATGTTTTTTATTTAAATACTATTTTTATGATACTGGGTGAATGATCTTAACACAATTTATTATCCTTCAAACGAATTCAGCTGTTTCATACGTGAGGTGTATTTTTTTGCATATATTTTTATTCGTTCAACACATCCATTAATTCCGTTACGGAGCGTGTTCTTGAAACTGCTCAATTTAATCCCAGGTCTTCTATACAATGATTAATTCCCACAGTAGGACTTGGCAACAATTTTGGAAATGATTAACAAAATTGAACGACTAAAGTAGCACTGAATCTCTTCGAAAATTACACTAAATTACTAATCGGTATGATCTTTCATCACGTTCAGTATTGTTGTCAGGTGTACTCGTGTGGGTTTTCAAAACGAACATTACTGGCAGCAGTTACAGCGTCATTCGTTGACTTCCGGTCGTGGGAGATAAAGCGACACATCACTCAACAAAAACTACTTAACACTATGCATGACTTATGCAAAAGAGTTTTCATGAGAGAAAAAAGTGCGCAGTACTATTATGATATTTACAAAATAAATGTATATACATAGATACACATATATATGCCATTAGGGACTAAGCATAATTATACAGAGTAATAGTTATTTCCAAAAATCCTATACCAATTACGGTTCTTCAAACTGTGCAAATTTATTTATATTCCAAAAATATTTGATTCATTTTTACCACGTTACAGAGATCATTAAGTGTCTATTATGTCCGTGTTTTAGCCTTGGGATTTTTTGCGTATTTTATTTCCGAAAATCACACATAGACACGCAATGGAAGTTCAGTGGGGCAAAAAATGGCAGCTCTCGTCATAATGGGACTAGGACTATATAATGGTTTGGGTCCGCGTCCATCAGTACAGAAGGTGTTAGAGAATGAAGTTACTAGAGGTTATTTTGATCCTGGTGGCCGTTCGGAGCTTCACCGATGGCAAATCACTTCGTGATTACGACGAAGAGTGCAGGAAGCAATTGGGCAAAGATGCAATGCAATTCTGTGTCGTCGCCTGTGCCATGGAGAAGCAAGGTATCCTGGTGGATGGGAAATTCAACCTGCAAGCTGCCAACGGCATGATTGATGAAATCGCTGACAAAATGCATCCACCCAGTGTCAACAGAACCAAAAACGCTTACAAAATGTGCAATGACGACTTGGCATCAATGTCTACTGATAAATGCAGCACGGCTGCTGCATTCTTTTACTGCATTAATCATCATGCTCGTAGCAGATTTGCCTTCGGTGCTAATCGTGATGATCTCAATTGCCCTTGTCCGGATGGTCCTGACTTCTTCCATCCAGGAAGTCCTGATGGACCTGATGGACCCAAACATCATGGGCCACCTCATGGACCACCGCCACCTCCACCATTTTAAATCGATGAAGACATTTTGGGAACGTTTTTCTCTTGTAGCTAAGATAAAGAAAATTATTATTGTTATGTAATAGAGTCTAACGTGACGAATTAATAAGGAAAATAAAATACTTTTAGTTTCATCGTGCAAAAGTGTTGTTTGTTTATTTTCTGTTCTTTGTAACTGTGCTCGTATAGAATTTTATAGAAAATTATACTTCCCTGTTTAAGATATTTATTCCTGTTATTTTTATCAGACAGGAAGCTGGCGATGATATAATATCCAAGAAGTCGTTAGAGGCCGTTAAAGAGAGTATAAATTTTTTGAAACGTCGTGAGTCACTCTGAAAGATATTTGTATACGAATGATATAATGAAAAATTCGAAATAATTAATTTCGTTCTATGAAGATGCAAGAGAGGAAGGACTATTCCGTAGAGCAGGTCGACGGGAATTACGAAAACAAATTTTGGGTGCATTGACGCGAGGAGAGAAGCCTGATTTTGAAAATGCAAGTGGCGCCCTCGAATGTGCCGCGGCTTTACAACTGTTTCTGAGTCAACTAAAAAGACCCGTTATGCCTCAGCACGTTCAACAGTTGATTCTGGGTAATTCGGAATGTCTGTTAAATTTTATTATTAGCATTATATAAAGTATTTTTTTTAATGCCTAGAGTCTGACAGCGCAGTTCACATTCTCTGGTCTCGTTACGCAATCGTGCTCAGTTTCATAATTGTACTGATTCAGCAATAGGATATTCACGTTTTCTAATATTTCATTAAGCTGATAACCCTGGCGTGACGGCACACACTGTTGCTAAGGATGCGTTGGGACTAATTCGTCAGGACGTCGGAGGTCGTCACGGTGAACTCTTGGCTGACCTTTTGTGTCTCCTACGATATCTCACTTTGGCTGCTCCGCCGTCGGAATGTTCTGAATTGCAAGGTTCACCGCTGCCTATCGCTCTGCTGCCTGTGTTTTTTGCGTTAACAGTAAGTTTTGAAGATTAACATTTTTTAAGGACGAGACAGATAAATTCTGTAACCTATTTATAGCCTGCGGATTTGAACAAATGGCAACAGGTTGCAACTCGATTCAGCGAATTGATAACTGAAGCCCCAGAACAACTTGGTGTCAATTCAGATTTTGACAACGACGTCATTGACAACGCAAGTGATGTGAGAGTAAAGAAACATAATTATTTATCCTATTGTTAAAAATTCCTTATCTCGTTTACAGATGGAAACCACAGATACAGAGGAATCCGAACAATTGTCAAGATTACGGGAATTCTCATTGCTTTTTCCTATTATAAGACTTGCTGATGATCATAATGCTCGTGAGGATTTTTGAGAAATCATCTTTTCGAAGTAGCAAGATTTTTTAAAAGTTTTTTTAAAATTCAGATCAAGTAGGAGAAATTGCCAGAGTCTTGGCCGCTCCTCTTCGACGTCCTCGGCTAGCTGGCAGGTTACATCCTGCCATCTCGCATTCTGCTAGATAAATCAGTATTACTTTATTAAAGAGGAGATTAAATATTTCTTATATCGATGAAGGAACAGCGCTGGATAATAAACTGGTAATTTATTTATTTGTTTTTTATAGATTAATAGACGTTTACAAAATACTGCATTCGCGACACGTAAAAATACAAGTCGAACACTGGAATTAGAAAAACGGTGCTTTGGTTTTTTAAATAGCTTAACTATATTCATGATGATACTTGAACATTAAAAAAGTTTCAAGTATATAATAAAATTCGTAATTCCTTGTATCCAAGATTATTAGAAGTTATAAAGATCTTTAACTAAATATTTCAAACAATATAACATCATTTAACATTTTAATATTAGACAGTTAATTATTAGCACGTGACAATAATATCTGCAATGTTATAATGTACTTGCCTAAAAAGTAAAACAAGGAAGTGCTTATAGAGATACATTATAAGTTTAAAAATATATATCTATGTTACTCCTAGAGCACGTTATCTTGTTTTTCTTTGTTCCTTTTTCTAACTATGGGATATAAGCACCATATTTTTCAAGAAATCATTTGTGCCCACGTACGAGTGTCTGTTCCTCTGAGAAATGTTAATACGGTTGAATAATGATATGTGGAGAGTGGTGAAGACATTCTTTAAGTGCGCAATTACTTCCTGTACGTTTAAAATACCTAGATTGTGCGTACGACGAGAGAATTTTCGAAGTTCGAGGTATATCAATGTATGCATAGCTAAATGATAAAGAACAAGTCACGAGGTGTGACATGTTTCGATATTTATGATGTATAATAAAAATCTATTAATAAAATTCTAAAATCAAATCGTTAATGTCAAAGTTTAGATTGGGGTGCTTTCAAAGGATTTTGCGATGCCGGGAGTAATTCCTTCCACCAACTAGCTCGCTCCATGCCACCAGGATTACTTCTGAATGCTTCTTCGAGTCTTTCGTAAACCTATAAGAAATATGTTCATTGACATTTTTTTTTTTTTCCTTATTGCACGATTCGTTAAATTTACCTTCCCATCCGACATGCCCAATACGGAATTCAGAACGAAATCCGGTGGTGCCAAACTGTCAGCAATGGCAACGGCTTCCGGTTTCAATTGTGCGCACAGTTCTAAAATACTCTCGCGTATTAAATTCACCATTTGCGAACCAGAACAGTAACCACCTGCAGACAAAATGCAAAAACTTAATGACTCATTCACACGGGAAAGTTTTATTGATGTGTCGTAACATGCAACTGATGTGACATGTAGCAAGAAGTGCTACGTTCAATTGTCTTGTGCAATCGTTTGTTTAAAGCGTCCCCTTTACAACCTCTCGAGGAGCAATACAGTTTCTTGGTTTACCAAATAGCCAAGGTATGCGAAAAAATGCTGACTGACACATTGTGGATTGTTGTAACATCAATCAATTGAATCGCATTTATTATAATTCTCACCTTGATAAAAAGTAGCCAAATGTTTTTCCAAACAGGACAGAGAGTACAATAGAAGTAACTTTTCTGAAACTACCCTCAATGATTGACTCTGTGGTTGATTCGGTAGCAGATTGTTTAAACGTATTATCGCGTACTTCAAAACAATCATCTGCAATATATATGATTTGTTGTATATCGATGCAATGCTTTAAATACAATTATTGAAATTGTACTTACTTCTCCATAAGCTCGTGACAAGTTTGCAGCTCTGTAAACCTGTGTTTTACTTCGTGCTGTAAAATTATCCAATCCCTGCGAAACACCTTCTTCGAACTTCTTATATGTTTCCATAGCCAAGAATGTAATCAGCCACTCGTAAGTTCCTCTAACGACTAACAAAGAAGATCATCGTTAGAATTTAAAACAAGATGCGAAACAAATAGTATTTTATTCGAATCTGATAATTTCATTTTACTTACAATCAAGTGTCATAATTTCCTCTATCGACTGTGCCTGAAATCTATTTTTTAAAATCACTGGTCCATTCGTAAGAAAACTGACTGATGCCAAAGGACTTGCTATCATAGATCCTCCTTGTGAGTCTGACCATTGCCGTAATATCCAGTTACTGGTTTGCTGGACCAACACATTATTATCACCTTCGTACGTTACCGTGGGTTCGTGATTAACACCCAAATCCCCAAGATTAGCAGCTAGATAAAATAATAACATCGCTTATAATTATTATTTAAAGGACGTGAAGCTATTTTTAAAAATCTTCCACCTTTATGATAACCATGACCTCCGCACGCCTCTCTGCATTCACGTATCGCATCACGGCAGGTCCATGTGATCAGTGGTTTTATAGCAGACACAATGGAATGAATCTCGGAGACTATTTGACTCTAAAAGTGAAAAACAATTAATATTGTAACCAATTAAATTATTCGTATCAAAATACTAACAAGATTTGGTATGTTCTCTCCCTCCATGGATTTTTGTATATTCTCCAGGTATACTTCAGTAAATTCTGACATAAAAATTCGAAAGACACAGGCGGCCGCCAAATAAGGGAATAAACGCCATTGCTGAAATATTATTACACAACATACAGGTCATGTTGTACAAAGATATAAATATTTCAAAGACGAATGAAAATGGACTTACGTGAAGCTCGTACTCGATGATGGCTGTTTCTTCGCTAGAATTTGATAATGATGGTGCAAATTGCGTGCGAACCGCAGCATATCTAACTGCTATAACAACGGCTGCACCAAGCGTATTGGTAGCTTCTTGACAAATACCCATACGTCCTGCAGATAGATTTTCCAGAGCCGCACCTGACGAAAAAATATTATATTCAAGTAAATAAAACAATATTACAGAACATTATTAAAATTACCAAGTATCCTTTGTGGATCGGAAAATGAACTCTCATACTCTCCTTCCGGGGTGACGTCACCGGTTCTGTTCAATAAATTAGCCTTAGGTATTCTATAGTGATTGAACATAAGAAATCTGAAAGAAAGAAGTCCACCGATCATTCCTCAAGCTTCTGTGTCAATAAAGAATCCTCGAGAATCTTTCTGTTGTCCATCTTACCCGTTATCAATTCCATTGAGTCCCATTTTCTCGCCGATGTCGCCCAGTACAACACCAGGGTACGGAAAATACGTCTTAGGGTTTCTGACGGGCACAATAAACGCGTGTAACCCATGGCACTCACCAAGGGTCACTAATTGCGCAAAGACTATAGCCACTGTACAAGTTTTACCTGTAAAATTGATCGATATTGATCATGAAATATTTATTGAACCTAATCAATATTATCAATCAACAATCACCCCTCACCCAATTACCTAAATTTCCTATCCAACACTTGGCAGCTTGAAAATCCGGAGTATGGAGCACAAATTCCTGTGTGCTTGGATCATAGGTAGCTGTCGTTCTCATCATTTTCGTGTTGCTACCATGACCCACTTCCGTGAGCGCAAATGCTCCCAAAACCTGTAAAGTTAATTAATCTTTATTTTCCAAGTAACAAATCATCTTTTATCTTCAACAATATGGAATCAACATATACCTGCTTATTCCACACTGCATGGAATGTTGGGTAATGACGCTCGGTTCCAAGACTAAGAAGAGTATTTCCAAAAAGATAGACACCAAGAGCAATTTTAACGGAGAGCGATGTATTGACAATGGCCGTAGCTTCATTGAGTGTCATCAAGAACCTTGTCTTTGGAAAGAAATCATATTATAATTTCACCAATCCTTTTAAATATCCTTGCTGGACGTGTATCAGCTGTTATGCAAATAATTTCGTAACTTAAGAGACTCTGATCATTCTTTATCATCTATACTTTAATTAATTATCATCTATACTTTAATCCATAGTAATTGGATTTCACTCGAATCTGGTCTAAACAATCAGAAGACGTTCCTACTGTACGTATATAAATTTATTATGAACTTAAATCAATAGTACCTAACTACCTTGATCTTGTAGGTAACTTGATGAATATTTGATGGTAACAAATTAACATGATTGAGACGTGCAAGCTGTCGTGCCACTCTCCGCTTCTGTTCATCGGCTGAAGGAGTAACATTATCCTGAGGATGAAATTCCGGATCTGCTTCCATCGCTTTCCATACTTTCATCTGAAATCCATAATAATTCAAGTTACGTCTTCTTTACGCTTGAAAAATAATTCACCTAATATTACTTACCTTAAAAAGAAGCCTCTCAGGATCCTCTAAAATCACTCTCAATCTCTTCCAGGAAAACGTGGCGGATTTACGATATTCATCAAGAGGTCCACCGGAAGGCATGTTTTCCAGCCAGTCCACATCCTCCCCAGAAGTGACTACAGAAATTTTCTTTTCAGTCGATAACATATTTTAATCCTCGATCGCTCAGCGTTACCTTAAAATATATACAAAAAAATTCTTATTAATAATTTAATACATTTAAGTCGATTCGGGACCTTTCAAAGATCATGCTAGTAAAATTTCAACGAAAATCGTAAATAACAGGAATTTTACAGAGATGAGCAGCTGAACTTCTTCCAAATTAGAAGTTCAGCGCACATTTTGCAAAGATTTATTGAATACTTTTATCGGAGGCTTTATATCATTTATCAAAATACACACGCTGCTCTGACCTGACTGATTAAGTATGTTTTTTCCTGGTGATATTAATATAATTAATACAAGTTCAATGTTGTAATCATTATATGACAGTCTAATATTTGTTACTAATTTGAGTATTGAGTTTGACGTTAGTCAAATAAAAATATTGAACTATGTTGATAATAGGTGTTGAATTTTTCAAAAACTTTCAAATGCTCAATTAAGGAGATATGTTATCTCTAAGTATCGATATAATCCTACTTCTGATCTGATATAAGATATACGTGATTAATAGACACTCGAAAAATGATTCGTCAAACTAATATTACCCGTAATAATGCTATCCCATATAACCTGTGTAAAGAGTAACGACAATTATCAACCGGATTTACCGTAACACCATACACTGTATGGCGCGACAAAGGGAAAAAGAATTGGGGTTTAACGGTATTACGATTAAATAAAAATAAAACGATAACAGACGTTATTACATATTTCCGGGAAGCCCAAAATTGTTGGCTAATAATTTGCATCGTGCAATAGGTATATAAAAAAATATTAACGCACTTTTCGCTAGGAAATAATTGATTTTCTGTTAAAAAAAACTTACGACTGATCACATTTACTTTATCTGTTGCGCAAGTCTAGTCAGATAAGAAATGAAAGTGAGAAACTATTAGTATATACTTCAGGGCTAAGACAGGTAGAAGTATCTGGATTTACTTCGAGGAAACGAATCGTTGGAAGTATTTATACGTGACAATACTGTGTATTATCTTTGCTAAGAATGCAGATATTATCTTGGGATCACGATTTAAAAAATTAATGAAGCTGATTATAAAACTGGATTAAAAAACTGTCCTGGTTGTGACACCGGGTAAGCAATTGTCTTACCATTGGTGTAACGGTAAAAATTTCACGTGGAATTCAGACAGACATTAACCGGTAGAAGGAGGTATCAAATTGTGGTAAGTCGAGCAATAAATTGTAACGTAACCTTGATGGTTACGTTTGGTAGTAATAGTATTGGTGAAACGATAAAACTAAAAAAGATTAAATAGTAGAGAGTTGTAGAAGGTTAATCAAATTATGAGAGATAAAGAATTTGTAGAATTTCAAACAATTTCAGGTATTGTGAATTCATTGGATTTGCTGGACGTTAAAGAAAAGTGGATTATTACATTTTAAATATCAAGTCGATATGCCTGTTTATTACTATTTATGTATGACAAATTAATTTTTACGATAACGAGAAAGTCGATTAAACAAACAGCGATTCGAATAAATGATATGATTACCAAAAATCCCGCGTACTTTGAATTATCGTATGCTGGTAACACAGTCGTTTTCACGTTTAGAAATTCACATAGAGAGGAGCAAGTCAGACGTCCAAAAAAAAAGCGAAAATCCTATGAAAAGCAACGAGGCGCTGCAATTCGAACGGAAGGGACATTCGTACGTGGAAAGACGTTGTGAGAATTCCAAAAATGGCTACAGGCCTACCGGCATAGCCTCGTCGTTTATAAACGGTATCAGAAAAATACCAGCGTGCTCGACAGTACGTATCGAGAATTGACATATCAGCAACAGGTATAATAGACACTGGGTGGTTCACCATTAATTCCAACAAAAGTATGTATTTCTCCTGGCAATAAACTAATATTAGAAAAAATCGCAATCACGTTTCCTCCTAGATTACTTTAAAGTAGCTCGCAACTCTAATTTACTAATTTTTTCCGTTTAACCCGGCACCGCCCACTCTATGGTAGACAGCTAATGATAGAACTGCAAGCCATGCTTCAATGCCGACATAAAAATCTTTTTTCACCTTATTTTTAAGATTCACTAATGCACTGAGCACACTACGTGACGGTCTCGACTTCTGTCAGCTTCTGATAGCTGACGCTGACTCGTACCTCTTGCACTACGAACGGCGTACGAATATCCTAACATTCGTAGAGGCGGAAGGATAACCCTCTATACTGCACCATTAACTAACAAGTGGCTGGAAGTAAGCCGCCTTGGCTACTTTGTGTAGATAGACACACGGATATACCGGGCAGACTTGCGACCACCATTCTGAAAGAGACTAGAAACATTTAGACTAGAGGTCAATAGAAATTCATCACTTGGTAATTCAAGAATTCGGTGCTTGCGGAGCAAACTAGACTCTTAGCGATAAAGTTAGAAGATGGTGCATGGGATTCAGTTGCGGGGAAAAAAAGAAGCAAAACATGGAATTGAGTAACAGTGAATTCTTGCTGATTATGCAGCGATAATATGGAGTATAAAAGGGTCAGGTTGCAGAAACTGAATGACAGAAGCCTTGAATGCGTTGTGATAGCGTATATTATGCTAATTGTATTCCTATTTGGATATTGTATTATTTATTAGTTATTCTAATTTGTATGTCATAGTGTAGTCGCCCTCTTGTGACTCTTATGAACTGGCAATGAGTTAATACAGTAGGGAATTTTGACATCGATTGAGACATTCTGTTCAGTTAGGCAGGCGGTTGAGTACGTATTTTTAATCGTTCTTTGGGGATATTAAAGGATTTCTTTATTGTATATTCTACGATTTCTTATGTGGCATTTATTATAGACGTCTGTGCCTATTTAACGTATAATGTTAATCGTAAGTCTTTTTTTACGACGGGTTATAGCAGAGACGTAACCTCAGTTGTGCTACTGCTTTAATACATTTCTTATATCTATTCGCTAATTGTTTAAAGTTTGCAGTTTTTATACATGATTGTATCTCTACGTTGGATATATTGATTTTAAATAATATTAACAATGTCTGGTTATAGTTGGATTATTTGTAATCATGTGATTCATGTACAATTACGTGTGCTGCTACATAATTTTATTTAAGTTATAATATTTTTATTTCTATACTATTGCGTGTAGATGTATATTTATAGTAAAGATGCACAAACATTTCCCGACTCTAATCCCATTTTTGGAGTAAGACTATCTATTATTGGTAGTTCAGTGATTTTTTGAAAAAAAAAGCAAGATATAGCAAGATATTAAATTCAGAAAGTTATTTCACTGTTTCAGATAACAATGGGTACGCTGGAACTAAAGCAAATTCTAACTGGTCACAAAGGGAGAGTGTGGAATGTTTGTTGGCATCCTAAGGGCACTAGTATTGCGTCATGTGGTGAAGATAAGACAATTCGAATCTGGGCACCGGAAGGTTCTAAATGGGCAATGAAAACAATTCTTACGGAAGGTCACACAAGAACTGTCAGAGAAGTTGCATGGTCTCCTTGTGGGAGTCATATCGCATCTGCTAGTTTTGATGCAACTACAGCAATCTGGGATAAAAGTTCTAGTGAATTTGAATGTAACGCGACTTTAGAAGGTCATGAAAATGAAGTTAAAAGTGTCAGCTGGTCAAAGAGTGGACAATTACTTGCCACATGCAGTCGTGACAAATCTGTTTGGGTATGGGAAGTGACAGACGGAGAATATGAATGTGCCGCTGTCATAAATGCTCATACTCAAGATGTAAAGAAGGTAGGTAATGAAGCAAAACAGTCCTACAAATAATACAATTCAACACTAAAATAGGCTTTGAAGATACAATGCAACAATTCCTCAGGTTCGGTGGCATCCTCAAGAAGATATCCTAGCATCAGCTAGCTATGATGACACTGTCAAAATATTTAAGGAAGATTTAGCGGACAGTGACTGGTCATGTATAGCAACTCTGTCTTCGCACACTTCCACAGTCTGGAGTCTGTCTTTCAATAGTACAGGAGATCGATTAGCTACCTGCAGCGATGACCAAACTGTGAAAATCTGGCAAGAATATAAACCTGGCAACAATGCTGGAGTTCCTACACCTAACAACGAATCTGTATGGAAATGTGTCTGCACACTGTCTGGATATCACACAAGAACAATATACGACATTGACTGGTGCAAAATAACTGGACTGATCGCAACAGCCTGTGGAGATGACATCATCAGAATATTCCGTGAAGAAGACGACTCTGATCCGAATCAGCCCTCATTTAATATGGTGTGTGCGGCAGATGATGCTCATACTCAGGATGTCAATTCTGTACAATGGAATCCTGCAGTTCCTGGTCAACTTGCGTCCGCCAGTGACGACGGACAAGTGAAAATCTGGTTCTATAGCGAATAAATTTATTGTATATATAATATAATATTAAATAAATACAATGTTTTATTTTACACAATACCATTTGAGACAACACCATTATTTTTACCCTTACCCAAATATTTTTACACCATACTTGCATATAACAATTATATTTATTTTCAGGGATTCTGTTAGATGTTTGGCCGGCTATCAACAGTAGTTTCGCAGATTAAGAACTCTACTCTGATAAGACGGAAAATATTCCTGAAAACTATGAGCAGTCAGGCTGGACTACCTTTGCAGAAAGTGGTGGAAGCTCTGCATGCTTTTGCTGATGAGAGTCTAGCAGCCAGTTGGGACAATGTTGGATTACTTATTGAGCCTACAGAGCCAAAGAATATTTCCCACGTTTTATTAACGAATGATCTTACGGAAGCAGTGATGACTGAGGCAGTCAATATGAAAGCCGACCTAATAATATCATATCATCCTCCAATATTTGCCCCATTAAAATCGATCACCAACCGAACGTGGAAGGTAGTCAGCTGACAGAGAAAAAAATTAAATTTATCTTAAAAACACTTCATTTAACTCTAACTCATTTGTCTAATAGGAGCGGATTGCCGCAAAATGCCTGGAAAACAAAATCGCCCTATATTCACCACATACCAGCTTCGATTCTATCAAAGGTGGCGTCAACGATTGGCTAGCAGAATCATTTGGTATGAAAAAAAAATTAAATAACAAATCTATGTCCATTTAACAATATTTCACTTATCACAGATCTGGCAAAAAACGTACCGATAGAACCAGATACGAATAACCCTGAAAATGGCATAGGAAGACTTTGCACATTGAAGCAACCTATTAGCATAATGGATGCAGTGCAATTAGTCAAGGAACGTACAAAATTGCCCTACGTGAGATTGGCCAAGAGCGGAGGTAGAGAATTATCAAGTTTTTACTGAACCCAATAATCTGTATTATCTATCATTAAATTTCTTTTTCTTCCACAGAAAGCACCGTGCAAACTGTAGCAATCTGCGCAGGATCAGGCACTTCCGTTTTAAAAGGAATATCCGCCGACCTGTTCTTAACTGGAGAGATGTTACACCACGACGTCCTGGACGCCGTTCACAATGGCACGAATGTCATCCTGACCAATCACTCGGATTCTGAACGTGGCTTCCTTCCAGTTTTTGGCAAGATCTTACAAAAAAGTCTAGGAGACACCATTAAGATCAGCATATCCAAAGAAGACACGGATCCATTGAAAACAGTATAATTGTTTCAGAAAAGTACGAAGCTTTCAATTTAATAAATAAAATGAAGCAACGTCCAATGCAATTGCTGTTTCACCTTGTAGTCTGTCCACCTTTCATAATCGCACCGAGTACCTTTATATATATCTTTTAAGATCCTGTAAAATGGATATATAGCAGAATAACGATCAAGTGAGTCAGTTCGCTTAATAGAACATAGCGCGTTAAGTGAACTTTGAGTTGCGAAAGGATTAGGAGTGAAATTGCTACCAGGAAAGCAAAGATCTAAAGCAGAATCTGTATAGCTTCGCAATTTAGCTGCAGTACATAATCAGTATACGATTCAATTACACGTCAGCTTTTACTCGTCGAATCTGCATTATATTTCACGCATTATATCCGCTGCATTGACCACAGGAGAAAGTTATCTTTTATCATAAACGCGCAGCGCTGTTATCTACTATACCGAAGACACACGATGAATATCGTAGTACGCATTTGAGAAAGTCATTAAAAAAAAACTTTCAAAGTCCTTGCAAAATCCTAAATGAAACTCGTTACTAGGCTACTTCGACATCTCGAACCATTCAAAAGTCATTAGAGCACAGTGCTTATAAGATAATTGATTTAACAAAGAATATATAATTTTATTTGGATCGTCACTCTGTCTGTCCTTCTCTTACGCGCGTCAGCGCCAATAGGTGTGTCTCTCTCGCACTCACCTCAGGTACAGAAACTCAGAAAGATATTAAAGGATTCTGCTTTTCTCTGAGAGGTCAGTGGATTTGGCGATTTGCCAGTAGTTAACGGAGTGTCTCATCCTTTAACATATAGTCATATAACATATATATATACATATGTATATAGTTATAATCTACTGGATTGTTCAAAGCCGTCGGCCATATCTGACTGGACTATACCTTAACGTTGACCCGCGAACTGTCCACTGGAGTCCCTGAACGGGCAGAACCGGATTGGTACATGGGTAGCACGCTGGAGTTGGTTCCCCAATCCGTAAGCCTTCTCTAGTAAAGGACTGGCGCTCTCGCGAGTAACATTCGCGCAAGGAGAGCTAACGCTCTGTCAGCAAACGGTGCGTTTCTTTTGCTTTTTATTTTTGTACAGTGATCAATAAACTTGTATATTCTGAAGGAACAATATCATTGTACAATTAACGGTTTGTAGTGAATGGTCTACGGGTGTTATTTAATAAATGAATTTACCTGTAGGTGCAATTTAAAATTTAGGAAAACTCTTGCAAGTTTTTCTTCAAACCGGATCGGTGCCGAGTACAGTTACTTTTATGAATTACTCGAAAAATTTTCTCTTGAGTCGGAGGATTCTTTTGAAAACTGGTATCTCGTCTGGTACCGTTGGATAAGACTTCTGGGGAATTCTTGTTTTCAAGAATTTTCTTCTTACCCGTATACCTGAGGAATATAGTTAGCTTAACGGAAGAGTGCGTAAAGTATTAGTTTGTCAGATTTGGAGTTTGTTGATACATACCGTGCCGTGTGCTTATGGTAGTTGGTATACTTAATGTGGATGGATGTACATAAATTAATTCCAAAGTAAGTAAAACTCTTTGTAACAGCAAGAACAGTTACTTGGGAATGCAGTTGTTTTTTTTAATGACTACATGGATACTGTACATTTAAATTTTCACTATTTCCTTCGTTCGGTAGAATGAGGAAAATTTGATTTTTTTTAAAAATCAATTGTTTGATTATACATGCAATCAAATTAACTGGTATGAGCTTATAGCTTTTGCGTGTATGAAGGTGTATCCAGGTGGTTTTAATATTTTGATTATTCACCCAGATAAGAAAAATCATACATCAATCGTTCAAGACGTACGTTGTGAATTATTGCTAAAGCATGTCTCCTTACATTAACGAGCCAATTAAAACAGTATTAAGTGGCAGCAGAGTTCAAGCAAGCCTTGACATAAAGAACAGCATTGAATTTCGACTCCATATATGGTCCGGGATACCCAACAGAAGTAATCCTAGAGAAAGACAGACTCTTCTGACGTTTTACTCAAAAATCAATCAATCGATTGGTTAATCGATCAATCGATACTTGGATTTGAATACGAGATGATTCAAGTACCTGAAGGTCCTTATCTCTATCGATAGCTTTGTTAGTTATTCCTCTATAAAAAAAAGTAAATGAAAAATGTAAAAAATTTCGTTCCAGTCCACTCAACGACATGCAAGTACAAATGAATAATAATTACTTTCTCCACAAGATATCTCGTGTCAGTTAAGTGAAACGAGTAGTTGTCCATGACTTTTTTCTGGAGAAAGGACCAAAAGACGTTACTTTCTTAACACGTACCCAGGGTCAGCATTTAATGCGTTATTGCCTCGCTTTTTGACCATAAGCACAGACGTCAAACGTAGATCAAGATCGTCCTCGAGATTGGTCATTTTCAGAAACTCCTGCTTCCGTTAATTTCCATGTAGACTAGACAGGCGATGAAATTGCGGCGAAGCGCGTCCATTTTACCGGCAAGGACACGCCACGAAACGGAACCTTCTTTCCTGTTCGCATTAAGGATAGAAGGTTTCTTAACTTATGCTACACTGCAATGTTTGCCCTCTATCTCCATCATAAATTCTGAGTGACTTTTGTTTAAAAAGAAACGAATCACGACTATCCTGATGAAGATTCTACGAGAATTGAGTTACCACAGTTCATTCCACAGCATCTCCTTAACAGACAATAGAAACAAGACAGTGCTTTCAATGCAATTTATAGGTTAAGATATTAACCGCTTGCGCTGCCAACGAATTGACAGATCTGCCTGAGAGGACTCTACAAAAACAAAAACATCTCGACGTGCGTCGCACGTCTTTCCAGCGCAAGTGGTTAAAGCAGGACAATGACTAACCAGAATTATCCAAATGAGGGAGACTGACTGGCACCCCGTAAACGTATCTACGTTCCTGTCGTCGCGATGCACATGTGTGGGTAATTCTCGTCCACCTTTCGAGTTTAAGGCGGGCAGCAGGCAGTGCCCTCGAAATCAGCAAAGAAACCGGCTTGACTAGCGGCATTGCGGCATTACCAGCGACCCACACTTTTCGCACCGTGTGCTTTGGGCTCCTGCCTCCAGGTAGTACCTATAGGTAATCACGCTATGACGTTCCTGGCCCGTACTCCTCCGTCTATCTTGCCTACGTATCCCTACGAGCCTGAAGGCGTTGTAAAAGGAGTACCAGTAGAAGAGATACGTTGGCCTCCTTACGCGCCGGATGACTCTCGCCTGACAGACGTATTAGATATCCCGTGGGTGTTCGCGACTCCACGCTACGCCGATTATGTCTTCGACACCGCATCCTCGCACTCTTTCATTCTAACGCGTATCACTCCCCGCCTCTCACCTTAACCCTCTTTCTAACCTTTCCACACCATTTCTATCTCCTCCTACGCGTTCTTAATTCTTATCCTTTAAGCTTGACTAAACGACACCGGATGACGGTTGCACCTACGTAAATGGTATCGAAAGAAAAAGTCGAGTAGTAATACATAATCCAGACTGTACGTTTATGTTGAAAAATAAATATATTAGAGGCATTACGGTATATCGTTCTTGTTAAACAATTCCTCCGATGGCTATTGCGATGTCGGATGTAATCCCGTGAGGAAAGTACCGCTGACTTTTGGATTAATATTATTTGGTGCGTCATGGTTTGTTCGGCATGGATCGCTCGATCGAATCGGACTTTTAACAAGTCACGATAAAAAAAACTTTAAACCCGTTATATACCAGGATAATCTTGTAGTTTAGGAATCTAACTGATCAATGAGTCAGGTTCGATCAGGTTTATCCAGAGTAACATTAGGAAAGACTCGATTACGATTTTACTCAATGAGTCAAATTACCACGTAGCCCTATTGAAACCGTTGAGTGCGTCACTGCAGCTTGAAGGTACTAACGAAGTCAGTTAGTATCTTTCGAATTATGAAACAGTCGAACGATCAAACGAGTGACTGTATCATGCACGATTCCTTTCTCCCTAAAGAAGTCAAAGTAGAATAATGTAGAAAAACAGGTACAAAAGTATATCGACCGACTACCAAGAACAAATCGGTAGCGAATGATAATCGAGGGTACCGCTTGGCGAATCCGTTAAAAGGCCAATTAAAGTGTTTCTTGCCATGAGACACCGTTACGCGTCGAGTTTGGTGCTAAAAACGAGTTAATTGCCACTCGAGTCTCCCAACTAAATGAAAACGTTAACGACCTACCGTGCGACGAGATCCGAGAGTACGATGACAGTCGATTCCTGGATGAATCAGTTGGTCCTTCTTTTTAATACGATTTTTTTATCCGTTTTTTTTTTTACAATTAGATTACTCGTGGGAACGGACGTAAGATCAGGATTGGATATTGAATTTATTTTTTTGTGACTGTGTTCACGAGGGCCCCTCTTGCACCCCAGGCTTCAGGATTTCGGTACGGCATTGTTCCTCGATGCTATCGTGGGTCGTGCAGGCCGCATTTACGGGGGCGAATACGTCCTTGAAGTCAGCCAACGGACTCGACGAACCACGTCCACGGTCCACCCACTCGTGGAGAAGCGGCCACGCAGCCATCTGGTTGCTCATCCTATGAGATTCTGTCTGTTTTATCGAGGGAATTAATTGCCAGTGCTTTACGCTTCTGGGGAGACTGAGAGGGATGAAAATTATCCCTGGATATTAATGAAGAATAATCAGGATAATATCACGCTCCAGGGTGATAGCATGTACGAGGATTCATGATACTTATATTTACCATCTTGGCTCAAAGTGCAATTTATATAACTATACAGTCTTATCGAAAGACCTGCAGTGATCTTCGCTTTCTTATTATTTCTTCTCTATACTGAATCATAATCCACTCTCTCTCTCTCTCTCTCTCGCTCTCTCTGTCTGACTACGTAATTGAAATTTAATGAAGATCCCTACCAGAGCTCGAAATGGCCTTACCGAATATCACGGTCTATCTCGATCACTGCGTAATCGTTTAAAGCACAACACTAGGCTACTATTTCTATTGAACGTAAGAAGCCTCGGGCGTTGTACGTTGCATAATACATGATTCGTGATGTAGGCCTACCTACAACCCAAATAAATCGAAAGTGATATATATATATATATATATAGTTATATGCGTATGCGTATTAATATAGTACAAATAGGTTATGGATATTTATACCTATTGATCTATTACAACGGTTGACACATAAGATTGTCTAATACTGAGAAGTCATAAGACATTGTATAGATAGGCAGGAAAGTTTAGTATTAAAAATGATACTTCAGATATACCCTGAACTCGTTTCCAGACTAAATTTAGGTCTAGAGAAATTGTCAGTGGACAAAAGGTAGAGATCGATCAGATCATTATCCAAAAAATCATGATAATGGTGAATGTTTGGTAGTAGAGCCCTTTTACAATGGTGGCCGTCAAAAACCGTGTATATATACGTATACAGACATACATATAAATAAATCTGGAGCCAGTATAAACGAAAGGATAATGTTGTCCAAGCAATACTTTTCCACAATCATTCCTACATGATCCGTGTCACTGGAATACAAATCTGTACATGCATATAGTAAACTCGAATGAGTCGCAGTAATTTTAGCACGTGAGTAATCGAATTAACGATGTGATATTTGCGTTGCAGCGCAAATCGCAAAGAGATGATCGAGCCCCGGTATTGAGCAAGATCTGCCCACACGAACGGAAGATGGAACTGGTATTCTCACCAGGTAGGATAAATGACAACGAGGGAGATCCCTTCCAGAATGAAGAGGTACGTGAGTGGTCCCACGTCGATCGTCTGACTGGCATGCTAGAACGTGCCAGGATCGAGACCGGTCGATGGCAAACTAGAAACCAGGGTGCTGCACATTCCTACGGCAAGGTAGATTATCGATAATTACCAGGTCTCTGAGTTCTGATAAACATTTATTTAAATGATTGTATTACCACTGCTCTTCCGTCCAACCAGGTGATCGACTCGCGTGAACGTAATTCCGCAGACGGTAGTGTCGTGCAGAAGGCTAGGAGGCAGGTTGAGATATTCCAAAGTCAAGCAGCTGGTGGCAGGTCATACCAGGTCGTGAGAGCCTCTCAATGGTCATCTTCCAGAGTCACTGACTCCACCTCCACCAGTCCTGTACCTGTCACTTTTGTAAGCGTATAGAATTTTTCTGTATACTTTTTTCCTGCACTATAAATCATCTTCTTAAGGAACGTCTGCGTTACAGAGTGACACTCACCGCAAGAACGAAGCGGATGGCAAGGTTGAGGTTAAGGCTGGTTTTCGAAGAGCGATCACGGCGACAGAGGATCCTGGTCTGAACAGATTGTCTCAGGTGTCGAGACTGTGTAGGCAGATTCACAACGAGACCCTTAACAATAAATCCTTGACAGCGTCCAAGCTGAATTCTTCGCCGGTGACTAACAGGCGTCTGAAGAGACCAGAAGTAAGAGAGGATGGAAGGTCCTTGTGTTTGCTGAACGGAAAGAAGAGCACGTCCAACGAAGATATAACGAATTTGATTAACGAAAAGGATACGGTTGTTCCGCAGACTAAATTTACCAGAGATTGTAGAACAAGACGTTCTCTGCAGATAACGAACTCTAGTACGGATTCAAGTTGGAGAGACAGGAAAGAAGCCAACAGGAAGATGAACGGAACCGGCAGTGTGAGACTATCAGACCTGAGTTTGAAATCCAAAGCCACCACGAATGGTACACACAAGATAGACATCAAGGAACCTGATGATTATTCTAGAAAAGAGAGCACGTTGACCCATGGAGAGAATGAAAGCGTGCAGCATGAAAATATTGTTAAAAAATTTGATTCCACTGTAGGAATTAATCGTAACAAGCTCAGGTCTTATGTGCTGGGTGTGGAAAGTTCCAGCGATAAGGAAACAGACAGTTCTGCTAGTAATGTCAGTGACGCAACGACACGCAGAATTTTATCTACGCTTTCCTTCAAAGATACTACTGAAAGAGACAGCGAAAGTTCAAACAGTGGTAGCGAAAATTCTCCACGTAGAATTTCAACGCTTTCCTTCAAAGATTTTAACCCGATCAGAGATAAGAATGATAACTCTATTGATAACCATAACGAAATTAGTCGAAGGACCTCTAAGATCTCTTTTGATAAACGTGACAAGGGTGACAGAGACTTTGACAACTATGAATATCACAGGCCACAGACATTGTCCAGCATTGCCAATATATCCAAGACACTTCATTCTGTTCCTTCTATTAAATCTACCACCTCAGGTAAATCCAATACTACTGTAGTCCACCTGAGCAGTACTCCGTCTGATCAGGATAGTCATTTACTGTCCAAGCAGAACATAGTGACGGTGAGATCATCAGGAACGAACGTAGGAACCATTCCTGTAGGAGTACTTCAGTGTAGAATTCAGTCATCCAGCGTTCATCATCCTAATGAGAGTTTGAACGACCTGGACCTTGAGAGGCACAAGGAGTATCATCTACAAGAAGAATTAGACTTGAGAAACCAGGTCGATTCCTTAGATAAAAATAGTCATACGCACAACGACTTCCTGGGCGTGTCTCTAGGCAGGCCAACGAAGAAGGTGGGTTTCTGCAAAACGGAAGTTCACTTTGCTGCGGATTCCGGGAAGGTGAATATCGTCGAGACGGACGGGAAGCCGCCGCCGTCTAATAAATTTCGTAGACGTCGTCGTGGCACTCTGGGTATTCCTGTAATCAATAAGAATCTGCCTCATATTCATTTCGGCGATACTTCCTATGAGAAATATATATTCGGTGGCAGTAATACTGTCCAGGGTGATAAGATTACGTCACCGGATCTCAGTAACATCCGGAAACGTGGTGAATTTGAGAAATCATTGAAGCCAACAGATTCAAATGTGATATTTGATCAGAAAAATGGATGGGGAGTAAGACTGAAATCCATCCTCGAGCCCGAATATAGAAATAGTATTAATGTTGACATCACTTCCGGTATCGGTTACGATAACGATGCGAAAACAATGGATCAAAAGATACGTGGTCACACTACTACGGTGAATCTTGGTGCTAACGTTCTGTCCAAAATGCAGCATATCGAGCAAGGTATTTATCAGTGATAAAAAAACTATTTCAAAAATTCATTCCCAAATACTATAGCATGCAGAGTAATATATTCCTACGTCTTATCGCGTCTATCGATGATTAAATTCTTTTTTTTGCAAAATGGCCACCGCCATACTATATCCTTATTTATTACTGTGCATGCACAATACGTAGAGTAGACTTTAATTGAATTAACCAATGATAAAAATAACAATATTTCATCAATCTACTTCCTACGGCTGCTTCTTATCATTAATGCGTCTATATATGATTTTTTTTTTTTACTATTTTAACAGTAATACTGCGCGGGAGATGACTGGTTCATTTTATCAGTATCAGTAAAATTCAACTCGAACCTTTACAGTAACGAGATAGAAAAAAGTAAGATATGCTTGCATCGAGCTCTCCACTTTATCTCTTTCATCCCGTAAGCACTGTACCATCCGGTAGAACGTAAATTGCCAATTAAGGCAATTAACAACGTAACGCTTCGTTACTAAAATTCACAAAATCATACAAAAAAAAAGGACGACAACGAAAAAAGATCCTCTGCAAATCAAAAAAGCTCATTGCGCAGTTCTCTACCAAATTATCAAGACATCGTATCTGCTTCTTGTCGTCTGCAACCACGACTCAAATTATCCTACAGTAATCACAATAATAACTCGACCTTCAAGTAATTTTTACTTTTCAATTGTAATAGGTAGTAGCTTGTGCTATAGCAAAAAAAAAGGCTCTATCATTTCACACTGCTTCTGTTACAGCAAGTCTTCAGCGTTATTGCGAAGCGACATAATCCAACCGCCTGTCGAGCGTCAACTTTCTCGTTAAAAATTGATTTATAGTATTATAGATTAAAAAAATTAAATTCTTAGGTTATTCTATGCTCCTCCTTCTTGCAGTAACGCAAACGTAGTTGTCTCGTTTACAAAAGAGCATTTTCACGCTACTCTGACGAATTTAATTAATAAATATTTTCTAATGTATCCAAGTAACACGAATCTATCACACGCATGGGAAGGTCTCAAAGTCGCAAGTATGATATACGTATGCACGCGAGTATAGAGTGTGAAAGAGTGTGTGAGAGAGGGAGAGAGAGAGAGAGAAAGTGATAAACAACAAAGCAGAGAAAAAATACAATTTCCAGGGAAATGCAATCCTATAAGCACTGGAATTCATCTGCGTTTTGAAGCACGACCAGAATCATTAGGATCCGTAACAAGGAGGAGTAAACTAGAGGACTTAGAGAACTCTAGAAAGATTTCACTCCAGATGCCATCAGGGATGTCTAGGCTGTCCAGACCTTTGATCCAGAATCATCAACCTGGACTGAAGTCCACTCATCTTGTCATGAGTCTGAAGAGTGCCAATAACATTAGCGCTGTCATCAGGAATAAAATCAGTGATGACTTCGACGTGATTTCGCACGGCAGGTTAACCCAAGATGATTTGCGCGACACGGCAGCATCTTTGAAGAAAAATAATACAATGATTAGCATAAATAAAAATAGCCTGAAATCGCTAGAGAATATTTCAAACGATACAAAGACTCCATTCTTATCCCTCGTTAACGTACAGAATGCTCCAGTTCGTTCGACGAATTTTGATAATTTCTTCTCCTCGCTTCCTGCCTGCACGGAAGTGACGCTGCGTCGAGAGGAGGCTGATTTTGATCTGGAGAATAATAATTGTAAGACGTCAAGCAACATTTCGAATGTATTTTCTACGAAGAACGAGATAACGTCATCCGCCATGATGAAAATGAAACTGAATACTGGAGTCAATGTGAACACGCCTTACTATTCGAATCGTATGAAAATAATGACATCGAGAATACCCAATCGTATTGGGTGCGCCAGCTGCAAGAGAACGATTAATAAAATAATAAAAAATCAAGATAATCAGCAGCAGTACAGTTCCGGAAGTGAACAAGCCGACGAGGAAGTTCGTTCGTACATGCTGGGATCGGATCTTCATGAAGATCAATATTCATGTAACGAATTCGATCGTACGGAATTTAAGGAGACGAAGAGACTCGATAAATGGAAATCAAGTCCACCCCTGATTATTCATACTAAAGAAGATAATATTTGCACAGGTAGCAGCAGGCTTAAGAATAATTGCGATCATTTTCATTTTTACTCCCTTCACTATACATATAGTCATTGCGCAATTGATTTTTAACATTTTTTTTTCTATTGTCAATTTTCATTGTAAACTCCGTGCGTCGTTATCGAAATCTATCTTGTTATCACAAAGGTTCGAGTATTTTATAAAATAAAAAAAGAGAGATATTATCTAGCTTTACGCAGCCGTGAGAACTGACTCGCTTTTAAAGTAACGAAATTGATTTACCTTATTGATTATTAATTGTATTATGATTTTCATTCCCACAGAAGAATCAGGTCTGAATAACGTCGATGAACTCCTGCTCAATGAGATCTCAGAAACCATAGCGATCCCTAGTCCGGAAGGGAGACGCAAGGAGCCATCGATAGATCCAGTCGAGAGAGTCTGTGATAAGAAAGATCCGGTATTAGGAAAAGTCAACAAGATTGATAGTAACAGTGTTTTATCTTCGGACACAGAAAATAATCCTGTACTTCTTAAAGTGGTGACTACTCACAAGCCAGTGACTGCTATAGTGGAGAGCGATCGTTCTCCTGATCTTAATAAAAGAAAGATAAGGTCCACGATTATAAATAAAGACGAGAGAGTTATAGAGCATAGTAAAAAAGGATCACGAAGGACTCTTGATATAATGGATAGACGAGCGAAGCACGAAGCCAAAGATCACTGTGATAATTCCAGAGAAAAAATAACGAAGAATTCATATAATAAAAAGGACAATAATCTAGATCCTGTGTACGTTAATGTCTTTGACGCTACTGAGAGTGACGTACCGCTCTATGAGAACTATCAGGTTGATAATAAAAAGGAGTCCAAGGAAGATAGAAAGGATAAGAGTGTGAATGGCGAGCGCGATTCACCTTTGGCAGAATTAAAGAGAGTGACCAATGAGACACTGAGGTCTGTGAACGAAAGAGGATCAAAATCTGATTCTAGTAGGAAGGATAGCAAGGATGAAAGTAACGTAAGAGAATCTCGTAGAGTGAAGAAGCATCAGCTGGATACAATTTCCGAGAGCAGGGTAAACGACAGTGAGAAGCGTGGTAGAAGGAAGGAGATTAAATTGAAAGGTAAAGAGAGAAGACTCACCTCTTCGTCCACGTCGAGTATTGACAGTATTGGTCGGATGCCAAGTGAAACTGTCAAGAGACAAAATTCCAAACGACACGATAACAAGTCTACGGGATCAAGAGACTCGACCGAGTCTCGCGCCAAGTCTGGTAATTCGCGTGAAGGTAGCAGAGATCGTAAGAGAGTCGTGGATGACGTATCGGACGGTAAAGTCACTCGCGACAAAGGAGATTCCGTCGGTAAAGAAAAATCGAAAAATTCTACGAATAAAATTAGGGAATTAGCTGGAAATATTAATGTTGACAAGAAACTTAATGGGTCCACTAGGTAAGCTAGTGAATAATATAATTAATTCATTTTTATGTCATCATTTTTACTTTCAGATCTAAGAAACCAATTGAAATTGTATATCAGACGGCAGTGTATAATATGAAAAATGAAAAACTTTCGAAACCTTTGAAAACGAAGGAATCAAAGTCACCGCGATACATTAATGATCTCATATGCGGAAGTAAATCGAAACGGCCAGTCGATGTGAAACGTGTCAAAGGTAATTACAATGGACTTTGATTGTATTTGATTATATTTATATCATTAATAAATATTATTCATGTACCAGCTACTGCTACGTCGCAGCAGTACACGAGTAACAAAGGTGCTTCCCAGGCAAACAGGTAAATTTTTCAATAATTATATTTAATTTAAAAAACACTTAATGTAATCGCAATAAAATTAATCACCTTTTCGTTATTCTTGCAGATACTGGAAATAAAAGAAATGAAGTAACTAAAACTCGAGTCTCTTCGCGTCGACAAGTTCCTCGTATCTCTTACTCAACCTTCCAGGCTAATAATAAAACTTAATACTAAATTAAGAAGCTGTGCTACTACGTATTAGGCAAAATAATAGTTCCTCTTTACACATGCTTATTACTTCCTATACTGGAGCTTTCTTCAAATAAAATTTACAATTTCACAAAAAGTATCCTTACGTTGCAGTTACTTGCGAGCAAGTTCTTTCAATCCTCAAAAATAAATAGGGACAAATGACAACACATATTTTATCAATAGATTTACAAGCTATATTTTTTCAAGAAGGCCAATGATATGTAAAAATACATATATTATCTATATACAATACTTTATAATATTATAGGTGCAGCAACCAAGATATACATATATCATACATATATTCATATTTGCAATATCGAGTGGAACTCGCCAAGAATTCACAGAAGAAGTTCTTCCGCTTTGCTAATAAAATTATTAGAACGCATCAACCCAATTATCAATGAACAAGTTGCAATGACGAGAAGGAAATTATGAAGAACAGGTTAACAATCATTAGCGAATCATTAAGTTTACCCTGCGACTTCGCGCACACTACTTATACACCTAACTACCATTTCTCATAAGAGGCATTTCAGTTTTTGTCATCTTCACATTTATTTCATTCTTTTTCTTTGTTTCTCTTCTCTTGCCCTACAGTTCAGATTGGCTAAAAAGACAACTGACACTGAGGACAAACCCTGACTGTCACGTTACTCGCATGCAAAAAATTATTAATAAGAACCCATAAGAGGAAAAAGAAAATATATAAATTCTGTTACAAAACTCAAAGTGTGAACATATCGGATCAGATAAAAAGAATTAATCGACTTACAGAGTAACGCGACAAATCACTTAAAAGTAAATTGTACGATTACAACAGTATCCCTCGTTAAAATCATCATCAGCCTGTACAAAGCGTATTTTACGTATTATTGGAAAATTCTTTTCTTTTACACGGAATCTCGCGTGTCCTGTGATACGAGCTAATGCTTAGCACAATTTTACACAGTCATCACGAGAATCCTGAGGTATGGACAAAGTCGGGTGTCACAGACAAGACTTTAATATATATATATATATGTGTTAGTTTTTTCTGGATGCCATTTTCTCTTAAAGACACATTATTGAATCGAGATAAAAAAATCAAGGACGAGTCGTTAGTGAACAATAAGAATATTATCGAATTAATCCGCTTTCTTGATGTTTGTTTAACTGCATTATTTTTCTTAAGTTCCTCGTAAACGACATAAAAATACCCTCGATGCTCCGAAGGGATGGTAAAACTCGAATATTTTTCCACGATTACAGCGAGTGACGTGAACGAAGTGAAACGAGAGATATTTTGCTAAAAAGTTTACATGGCGACAAATAATATGTTTAAAATATCGTTTCTACCCATATTCTATTATCTGATACATAATAATTAATTAATATCTATTTTATATATATATATATATATATATATATATATATATATTTATATGTATATACTGCAATCTGCAAGGCACTCCAGATTTATATTACATCTATATTTTACAACGTGTGTGACGTCCAGCGCAGAGAATACGTGGCGAATTGAAAAATTGGCGAAATATCAGTTACAGTACTAACATCTAATACATAGTACTAGTTTGACTTCTGCCGTATCTCTTCCATTTTTTCGCATCTTGCCATTGGTATCATTCAATTCGCTCGCACTTTTTTCCCCTCGGTACCCTGCACTGGACAGAGGAAAGCAAATTGTATTCTAAACATTTCCCCTTTCGATATACAATATTATCCCAATAAGCATGAGGATTCGATTCGCGATCAAAGAATCCAGAGTCCCAGGTGACTCGCGCGCGATTATCACTTGCAAAAATATTACTCGCCGTCGACAAATTCACCTTTCGCCCTTAGCACAGGATACACAGAGGACAAACTACAATTTTCAAAAATCTTTCGTTCTCTCGACAATGTGGAGAGCACGAAAGAGATATTACAAACTGACAGTTTAAACAGTCGCCACAAGCGTATTGCTTCGTGCAGACTTAAGATTCGTGTCACGCACGTCGGGCCCAACTGTCTTATAAATATCGTCAATAAAAGGACCTCTCGTCTATCCCGCCGTCTGATGTTTATACAAAAAATAGGGTCCTCGAAATTCTTGCCTACAGCAGTGTTTGCGTAACTCGCAAACCTTTGGCTTCTCTTTGCTTTAGTACAGGGCAAGTTTCACAAGCCTTCTTCGACGTAACAGTATTACTAGTAGTCATAGTGTGGTGGTGAAGTTTGAAATGGTAGATAGTAACAACAGTGTATTAGCAGTAGTGGTAGTAGCAGTAGTAGTAGTAGTAGTAGTAAAAGTAGTGGTGGTAGCAGTAGTGGTAGTAGTTATGGATGGTAGTAGTAGTAGTAGTAGTAGTAGGTAGTACATAAATACAATATGTTACAAGTGACACTTAACTATACGAATGCATGTACATCACTGTTGTCCACCTAACAACATTTATGATAACGCACGAGTAACAGTACATGTACAGGGTCGCAAAACGCGTCTTTGATACGTCGTTCCAGCATGAAGTACCAACCTCAGTCAGTCTTTTGCTGGTAAAGTTCTTTCAGCGACTTAAGTTCGTCGATCAGGGTCTGGTTTCTATTTTCCAGCACAGCCACTCGATTCTCTAAACACTTTATGTACTCCTTCTTTTTTCTTCTACACTCGCGCGCCGCCTCTCTGCAAGTATTTCAGTCTGTTTAATCATCAAGCCCGTTTTTCCCACACTATTGCGGAAATCGCTAATGTAAGCAGAAAGACACATTGGCCGTGAGTCACGTGTGTTTCTTTCATTTCTTTCCTCCTTCGGTTATTTCTATATACGAGAAAGAGAGAAGATATATGTAAGATAAAAGATAAAGATTCTCACCTGTTCTTCAGTAGCCTTAGTTCTCGCTTCCTGGCTGCATCTTCCACCACGACACCGTGACCTGTGTGAGCTGTAAAAGTGAAGGAAACTGTATACTTGGAGTAAACGTTGGTATTGCGACCAATACTGCAACAGTACCAAAGACGTAAAGACAACGCAACTAAATAAAGATACAATTTATCCCAGTCCATGAAATCTAAGTAATGCGAAGTGACTGTGACAATGAAGTTCGAATAATCAATTACTCTACCTTGCAAGAAACATAGGGAACAAACCTGGGACAAAGAACTGAGCATCCGGACCCTGTGCGTATTGTACTATAGCTCCACCAGCTGTCGCTGCATTACTCATAGTTAGTGTATGTAGACCAGGTACACCTTCTCCTTGAGTAGTAATCTGAATAGTGCCAGCAGGAATAACTGTAAAAAAATTTTCAATTAGATACCGATCCTCTCCTCGCCTTGAAATTGATACAACGTGCAATAAAAGAGAATTTACTGGCGTTTGTTATGACCGGAAGTAACAAAGTCCTCCTGAACATCCTATATCGTTCTTTGATACTTGAAAAATATTGTACATACAACCCCCTTGTAAAGCTGTATACTCGTTAAAAGTGAAACGTTCATCGTGCAATTGATAGTCAGCAGTGAGAAAAAATAAAATCCCATGAACTAGGATGCCACACCAAGCATAAAATACTATAACGGTATATCTTAAAACGCAATAAGTGTAATAAAAGCACGAGACGATAAATAAGTAATTATCGTCGCTCTTATTCCTGTCTTTTGCTTTTATTGTTATTAATTGACTGATAAACGCTACGCGTAAGAGACCCCACGGTGTATAAATGTTCTTGCTTTGATTTTTTTTAAGCTAAATTCATTGTGATAAGCAATTAGGAGTAGCCGCTGAGGTGAAAGTGATTGGTTGGGCGACAGGAAAGATATACAGAAGAAAAAGTAACCAACCTGTCTGGTAATGGAGCGAGTGGGAAGACACTTCACTGTCGACGTTAGAGTCACACTCCGAGGAGGATTCTAGGGGGGGCAAACGACCCTCTGTAACACCGAATCAATCGAACCCCCCGTTAAAACAAAAAGAGCAATGATCTGGCTAATCATCAGTAATTGATATTAATCTCTAGGACTTATGTGAAAAAATATAGTCGCAGCAGCTCTTTCATTGTTGGGAATGATTACAATGACTTTTTTCAACTACGAGTTATCCGCATCCAGAAAGTTTTCATTAGAATTACATTAATAGCAAAGGATGTACAAACATACTTTCTGGCTACAGAATTCTGGCGTTTGGACAAATATTAAAAATAAAAAACTTGTCCTGTGCAGGCAAGACATGTATCAAGACAATTAAGGTAGCATTTCTTCTAGCTTATAAATAGAAATTAAACAGCATTGTATGAGATACCTAAATTTTGATAACACTATCGTTATTCTATGATTAGATAATTATCAGAATGTATGTCTGTATATACGCTGAAGCATGATTGGCGAAAAACACGAGAATAAGATTGTATAAATTTCATCTGTGTGTTTTGTTTGTTAATTAAAATAAACTGCCCCACCTGTCCCACCTCGGAGTACGCTATTGAACAGTATAAAAAGTAAACGTACACGGAGCAATAGTAATTGGAAAAAGAAGTAGCATGCCAATAACTTTAGAACGTACTACGAAGAATCGACAGGTAGATCATTTTCAAATATTCTTATCATACAAAAACCCAAGTCTCGTAGTCGGGCAATTTATCAGGGTGCTCGCGCTAAGGAACTAAATAAGCAAAGCGTCGTCGCCACATTGCACTAAAGAATTGAAGCTGCTCCTGGCGGCACTGAAGATGCAACAAGAGGAATACGCAATAGCACTTATGATCATATGTCATGTACACAGAAAGGTGGGTAATAGCTTGGCATGGCATCCTGGCTTTAACCTAACGTATCCTAGATACGTAGGGATGGCGTGTTGCACAGGTATACGTAGAGCCTCTTCAATTTAATGATAAGAACTGATACTTTCTCTCATAGTCATCGATCCACCATTGCACTGTCACCGAGCTAGGCTGGTAAAACGTATGAAATCACATGCACTTCTTGATATGAAGCAATGAAAGGAACTACTGCGGCAAGATATCCTTGAAATATAATGATCAACCTACGAATTGAGACATTTTTCTTCCATCCCGTATTGTATTTCGTTATCTTTAATCAGGCGATAATACAGAATCGCGGCATTGATTCAACTAAGGACTTATCTCCTTAACGAGGCTCGATACGATTGCTTGTGTATATAAATATTCGCGACGCAACGCAATTATGCTTGCAGTACGCACGTTTTACTTGCTTATTTACGGCTGTGAGATTGGAGAAGTGTTGTAAATAATTGCCTGGTGTTTACCTGCAATCTCACCTCCGCCTAAGTCGTTAAGAATCTTTCTGTAGGATGGCCGCCGCGTGAGAATGTCTCGTCTGTTCTTGGGTGATTCCTCGTCGGAGAAGCTGTCGTCGCTGCCAGTTTCGACGACCTTTTTATGAAAATAAAAAGTATTATGAAATTATGTTGATTAGGAAAAACCTTATTCAATAAGCCCAAGCAAAATAAACATAGACCTTGTATCCCGTGTGTACCTCTAGCGTCTGTAGACTGCCTTGCGTCGTTTGGATGACGGAATTTGGTTTACTGACGAGGATGACATTTCCCTTGGAAATGGCTACGGGTTGTATGTTTGTCGCAGTCTGAATAACAGACTGTTGGTTGGGCTGTATTACAGATTGTACCTGAAACAATGTAAAAAAATAAGTATAGACTATAGTCATATAGAGTAGGTATTAATGTTTAGATAGGAGATTGCTACAAGTTTTCAAAAATAGTACCAAGTCGACTTTAAAATGGACTTGAAGAGAAAAGAAAACGTCACGGATACCATAAATCTGTGAATATTTGCACTGTCCTACTGAGACTATCTGTCTCAAAAACTGACTAATTCCATGTAGTACTGTTTACGCAGCGTTGGTATTTATCAGAATTCGAAGTTAATGAGTGTACACAGTACAAAACACGATTCAAATTATTTGTCAATTAGTATGATTGTACTTGGCCTTGTGCACATTTGTCACAGACGGTACCGTGATTGCAAAATAAAGTTTTTTTGAGATTTAAAATGGTAGCATTGTAGCGAGCATATAAGTGAAACATAAGGTGTACATTCTTGAAAGCCAAAGAGCGGTTTGTGCCAGTACCGTTCTTGGCAGATATTCTACGATGCACTGAGGGACCAAAACCAGCATTATGCAAAATGAATGGAATTAGAGTGTCTACCTGATAAATCAAAAAGCAAAATTGTAATAAATCGTGAGGCATGCTCGGAAATAAAAGTAAAATCAAATATGTTATCGAGCATAGATACACAGGAGAACCTCCTGTATACCTGCGTGGTCCCTGAAGAAGGGAGTGTCAGTTGCACAATGCTGGTGGACGCTACCAGATGATGGGTTTGATGTTGGTGGGATCTACTGAGAGACTGTACCGATGTAGCAATTGCTGGTGCAGCATCACCGCTCTGGGAGCCCTGCGACAAAGGGTCAACAGCTGATCCGTTTTCTTCAACCATACTTTCCATAGCCTGGGGACCTCGAGCCCTAGAAAAATAAGAGATCACTAATAACACAGCTATCGTAACAATAAACAAATATAGATATACTATACGACACAAAATATACCACTTATAAAATATATCTGCTTAACAAGAATGTCTCTACCAACGTAACAGATATATAAATTAAATATGAATATAACAAAAGATAGCCGAAAATATAAAAACCTTTCTCAAAGAAATAGAGCTTATCTTTATCATCACTATTTACTACTCCCAAGAAGATTTTGATGAAATCAGTCATAAATACTGTGTCAACTTAACAAACACCACCGTAAGTATCCAGTAGAAAAATAAATAAGAGTACAAAAATCACGACGATAAACACTGACAAATAATTAAAAGGATATAAAGAACGAGTGAAAATTAATTAAATCTCATTAGGAATCATCGAACCGTTTCGAAATCTCCCGCCAGTGTGAAGTACACGGCGCAGCAACTGCGTCATTTACATAAGCGTGTCTAAAAATAATAAGTGAACAATAAACCGAAAGAGGATGTTTTCCGCGAGTAGCTTGCAGGTAAACACCGCGTCGTAAGCGAGACTCAAGAAGAATCCATGATCGCGAATAACGTGTCGAGGATTCAAGTGGTCAGTCAGGAACGGATAGTTCGCGCCGCGCGAATCCACGGGACGGCTGCACTTTTGAAGAAATTCCAGCAAAGATCTTTCTCAAGACGCCATATTTTACAGCTTATCCGGCGGTAGACGCGAAACTCGCGATGTTAGCCACGCGAAACACGACAGGGACGGGTCAGCAGGCATTTCGGGTGTATTGCAAGTGCGGTGGTCCATGCCCGCTTGTTATTATTCTCCAGCTGGGTACTTACCAGTTACGTATTCCTCGTCACCAACTTTGCTGCAATCGGAGTGGGCAAACGGGCAGGTACGTAGCAGCCACGTCAAAACTCCAGTGGCTTCGTCACTGGTGGAGCCCACGACCTCCGAGCTGCGCGTCACCACCAAAATGGCCGACCAGCTCCCCGTCGACCCCTTGTGGCCGGCCCGCGCATCACCTTTCCCACTTTTACGCCAGATTAAACGTCCGATTCTCCGATTCCTTTTCTCGAAGAAACCGCACGAAGCATCTACACGAACCAAAGACTCTCGTCCAAGTTCCTTACGATTTTTCCACTCCATCACATACTGTACTCCATCACACATCTACTCGCCGAGCTTTAACACGAGGCCCCACACGTGCCACAGGGACTACTTTTTTCCACAGCCAGTATCGCACCATTCAAAATTAGCACAATCAATGTCCATTGCTCAATGTTTTACTTAAGTTTTTCTAATATTTTCTACATCATTTTCTACGTGGCAATTGCTAAATGTCGCCAGAGTACGAAAGCTGCAGCACCGTATACTTCAGGCAAAGTACTGCACTAAACATAGAGTATAGTAAAATTTCGTTCTATCTTCAGACGTTTCTATCTTCATCAAATTAATATTTGTTGCAGTTTTTTAAATTATTTAATACCGTAAAAAGACTAATACTTGCTACTGACTGTATTGTGTATGCATCATAAAAAACAGCTAGTCACTTTTATTTTAATTTTCATCAAGAAATCGACCTTCTCCAATGAATAGTTTATAACGTGCATGTATATAGCTTGTGCTATAATGAAGACACAATAACGATTCCTTAACCGACACATTTTAATTTAGCGAACATCCTGTTTGCATTATGATTAGCATTGACAAAATTACGCATTTCCACCTGATATGATCAAACAAGCGATGCAGGCATGTATCGTGTGATTAAATATTATTTTCAATTTCGCAGGTTTTTACTCATAAATAAAATATCTTCCATCACATTTCCATTTTAATTTTACATATCATTGGTGACCTACGTCATTGGAGAATGACGACAATGCGGTTACTTAAAAACAATCAAACTCCACAATGAATACCAAAATTCCAATTGTCGACTTATGCAACCAAGTCTGAAGATATAATAAGGTTTAGACAGAAGAGAAATTTCCACAGATTTCTGCCAGACTTGATTCTCAATTGTTACAATAATTGACCCAAGTGTAAAAGAAGCTCGTGTATTTTATATTCCAGCCTCAGTGAACTTTTGCTTAAAATCTTTCCAGTTAAAACGTTATCAGTACAAAGCGCGTTCGCGCTTCAACAGATCTCAAAATAAATATTAACGAAACACATGAAAATTCTAATAAATCATCTGATAAAACGATATGCGAAGAACAGGCATGAGTAGTCAAAAATAAAAAAAGCCCTAAACAAGAACTAAATTAGATCCAATGTAGTTACAAAGGAATCGTGTAAGTTGAAAGAATGAGGGAAATACAGGCTAATGGTGACGTGTTATTTATTTCACATTTTTAAACATTCTCTCCATTTTTCCAGATAAACTTTGTCAGCTTGGAAAACTGAAAGGATCCACGTACGTTAGTTATAACGTTATTCCATCAAGCTATGTACCCCGATGACTCGACGCTGTGCGCTACGGTGATTTTCCGCTTTCGTTATTGCGATAGAAGAGAGAAGTCCGCTCTAAAATGACCCCTTCGCTGCCCTCGTCCTTTCCTGCCCTCATGAGCACAGTGGGGAGTTACTCACGTCATCCGATGACGTCATTCGCCACATTTATATACCTATATATGTACATCCACACATATTCATACTCTTCTCATAAATACTGACTCTCTCTCTTTGTCGCACTATGACTATACAGTATACATTCGTCTAACTCTCCTGAACGTATTATTGCATCTGGTCTGGCAACTAATATCTACTTTCAATAAAATAGTAGCTTAGCAATAACAATGTTTTATATTCAGCATGTAAAACTTGTACAGGTGCATAGTACGTTAGCAAGTAAATGTTTACAAGGGCCATTTTATTATGAGTTTCAATGCAAAAGAGTCCCTTGAATCGAATTTTCTAAATATAGAATGACTTTAGAATACAAAAAAAATACTGATTTGTGGGTAATAAAAAAAGGTTAATGTGATGAAATCGAATGATATATGTTATTGACGGTATCCAACGAATTTTTCAGTGTACTTTCTGGTCAGTCGTGGGAGAGCAGGATCGCACGATAAAATCGATCGCTTCGCTACGGGCAGGAACTACATGCACACGTACATTCTGGCTGACGTAATTTCGTACTGAATGACGTCATGCCAGTAAAATGACTCACGCGGATGTCAAGTAACGCATAAGGTGGACTGTACTGTCATACTACGAGTCGTCGAATACGTTGCGTTTTGATACGACAGCATTTTTTGTTCTTTTTATAATTTGGAGAAATGGTGCAAGCAAATCTCGAAGCTTTAATTTTTGTAGCGTTGGTCTGAGATACCAGGATACAGTTACAGGAAACAGATAACTTGGAATCCATAATGGTCTATTGGAAAATATTGCAGAGCGTCCTACCCCCTGTAATACCAATGCTGTAAAAGCTTTTGAGAAATTATCGCTCTAATGTATATCCATAAATTAGAGAAAAGACGTTATTTTAAGGTTTTGAAGAACGAAAAGAAACCAGACTCAATTAGTCTTCGTCTAACGATGTTCATTTCTTAGTAATAAATTTCCAATAGGTTTATCGCTGAGCTTATCGTGTTTGTATATATAGTTTCCGCGTAGAATCGTGGCCACTACTCGACCGTACAATTCCTTGCCTTCGTAGGGAGTTAACTGAAAGATCAATCAGAGTTCAGATGGGGCAGGTTAAAGAAAAAGAGGAATCATTAATGCTATCATAGCAGTAGTCAAAATGCGAACCTTGTTCTTGTGGAGAATCTCGGATTCTTTAATCTGCAAATAAGTGTAGTGTTTCTATAGACATTGAAATTTCTTATTCAATCTGCTTACGGCATTTTAATTAGATGTACATACCTTAATGATTTTTTCTGGATCCCACACGACGAAATCGGCATCCATACCTTCTTCAAGGCTACCCTTACGTTTATTTAAGGAGCAAAGTTCAGCGGGAACTCGTGTCAATAACCGTGAGACATCCTGTAAAGTCAATCCCTTCTCCTTGGCTCCAGTCCACATTAATGGGAGGCCTGTGTATGGCAATCTTATTGACTAATTCTTAAAAATAATCACCGTAAATACGTACCGAATTGTAATGATGAAATTCCGCCCCAAGCAGCAAGAAAGTCACCACATCTTTTTAATTCTGCTGTGCACGGTGAATGATCTGACACTACCATGTCCAAAGTACCGTCTTGCAGTCCTCTCCATAATTTATCCTTCAAATAAAGAACAAGCTTTATTCCATTGACCTATTGTTTCTTTTGGTAGGACTGTATGACCTTACTTGATTTGATTTTTCACGAATTGGTGGACAGCATTTGTACTCAGTTGCATTCTTCGGAACTTGTTCGGCAGAGAGATTCAAGTAATGATGACATGTTTCGACGGTTAACGGTGCCCCATTGTTTTTAGCATCTTTTATCAATGGTAGAGCGTCACTGGCTGACAAATGAACTATATGACAGCGTACCCTGAACATTACAATGTCATTTAATTTGTAGTAAATTACAACGATGACAGTTAATGTCTTCGTTATACTCACTTATATAATTTGCACAACGTGGAAACCGCTTTTATGGCATTGACCTCCATCTCGGCAGGTCGGGAACGAAGAAAGGTTTCATAAAGCATTGAATCACCTAGGAAAAAAAATATATTTTGCAAAATACTGAATTTTTTATGACAAAAGTAATCCATACACTTACCATTTGACACATCCACTGGTTTCGTCAACTCTGTTTCTGCGTGAAACTAAAATAAGATTTAAAAAATTGATATTCCCCAGGTTATAATCAACACATTGAAAAATTTGATCTACCCAGTATTTACCGCCAAAACAGAATTAGTTGCTTTTAATTCCTTCAATGCTTTTTCAACATCAGGAAGATCAACGTGAGGAAATTCATCTACTCCACTGGGGCACAAAAAACATTTGAAACCAACAACTCCAGCATTAACAAGCTCCCGAAGGTCTTTCTGACAAAGTAATTGATAATGAAAAAATGTAGTAAACCCTGCTGGCCCATTTTTAATTCACTGAAGATGTACTAACGTCATTTCCTGGTATCACGCCACCCCAGAATCCAACGTCCACGTATACTTTACCCTCTGCTTTGTTCGCCTTCACCCTTAAATTTTGTAGGGTAGTAGTAGGCGGTATGGAATTTCTAAAAATTAAAAAAAATCAATCAAATTCCAATTAACCATCCTCAAGAGTGATGTAAATTGAATCTTACAAAGGCATATCAACAATTGTCGTCACTCCACCGACAGCTGCAGCTTTCGTTGCAGTACGAAAACCTTCCCAGTCGGTACGACCTGGCTCGTTCACATGAACGTGGGAGTCGATCACACCAGGCATTAAGACTGATGAAGCAAAATCTTCAACCAATGCATCAGGATATTCCTGTGGGATGAGATCAACATCAACTCAATAACGAGTAGCTTTATCAGATATTTCTTATTCTTTTACTCACTTCCAGTAGAGCCTGAATCTCATGTCGCCCTAACCCACGCACAATTTTATATATCTTTTCATCCCGAACGATCAAACCAGCTGGTTCCACGTTATCAGGAAATACAACTCTTTTGCTCAAGAATATTTTTATTGTACTATTACTCATGTCGAGTCTATTAAGTTACACGTTTACTCGAAACAGTCTGAAAAACCACTGCGGGACTACAAGCTTAGTAAATTACTGTAATCTTTGTATATAGTACAAAGGTTGAACTGAGTTATCTCCTACTATCGAATCGCTCTTACAACATTGCTGCATATAATTAAAGATAAAAAAGCTATTTGAAATTGGAAAAATTAATAAATACAAATTTTAAAATATTTTACTATCTCTATAAATATATTTTACTCGAAAATATAATTTTGATGACACATCTAGTGAATTAAGTGGTAGCGTAATACAGTAAACTAGAGAGGATTTTAAGAGGAATAGGTGTACATTTTATAGACTTAAAATATCCCACTTATATGTATATACGTGAGGCCTTGTCAGTTTTATTTAAACAGTATAACCGGGAAACTTGGCAAGCATGGGTTCTCCAAGATCAATAAGAAAGTAGATTGTGCCAGCGAGGCCTGCAACATTATGTACAGAAGATTGGATGATTACACGATTTAATGAATTGGAAGTTACACACTTAACGGATTAACGTGGCGTAATAATCGCGCCGTTGAGCATGAGACATTCACTTCAGTTTCTAAAAGCATTCAAATTCGCTAAATTCAAACTCACCTTCGAACAGGGAAAATGGTCTGTCAGGTATACGATTTTGATGAGTTCCATAATCCATACACCATTCAGCAAATTTGCAGGCTCTGTATAGATGCTTTGTATCCTAAAGGTCATTTATTTATAAATTTGATTACGCAAGTTAGAATTGTTTCAGGCAACTGTACTTATCGCTATCTCACAGATGTATCAAAATAAACGATAAATTGTTACCTTAGTCTCTTGAAAGAGATACAAAAATGTATAAGCATTTCCAGAAACGCCGTGGCATAATCCGTATCCTTTTTTTAGTAATCCACGCAACCAAATGACTTCACCACATTGAACGGCTGTATCCAGATATTTTTTATCTTGAAATACCTGAATTACATATAAGTTTTATCAATGTAGATGCTCAATATGATAATCATAGTCATGCAATCTCAATTTAAAAAATTTTACCTTGTACGCGAGACAAAATAACATGGTCATGGAAGGTGCACCGTGACACCAATGAACTAATTTATCAGACTGGCTACCAACGGATGATGGAAAATTGCCAGATGGATATTTCAGTTTTATCAGGTACCGTAAAGCTGGTTGAATTACATCTGATAGCTGTGACTGAGTTAAGTATTCTCGAGCCTGAAATATTTGAATGTAATAAATCACTCCGGCAGGATTGTTTTTTATTGCAGATTCAATTAATCTATTTACGCCACGTACTTGCAACAGAATGTACAAAATTCCAGCTAACCCATGAGCACCGCCAAGGTATTCTTTGTCGTACCAAGAATACATTATAGGAGATTCGCATCTTGTCGCTGCAGAATATTTCCTGCCTGATTTGATGATAGATGCAATTACCTAAGAATAAGGGATAATCGGTCGCACTTTCTAGACTCGTAAAAGTCTCCATCTTAGTTTTCTATGAATACACAGCTGTGTACCTTCCTAATAAAATCGCCGTCGAACGGAGCAGGAGAAATATGCGAGTTTACGTATAAAATCGTAAAGAGATAACCAGATCTGCCGTAAAGCAATTCATCTGGCAAATCGCTATCATCCTCTAATACGTATTTCGACATGGATCTTAATCTGCAATCAAATATAATTTCAGACATATCCATACCAGTAAGTTTTATTGTGATAAACTGACCTCTCAATTAGATTCTTCGATTCTTCCCGATCAAAGTGCAAATGATTGATCACTGCTCCAAGAGCAAGTGGCCCTGCGATTCCGGTAAGGAACGTAACGTGTCTTTTGCCTTTTGCTTTTTCCAAACTTCCACGAATCAATTTTGCAGCTCTCTGAAAGTATATCAAATATTAGGATATTCTCAAGTATACATATAGAAGATATATAATTATGATTACCATGATGTAAGCATCTTCATGAAAATATTTTCCATAATGATAAAACAAGTATGCTATTCCTGTTACTCCAGTATAAATGGAGTAATCATCGAAACTCCAGTGTTTTTCATTCCTTTCCAACATCTGCATCAAAACTTTGATGTTCGATGTAAGTTCTTCTTTGAAAGTATCTTGGATCTGATATAAATAAATATAAAAGTACAATCAATGAACGCCGTTGAAACTTTAAGACTTATAGAATACTTACTATGTTCTTATCTTTGTCAACGATACTATTGTGTTTTGTACTGGAGTAATCGTCATAGGGATTGGCATAATGCCTAGAGCTTTCCGTCGAGGAAGTCGAGGATGATCCTGTTGAACTCATTTTTAAAGAAATCCTGGAAGCGCGCAAGTAGAAAATTTGTCTGTTCAAAGAACGAAAAAGAAAATTCATGTCATTCAATTATTCTTGATGTATGATAATTTCTAAAAGAAAAAGAATTCTTTATGAACTGTACTTCCATTCGTATCATTCTGGGGGATACAGTATGCTTAAACGACGAAAATGAATATGATTTATTACAAAAACTTTGATAACGCAATTGACTTTTATAGGCAACTCTCAATCGTAATTATAAGCCAACGATAATTCAACGTCTTAAATGGAATCAGTCGATATGTACGAGAAACGCAGAAATCTTTTATGGGACAATAACGACAGCAAAGAGAACAGCCAGAGGATAAATTGTGAAAGAAAATAAAAGTCAGAAAGAGTGATACTGTGAATTCCTCTAGAATGCTCATTAAGTGCTTTTGCATTCTTCATTTATTGTATCATTATTGCAATGGACTGGAGTCACTCAGCGACGAATATGATGACTCCATCACCTACGGAGAAGTCGTTCAAGGATGGCATCAACTGAACGAAGTTCATCATGTTCTAAAGGAAGAACGACCATTCTCAAATGTCAATCTTGACGTTTACGAGCAACTAACATTTAATTGGCCAACTGATGCTAATTCTGATAATAGTGAAATCACTTTTCTGAAATGCACCAACCGCACCCCTTGCGCAGCCAAAATTGTGATGCATGTCACCGAGGGAGGAGTTGGTGCAAGCACATTTACACTGCATGTTATGTTCACACCAACGGGTCTCCAAGAGGAAGGAACTTGGATAATATTATGTCACATCTATACATCTAAATATTATAAATATCCAAACCAGCAAAAAGTCCCACCCTCTCAAGAAAATTCTAAAAATCTTATGGATATTGATTTAATATCGAATATTACTGTAGAATATCGAAGTATAGATAAATAGAGAAATGTTTAAAAAGTTTATCCAAGTAATTGTTCTTCCTTATAGGATTTATTCATAGGAGTAGTACGATGCAGGATAATTTACAGTTGTTCAGCCAATATATCTGCGAAGTGCGCGGTTACGATTTCCTTCCATTGCATTGGTCATTAGTGTGATGACCAGGGCTGATGATATCCGGTAAGCAAATCTAATGATACCGACGTTAAGGTCTTGTGCGAAGAATCCAGTAGTAGTATTATTTTTGCCAATTGTGTTGATTGCACTCTGGACATATCTATCTGGAGTAGGTACCAGGTATCCTTTCGGAGGAGAGTCTGCTGTGTGATTTGTAACACTAACAGGCAAGAGACATTGGATTATGATGCCACGTTTACCATATTCAACACTTAAGTCTCTGCTGAATTTTAGTACGTAAGCTTTGGTTGCAGCAAAGACAGTTAACAGAGGACTTGGCATTACAGCTGTAGAAGAAGCTACATTCACGATTACACCACGTCCACGTACGACCATTTGTGGTAAGAGGATACGGCACATATTTGTCACAACGACTACATTGCATTGGATTATGTTCATGTAGATTTTCTCCTTGTGCGGCAAGTCCAGAAAGTATTCAGGATGTGGATAACTCATACCTAGACTATTGACCAGGATCCCAATTTCCAGACCAAACATTTCTTTCTCTATAGCACTATATGCTTCCAACCCTCTCGCCAAGTCTAGTTCAATCAATTTAGTCTTGACATTATATGAAGATTCTATGTTATTAGCAATGGCATCTAATTCTTGAATGTTAGGACTTATTAGGACAACATTCAGTCCCAGCTTTGCAAGTGCCTCTGCATAAGCTTTGCCGATACCATGAGTGCAGCCGGTTACCACACCCCATTTTCCCATGGAGTATAGGTCGATAGACATGCGAGAACTGAAAAATGTCTTGTACAATCTGTAGATAATGTTCTTTGACAAGCAACATCCCCAATATACTATTGCAAAATAACCAATCTTCTCAACAAGGGGCATATTATTTCAAGTCAATCCCAGCATCCGATAGACTCACATGATGTTAACAGAAATTAAGATAAACAGAGCTGTTTCTACTGCCGTTTTTGAAGCATACTTTCCGTAATCTAACGTATTAGACACCCAACATCCGTATTTGTGACATGCCAATTTACATTCTAAGATATTGTCTGTCGAATTTGACAAGCTACATAAATAGTTGAAAGGACTGATTTCATTGTTGACAAGAGACGTGTAAAAATATGAATAATTTCTTTTAATCTTGTTAGGATAAGTCAATAGCATTGTCTTCAGACTATTCAGGAATTTCATAAGTGACATAATAAATATTGACATACCAATATCTGGTTAAACGATGAATCTAATCGCAATTCTAGCCGGATTGTTTACACATATACATTAGCGGTTCTTCAAATTTATGACAGTCGTAATAAGATAGAATAAAGCATTGGGCAACCATATACTAGAAGTTCCATCCGGTGTTATAAAATCTGTTGTGCAGCATATGGTAACATTGAGGTCAAATGATCGTATTTTGTAACGCAGAGTTTATGGCACAACGTCAGCTGCCTCTTTTTATCCATTTAACTCGTTAAATGTACGTTTCTTTGCTCCAAGACAAAACTATTTGCATCCTTGTAGTACTTGTAATGTAACGTTATTCAATATGCACTTTATTGCAGAATCGTATCTTTTGTATAATCTGTCAAAAGCGCATCTAGTCAAAAATATAATCCTAGTGTTGTATGAGTCATGACACTTCATGATAATTTGTGAAATTAGTGTCAAAAATGGGTCAGCCTTTGGATGATGCTTTAAACGCAGCACGACGAGCTGTGCAGTTTGACACTGATAAACAATACAAGCAAGCATTGTATTATTATGGAGTGGCTAGACAATTTCTTAGTAGAGTATCTCCGAACTCTTTACTGGCCCAAAAAGCTGAGGAGTACCAAAATCGAATTGCTGCCATTCAACAACTTAGTGAGTATTCTTCTAATATCATGCAAGTCGGATTAATAAAAATTAAGTTCTTACAGTTGCGGAGGAAGAAGAGAGGAAATGCAAGTCTGTTAACTTAAAAGAAACTGAATTACAAAGATGTAAATTTCTCATGAGTCAGGCACTGGATGCTGATGAAGCAGGTTGTAAAGACATTGCCATAAATCTTTATACGGATGCAGCTGAGCTTGGATTAAATGCGGTAAAAAGCAATAAATCTTGTAAGCAATAATTATAATATATTTAAACAACAGTCTTTATTCTCCTTTAGAAAACATCTGATCCTGAGGTGAAAGCTAAATTAACAAATCTTATTCGTCATGCTGTCGAAAGAGCAGAGTCTCTAAAAGGTATAAAGTCACCTCAAGCTACTAACAATGTTAAATTAAATGACATACCAAACTTGCCATCAGTACCTGAGACAAGTTTACCAAGTCCTACGATATCTGTACAGTCAACATTTGTAGAACCAGGTATAGAAAACAGCTTAAACTAATCTTATATTGTATCCCAATTGAAAACTCACTTCTTTATAGAAAAACCAACGAGACCACAATTGCATCGCGGCAGCAGTGCCCATTTACGTGTTACTGGTGGTAACAGTGGTTACACCGAGGAAGAAAAACGCGTGCTACTACACAGTTCTCACATAAATAACAATGAATTCGTGCCTTTCATGAGCGTCGATCTTACTGAGAAATTTCAATACGCAATTCCATTTACGGACAAAGATGGACTGTTAGAATTAGCACCAAAACAAAAGCCTGATTTCGCACGGTGGAGTCGGCCAGAGGAATTATTCTCCGAGCCAAAAATGGTTATGGGGAACCACGTGGATTACTACAGTATCAAGCAAACGGTTAGTCAATATAAATGCCCATAAAAAATCAGGCTTCGTGCTATAAAAAAGCTTCTATATAATTTTTCAGGTAGTCTCAGATTGCTCCTTCGTTGCATCATTGGCTGTGAGTGCTCAATACGAGAAGAAGTTTGGTCGTAGACTAGTTACTTCCATTATTTATCCAAAGAATAGGAAGAAAGAACCAATGTACAATCCATTTGGTAAGAGCAATTTTAAAAAGTAAAAAAATTTACAATAATCGATAATCTTTCACTTGGCATAGGAAAGTACATGGTGAAGCTACACGTCAATGGTATACCACGAAAAGTAATAATAGACGATCAGTTGCCAGTGAGTCGTTACAACCAATTGCTCTGTTCCTACTCTAGCAATCGTGGTGAACTTTGGATATCCTTGCTCGAGAAGGCATACATGAAAGTCATGGGAGGTTATGACTTTCCAGGTTCCAACAGTGTAAGTTCTCCCACCCAGCCTTAGCGATCTTTTTATTCAAAAATATGACACTGACTAAAACTCTAGTAGGACCACTAAGATTCTTTCATTCCCAGAATATCGATCTGCATGCTCTAACTGGATGGATACCAGAAAGATGGGCGATAAGACCAAACGAGCCTGATTTCAATAAAGACAGCCTCTTTGATACGCTTTTATTACGATTGCATAAGGGTGATGTTCTTGTTACGGTAGCCACTGGTGAACTATCCGACGCCGACGCCGAGCGTACCGGCCTGGTACCGACGCATGCTTATGCGGTTCTAGATGTCCGAAACGTAGACGTAAGTATTTCTATACCTTCTATAATTTTTTTGTTTGTTAACTATCACTTTGCTTTTACAGGGAGAGAGACTTTTACAATTAAAAAATCCTTGGTCCCATCTAAGATGGCGAGGAAATTATTCAGAGCTTGATACTAGCCATTGGACTCCAGAATTGAAACAGGCCTTGAATTATGATCCAGATTCCGCATCGCAATTTGACAATGGAATCTTTTGGATCGATTATAACAGTATATGTCGTTATTTCGATGTCTTTTATCTAAATTGGAATCCTGGATTATTCAATTACACATACTGTATACATCAGTGAGTTCATAAGGATATGAGCTTAATTGACAATTATGCATGCGACCATTACATCCATTATAAATTCTGAATTTCAGAAAGTGGAACGCAGGAATGGGTCCTGTTAAGGATGCATATAATATTGGAGACAATCCACAATTTTCGTTGGAAGTGCAACCGGATGTCTCGGGTGCAATATGGATTCTACTCACTAGACACATAACGGATATAGCAGATTTCCGACAAAATCAGGAATACATAACGATTCTGGTTTATAAAAATGATGGAAAACGCGTATATTATCCACGTCAGTCAACTCATCTATTATATCTGACAATTATAAATTCCTGTGATTTTCTTTATCATAATTATTCATTTCTTCTAGACGATCCACCGCCTTATATCGATGGCGTGCGAATAAATAGTCCTCACTATCTTTGCAAAATAAAACTCGGGCCAGGAAGTGCCTCGCGTTATACTCTAGTCGTGTCTCAGTACGAGAAAACAAACACAATTTATTACACTTTGCGGGCGTACGGAACTTGTGTCTTCACGTTACGAAAAATGGCTGAGCCGTATAAATATGAAAAAGAGGTAAAACTGTTGTAATCGTGATATTTAAATAATTGTTAATATTTTTATTCTTTCAAAAAGTATACGAATAATACCAGTAAGACTTCCCGAAGGTCACCGACGGACAGTGGAAAGGAATCACTGCTGGTGGATGTGGAAATCATCCTGAGACTTATCCAAATAATCCACGTTATCAATTAATCCTCGAGAGTCCAAATAACAATAATTGTCTACTTATAATACTAAAGGGTCCCAAGCAGTATCAAATTGGTTTTGAATTAATTACTATGCAGCTAAACGATCCGGAAGTATCAAATGCTTTCAAAACCAAGTCATCCGGACCTTTTCGGTAAATACTGTAATATGTTTGTGTATAAGAACAATAATTAATTTATGTTTTTATACGTTAATGGTTATCCTTTAGTGTTTGTACGAAATTCACTATTTATACAAAATTTTCAGGCCTGGTTTTGTACAGCTTGAACTGGAAAATGTGCCTGCTGGAACATACGATATTGTTCCTTCAACATTCCTACCCGGACAGGAAGGACCATTTTTCTTGACCTGCAAGGCGTCTTGTAAAATACTGCTCACTCGCGTACACTAACGGAATACAGAATGGAGTAATTTTTTGCACAAAGCCGGCTTTAGCAACAATAATCACTTGTAATTATTCTCGGTGATGCAACAGAAATATCCGGTTGATAACGGACCGTGCGATAACATCGTTACGGCCAATTGATCGGGACATTACTAATTAAATTTTCTGTAATTGCCTAATTATAGCTGTTGAATTTTTTTAATTATTCATAATACCATGAAAGTATATTCTACGAGCACGTAGAAATAATTGCAATAAAGTTCTTTTTAGACTTTACATATATTACTATGAACACTTCAGGCCACCGAGCCGGCTATATTTTGTGAAGACGTGGGAGTCATTTGTCTTGTGTCGTAATGGGAAGCTGGTTGAGCAGATCTAATTGCTTGTAAATACTGTTCTTCCTTGAAGTTTTCAAGCTTCAAGCGTAATTCGTTAAGACCAATTTGCACAGGATCGAGGAAGTTTCTACTCTTTGACAGGACTTCTGCGATCGACTCTAATAATACTGGATCAAGTGGTGGTGGTGATGGTAGATCAGCCGATATTCTACTGGAAGCTCCACTATCGCCATAGCCCTCATCGATACTTCCTTCCAATATCTTGCTTACAGACATTGACTTTAATTGATCCTTAAGATCCTGGATGAAAATACAATCATATTAGATATCGAGCTGACTATTGATATACTCTATAAGGCATCTAGTGAAAATTTAATCACCTTGTTTCTTTCCAATGCACGTTTAAGACACTCTCGTATCGAGGCATCTGTTTCCGTTTTCTAAGGAAAAAAATTGAATATTTTTATTTGATAGCGAATCTTTATGTCGCAAAATTATCTAGTATTATCGTACCGCGTCGTGGAGTTGATGCTTCATTCGTTCTCGACGAAGTTGATTTTCAAGAGACTTCGCCTTGTGCTTGGCTTCCCGTAGCTTTTTAAAAAGAGAACTATTGGCTGCGAACGACAAACTTTTCAAACGTTTATTTTCGTTTTTAATCTCCTGCATGGCAGTGAGCTCTAACTCGAGTTCTGAATTTCGGGTCTTCAATAGTTTATGCTGAGCAAGCATTTTATTCAGCTGTGACCGCAACTGTATTATCGCCTGCTCCACTTGTCCCTGTTCTTGCTTAGACGTTAACAAGGTTGCTTGCAAAATATCTTTCTCTGCTCTCAGTTTCTGCATTTCGAATCGAGATTCACTCAAGTGTAGGGTGATTTCATTTTTATCTGCTTCATACTTTTGTATACTCTCCTCCATTGAAGATATGAACATACGATGCTTGCTTAAAGCATTTTCTACTGAAGTCTTTTCCACTTGACAACTTAATAATTGTTGCTCCGTTGCCTTCAGTTTTGCTTTAGTATCACGCAGCTCTTCTTCTGTGGCTTCCAATTTGGTAGACAAATCAGGTGAAGCTTGCATCATTGGTATCATTCCTGTAGGCACGCTACTTGGTTTACTTTTACCTTGTAATACATAGAGTTTCTCTTCAAATTCATGCTTTTGATTTTTAAACTTTTGTACAAGTTCAGAATAATCTACATTCAATTGATTGCATTGTGCCGTTAAATTCAATACTGTTTGCTGTCTATACCTAGCAATTCCTTGATAAGTATCTATTTCAGATTGCAAAGACTTTCTCATAGCTTGCAGCTCGTGCAGTTGTCCCTGATACCATTTTGTGGAATTCTCAGCAATTGTACAGCGACTATTGGCATCCTTTATAGCATTCTGCAGCTTCTGACGTTCTTGTAGTGCAGCCTGAGCCTCTATATAAAGTTCGGTGATCTTATCTTTGAGGCCCTGATTTGCTGCTATCTTTGCATTGAGTTCTATTCGAACGTTTTCCAGATCAACTCGTAGCCTTTCATTATCCAGCTCCAGAGAGGCTACACGTTTTGAGAGTTCTACACTGGAGGTATCAGGTGTGGACACGTGCCGCAAGCGAAACTCATCCGTAATCAATTGTAAAGAATCTGTAGAAGTGATCGAGTCCAGCTCGTACCTGGAGGAGTCTGAGAAATTGTCCATCATTGAATAGCACAATATTAACAGATGGATTTAGAGTCTCAGACTAACAAACTCGACACGTAAAATCCTTCTGTCCTTTCTGTTTTCTTGTAAAAAAGATCTGACCTACAACAACCACCTGCCATTCTCCAAGCAGAGAGAAACTTCTTAAGCATATATCGTCACCATAAATGAATATATCTCTTCATTACGTGAATATAACAATGTTAATTTAGACAACAATATGAGGCATTCGTTTAACTTTTTATAAACGTAAACGTCACTATCCGAAAATATCGTGAAACGCCCCAAAAGTGCGAATAACTAAACGGAGCAGCAATCTCTGCGCAAATTGATGTTTTATATTCTAAACGTTGGTACCTCTGAAGAATTAGTATCAATATACAAAATCATATCACAAATATCTTCTCTGTTTCTCGCCTTCATGTCACGGTACCAGTTTGTACGGATTCCCGGAGATTTAATTAATTAGGATACTTTCAAATAAGAAAGATCACTTGCGCAAGTCCATTTTTTTTAGTTCTTATTCGTCTCCACTCGTACTGTAGCGAAATTCGCTTGTCTATTCTCCGGTTAATACATATAACCTAATTTATGTTTTAATGTTTTCTTGAACAACAAAAACTTGAATAAAAGTGTAATCAATCATTTTCACGTTTAATTTAAGTTTTTTTTATTCCGGGTAGACATGTCGGACAATAAAAAAGAAAATAAGGATCAGGATAAACCATTCGTGGCAAAAAGTGCAGTTGATCTTCAAAGATTGAAGCTCATGAAACTTATGAAAAATCCTGTAAGCTAGCTTTATAAAAATTCAAACTCACGTTCGTCTGCCTAAGATTTCCTTGTTGAATATTCTTATCTTCTACAGGAGAAGCCAGTTTTATTGCCAGAGCGTCCAAAGTCGAAGAATACACCGAGCGTCCCGGAATTCGTGAGGAATGTTATGGGAAGCAGTGCCGGCGCCGGCAGCGGCGAATTTCACGTCTACAGGCATCTTCGTCGTAAGGAATATTCACGACAAAAATTTATACAAGAAAAGGGTCGAAAGGTACTTAAACACTTTTTGATGATCTGGTTAAAAGCTCAACACATCGTGGAATACGTTAAAAATGAAATTCGTTATATATTGCTAGGAACTCATGGATGAGGAGTACCACAGGAAATTAGAAGAAAATAAAAGAAAATGTGAGGAATTGACAGCAAAGAGACGTGCAAAGAGGCTGAAGAAGAAACAGAAGTCTAAGCAGAAAAAGAAGCTCAAACCAGAGGACAAATCGAAAGATGTTCAAAGTAACCAGAATGAACAGACTGATACAGAGGAAGACTCTGAAGATGAAAGAAAAGATACGGAAGATGAAAAGGATGACTCAAATACAGTAACAAAAGATTGTAGTGAGAAAAAAGTAGATGACAATGATAAAAGTAATGAACTCAATACTGATGAGACAGAAGCATCAAAATCTAATACCGAAGAAGTCTGTGATAATGAAAGTAAAAAAATTGATAACGAAGGTGAAAGTAATGATGACACGTGATAGCATATAAAATCTTTTCATATAATTACAATTACTATACATTTAAAAAGCATCAACGCTACATTGACATGTACGAGTACTCAAGATTGCTATACATTGTGAATTTAGTGAAGAAACATATTTATATGATAAACGTGAGTAAAATTATTATAACAATTCCTATTTCATTTATTCTATTCAAAGTTAACTAGCACCTTGTTTCTTAAAAAAAATATAAAAATTGAAAATATGGCAATTCATTGACTTTTCAAAGTGGTGCTCATTAACACAAGTGCGACGTCGCACTTAAATTATCATATTGATCCGACCTTTCGAATAATTCTGCCAATGAACTTGCTGTTTGTCGCTCCACAGAGTTCAATGCGCTTTGCGCGTACTTCCTTAGTTGCATTTTTGCTTTCATCAAATCTCCTGATTTTTCAGGCAGAATCCGTTCCTAAATATACAACACATAAGACATATTTGTTCTGTAATATTTGTCTCTGGTAATTCCGACCTACCTGGAACGGTTTCATGTAAATTGCGATATCTTCTATGTGGTCACCAACTTCTGTCCAAATATTAGAAATTTCAGACATATCGGTGCGTAGAATTAAATGAGCAAACGTAAGGCACAGCTGAAAGATTGACAAAATTAAAATTGTACATAATAGTGATAAAAGCAAGTGCAAATACATACTTGCTGCACAAGTGCATCCTGATGAGGATACTCAACGTATCTAGGCACATGTTGCGAATTTTCAAAGGCTAAAATAATACTCTTCCAAACTGTAAATGTATGCTTTTCATAAGTGTCACATACGGAAAGTGCCCACGCGGCGTTAGTTCGCACTTTGAAATTTGGACTATGGCAAATAAGATTGCACAACGCTGGAAATACCTGATCCTTTAAAAAAGAAAACCAATGAGTCACTTAAAAATTATACAAAATATACTAAAACTCTACAAAAATAATTTAGATGCATACCCTCCAGGATTGGGGTAGAATCCGATCAGGATTTTCACTAAGAACAAATCCCAAGGCGCGACAAGCATTCCACCGTACCTGATAATAAAAACTGTTTTTAGGATACTTTCAAAATGACAGTAATCCACTCTAAATTAATAATTACCTTCATATCATTCCCTAATGTAGCACAACTGATAAGGGCATCTAATCCTGACGTGGTATCTTGTAAAATCTGTGAATCTGGACACAAATGCAATATGCATCCCAATGCTCTCACTGCATTACACTTGACCTTATCGCTATCCTTAGCCGCCTTTACACTGGCCTGGTACAGTTTAGGCAAAACAGTCTCCGCAGGTATTTGCTCTACCTCCTTATTATCTCTTTAATTAATAATAGACACTGAGGCTTTCAATAATTCAAAATAAAATTATACAATCCGTGCAAACAGATAACTTACTCTTGCCTAACTAAGCAGTCACATAAATTCGCAAGCGTCCATGCAGCTTTAACACGGACTCCAAGATTTTTGTCATCTAAACCAGTGCAAACGATATCCGCCAAATCCATAAGAAATCCAGTGTCGTCTTCAAGGGTTGGTAGAGTTACGAGCATGCCCAGTGCTCGTAGAGCAGCTGCCCTTACTGCACTCTCTTCGTCGCGAACCGTACCGAATAGTATAGTGATCACTAATATACTCTGTTGTCTCTGTAGTTAAATTATTTGTTACCTTTTTTTATAAAAATTTAAATTAAAAATGTAGTCTTACCGATAATTCTGCAAACATTTTTGAACCTATATTTCCTAGACAATCGCAAGCAACTTCTCTCAAAGAGGTTTGCTCATGCTGAATCAAGGAAATGACAGGCTCGAAGACAATATTCCAGAAAGGAACTAGATTAGTATCATTGTCTATCTGCGAATTTCCTAGACAACCAGCAATGGTTTCAATAACTTTGCAAGCTTGCAAGGATATCTGTGTATCAGCATCGCGGGTCGATCTGACTAACGCCGTGGCAACGACTCCCAAGTGGCTAAATACAATATTTCGAACATTAAATGCCAGAACACCGATAAGCTTCAAAGACTGAAGCCGCACAGGAATATTTGCTGTCTGAAAGAAACGTTTTCTTAATATTCCTTTATAAAGAATTGACCTCGAAGATTACATACCTCGTTTGAAACATTCTTGAGACAAATATTAAGCAGAGAACTGATTTTTCTGTCCTGAAGATTCACATCGGAACAGTTGTATTCTGCTTCACTGTCTTCATAATTTATAACTTCAAATTCTACTTCCTCCTCTGTGTCAATGTCACTAGTTGCACTGATATTTGTACAAGGAAATTCACTGTCTGTACCAGTCCTAGTTTGTTTGGCAAGAATAGATAATATTTCAGGAGTGATAGGGTCTGATGATGACAATGCTTCGAAAACTGACAAAGCTTGAACCCTCACAGTGGGATCTGAAAAAGAAAAACAATCTTTATATGGGTTCCTAGGAAATATTAAAGTTGCCAAGTATCGGAACAACACCAGACCTTTATGAAGTATCTGCGGTCTACAATTTCTTGTGAGTTTAGTAGCCAGTCCAGTCTTAAGTCTTGCGTAGGGTGTACATTGTGCCAGTGCGGCAGCACATTTTAGAGCTTGTGTTAGAACAGCCACGTTTTTTTCGGTGCTCAAGAGCAACGAGATAGCGAAATGCAAATCACGAATCATTGCACCAACAGTACCAAAGAAAGTAATGAAAGAGGAATGTTCGACATCTTCTGCGTGAACGAGAAAGAGTCGCGCACCTAGTAAAAGTTCTATGATGGTACTGAGTGCTTTTTGTCGAATTTTCGAAACTGGTTCTCTTAATATACATTTTGACAGGACGCGTGCATCGTTTCTCGAACCATTGGCTACTATTTGGGACCAGTAACCAAACATTTCGCGACTCGGTGTATTTTGCACTATTGTATACAGCAAGTGCACAGTTTCTGCACGAACTTTTGCCTCTACCTGAGCGGCATTGAAGGTTTCAGTATCCGAGGTATCCGAATCGCTTGATTGCCTCATTGCTTTGCAGTCAGCGAAAGCGCTATTTGACTTTTCTATATTATTATTGCTCTTTTTTGATTGCGGTCTTCGGGATTTTGTTTTATGAGTACCGAAATTTCGCTCTCGTGGTATAGCGTGCACTGGTTCAGGAAGGTTCATTGCCGCTGGTCGAAGTATTCGTGGTTGCATAGGTAAATAGCCTTTTATGCCATGGAATAAAAAGGACTGTATTACTCCTAAGACTTCGCCTATCACGTCTGGACCGTTGGATACTGTGCTATCCGATATGACGACTCGAAGAATTCTTAGACAAGAACTTACGATCTGAGAATAGTGAAGATTTTAATATTTATATGACGAATATGAAAAATCAATAATTAAAATATTGTTTATTTACCCTATTGTAAAATTGCTTGTCTTGATTCTCATAAGACAGTGTTGAAATGACATTTAGAGCAATGTCTTTTATTATGAGCATAAATTCATGTGGAATACTAGCACTACTAGTTTCCTTATTCAGTAGAAGAGCCTCAATGCAATATATTGCAAGGCAATTTGTTTCGCAACATTTGCCACCTTCAAAGTTTAAATGCTTTCGCAAAAGACCCTTATCGCCTAATAAATTTCGCAGATCCTAAAAACGGTTTTAGTCATTGATGGTTCGTAAATAAATATGAAAAATCATGAGCAATTTAACAAAATTTACTTGGTTTATGGTATCAAATGGTCCAGTACTGAGAAGATTCTCTAAAGCAAGAAGGATATCCTTGTGAGCATCTTGTTCAGAAAATTCTAAAGCTTCCGATAGCCATCTTTTGCACACTGAATATGTGCGGCCTTGTAATCTGACACCACCTTTAACCAGGTTAACAAGAACCTGACAGTTACTTTTAACCAGTAAAGTTTCTAAGGGTTGTATGAGGGTGCACAGCTGATTAACCAGAAGCATAGCAGCCTAAACAAGAAATATTTTAAAATAAAATAAGCGCTCCATATTTCTGTAATATCAAGAAGAGTACACACTCCATTATACATGCTTTATAATTATATGTCATGAAGTAAATTTTTATACAATCTGATAAACATTTTCATATGAATCATACAGGTTACTCACATCACTATCAGATACGATTGGAGTCCTGTAGTCGATTCCATTTAATTCACTCAGATAAGTCTGTATCGTTTTCTTATCACAAACCCTATCATCAGTCGCGTTAAGTAACTTTTTTGTGATCATCGTAAATTTAGCTGCTGCATCATTTACTGACGTATTCGGCAAAGAAGCCATGATTATTTAGCTGTCAGAATATTGAGATAAAATATTCAGAGCACATGGCCATAGATCAGAAAGCAAGATTTAGGCCATCTACCCTTGAAAGTTTAGAAACAGGTATTCTAATTCTGCAATGCATCATGGGAAATATGTGTCAGGCAGAGGCGCCTCCACCAGTATGTCTAACGTACTATCAGAGTTTCATGGTACATTCGTGCTAATTTTGAGTATGTCCGATTTCAAATAAGAGACACCTAAAGTTACCGGATCCGAGAGCAATTTCCCCTTCATTTTAGTGATATTGGCTGGACAATAATATTTTAATCTGTATTTTAAGATTAGAATACCTGTTTCTACAACACCTTATTACAATTGGTATAATCTTACGCCATCTAACAGTTTATCATTTAAATTATACAATATACCATAGTATGATACAGAGAATGTGTGACCGTTGACAGAACGAGTAAGTAGACCGGGCATCTTATGGGATAATCAATTTTCATTCCTTCAAGGGTGTGACACAATTTTATCTTATCCAGTTAAACATAATTCGTACAAGATAAAAGAATTCAAAATATCGTATAAGTTATGTTCATTTGAGCTACCAAAGAATTCGTGCAGTTACAGAGGACAGGTCTAATAGATAAAGTATAGGATAATTCAAAGAACAAAAATCAAGATCAGTGTTCCCGATCATCAGCTGGGAAATGATTTGAAACAAAACTACTACAAACTATCTGACCGACTGATAAAAGAACGCAGCGTTATCACCGTCGACCGAAGGAAAGTAAAGGCGCTGAAATCATGCTCCATTCCGCAAGTGGGGAAGGAAGGCAGCAGAAGGCAGCCAATGAACGTGTAGACGATCCTCGGGTCGTAGTGGCTGGCTCGCTGGCTGTCAGTTAGTGAAGCAAAGCAGAGAAGGCTTCTCGGAGTATCATAGGGCAACGGTGCGCGCGTATATAATTGAAGTCTGGTGTCGGCGCGTTGGTGCATCTCCTAAGGTCGGAGAGGACAGACAGCAGACGGTGTAGTCGCGCGATGATAGGGTCGATCAGTGCGAGAATGCAGGCATAGTGGGCCCGGGTACAATGAGCGTTGGGGAACGAAAGCAAGTGGTGCGCGGTGCGTAGCATTTCAGTGGCGCGCCAAGGGCCCGGAGTGCAAGACTACCGTGGCCTTTAGCGAGAGGGACCTTAGAGACGAAAGAAAATAATAATCTAACGCTTCCAACGGCGATAACCGGGACGTTCGCGTCCATCGGATACGTCGTCGTTTTACTGCCTCGCGGGTGAATAATCGAAGGAGCCAAACAGAACACTGTGAACAAGCTAGAAGGTTAAGGGGTATATTAGAGATCAGTGGAAGGCCATAGCTCTGTCCATTTGTACGTCTCTGTCTGTCTGTCAGTCAACCAATCAATCAGTCAGTCAGTCGGTCTATCGGTCAGTTCCGTATCGAGGGAATACGTTGTTCCGTGCGTGCGCGGCAATGTTGGTATCGGGCTAAAAATATGCAGTAAGGAGGGCTGTCAGTGGCGAAGGAACGTGTTGCGTGGCCGTGTAGGCCCGGCGAGGCTAGCTGCTGGCTGCTGAGTGTAAACCTGCCGTGACGAAGAGCTCGAGGTACCCGAGGAACCGAGCAAAATGGCGGACCTCGAGGCGGTGCTGGCCGACGTCAGCTACTTGATGGCCATGGAGAAGAGCAAGTGCACGCCGGCGGCTCGGGCCAGCAAGAAGATCGTCCTGCCGGATCCTAGGTATTAACCATCTTCCCGTCCTATGACATCTACGCGCGGTACACTGCGTGCAAATGTCACATCGCGATAAGCAACTCTCTATCTCTCTCACATTTTCCCTCTCGCTCTCCCATTCTCTTCCTCTACTCCCCTCTCTCACTCGCTCTCAATATTCCTCTCTCCGGCAGTCCTCCCATTACTTCCTCCTCCTTCCTGTTCCTTCGCCGCTGCCCTATCCCTCTCGACACCCTCGGCCACCCTCTTCACCCTCTGTCACCTCTATCCACTGCCTTCTCCTATTTTCTCTGCAGCTTATATATTCTGCTAGCAGTCTTACCCCATCCAAGCGTCATTCGAATCTTGTGCATAGGGTCGCCTCTTATACCTTGTTTGACGAGGAGACAAGAAAAGAAAACTAATGTTTACAAACTGAGTATCCTATTGAAAACTCTCTCTTTCACTTTTACATTCATATCCTTCCTTATATCACTCTCTTTCTCTATCCTCTCATGGCCTTTCTTTATATTGCGGAAGTAGATCTCTGACTGCATTCCTCTGTACAACACGAGTTCCCTCTTATGCTCCACGACCATTCCCTCCCGGGTGGTCCTCCCGTCAAACCTCCCTGACTTCCGGTAGATAGGTCATAGACGTCTCCCTCGTCGTTAAACCTCCTTCCTCGACACTACAAATCAGATTGATGTCACTCTACCCAGGTCTCTAACCTTATCTCCACTTCTCATTTACGAAAAGTGCTGCACGAGCGCTGGCGACGTTAACTTCGCGAGTTTCCTCGCTTATCACTTCCTGAGTCCTCGCTTTTTTTGCCACGATAAGCTCATCGTATTACTCCTACATTCTACTCTGCATGCTCGAAGAAATCGTGGCTCCTTTATGCCAGCATTTTACACTGACAATATCGTCCATCCTCAACGTCCTGTCAACCGACAAGTGAACCTCCTTTATGCTATGCTACGTTGTAATATCAGGACAGACACTCGTGCGCATAATAGCAGTAGGAATTACCGGTTCTTCGAGTACCATATCTGATCCGCTGGAATAATTGCACTCTGAAAACATTAACTAGTGACTGTTAAGGTGAAATCAACAAGATAAATTCTCGATTATGATTATCACAGACACTGACAATGTATAACCTAAAAATGACCAGGATCATTTTCCACGCCTTACTTTTAGCTAATCGCACGAGAGCCAAGAAGGCCTGACGCGTATGTACGCTTCATTGAAGACTTCTACACGAAAAGCAACCAGTAATGGCGATTCAAACGAGAAATGCTCGAGTGCGCGGAAGCAAATTCACATCCGAGAGAGGCGGCTCTGGCTCCTCGTAAACGCCAGGGCGGCCAAATGTAGGTCGGCGTAATAAATGGAGCAGAGATGGAATGGCCGGCACCGTCGGTTTACCACCAGTCAAATTCCAAAATGTTTCATCAAGTCCTCACTCAATTTTCTCTACGTATCATTCGCGGACTAGACCCAAGTAATTTTTTGAATTTTAATTGCTAGTGAATTGAATAATTCATTTTCGTTAGCTTCGTTTTTTATAATTCTAATCCAGACAGTTCGGAATTTTATGTGGAAGTCTGAGAATGAATTTTGAAATTACAATTATTCCTACGTCACGGACTGCAGTGCTCGGTACTATATAATGTTTTAATTATCTCTCCTCTTTTCCGTGCGTGTACCCTTTATGTATTTAGCTGTATCTTCGTAACTACATCACTCTGGATTACCAGCAGGGAAACTTCATTTTCCCCGTGTTCGCAATTTTTTCCATAGTAACGTCCCCATGGCCTTGTGTCAAGCTTGACATTTTTTACAAATGAAATTCCGTGAACAAAACCTAGAGAATCGAGAGGGATGCTAACCTGCGAGATTTATTCACTTTTTTTCTCACCCTCATATCGGTCACGCTGTTATCTATCCCCTAGCGTATACACAGGGTCTATACGAATACTACGTTAATCAAATTTTATCATATATCCCTCACGAATCTATTTGACCCAAAGCGTCTAGTAACGCTTGCTCTAATTAAATTGCACCTAATCGGGTAATAAGATGGCGGCGAATATTCTATTTTCCTATTTTATTTTTTTCTTCAAGGAAACCCTAGAAATTTGTCCCTGGGACGGTCGCCTTAATCCAGTGCAAATTAGTAAACGCAAATAGCGGCTCACCGATACTCTTAAAGAGTCTTACTCGATCGACCAAGGAATTCGTCAACCGCATAACCAGCAAACAAAAATAAAATTTACTTTGGTTTCTAGGACCGACAAACCTCATAGCTAGATTTTCATTCCGTCGTGACGCACTTGTAATCGCATATTACCCGGAAGCTTTACTCAGCCTTCATCCAAACGACGTCGAGTCAGCCACCGCCCGGAAGTTCTATATGGCGTACATAGAAGTCATTTTAGCAAGATCCAGGACTTCCCAGAAACAATCGGTTCCGATAATCAGATAAATTTACAGCATCCCAAAAAATCCCCTTTTATCATCCGTCGACCCATTCACGTTTCCAATTCGTGTCCAAGAGTACACGAGGATGAGGTGTTCCGGTAACTGAATTAAAATATTTTCCTTCTAATTTTAATTCTTACGGAATTCCAAGAAAACTAGAATTTTTAATCTTCCTTCTTCCCTTAGCCCACTTCCGGTCAATTCGACTCTAGGCGTATATACGTAGCTGCGTAACGAGACGTCGCTAAGTATTCCTACGTAATGCGTCCAGCAGAGGTATTAGTAGACGGGATCTTATTGACGCCAAGGCAGACGCTCTTAGTTTCTTGATTATTCTCTAGCGTCGCGGCGAACGTATTTCGTGCACAATTCAAAGTCAACATGCATCGGCTACAGCGTCGACACACTTTATGCATATCGTCTGTTGGCTGACGTCAAATCAACATAACAGCATATCGGCTTATCGTGACGTGACATCGCATGCGATGGCCTGACGTCACGCGTTGAGAAAATTGTAGCAAAAACAAAGATATATTTATATAAAACTCATCTCACTACAAGAGGCTATCTCGCTTCGTCGAATCAACGGGAAAAAAAAAAAGCTGAAAGATTCATCGGCATGTCGGCTGTACTGTGCGTACGTATTGCGTGGAGAAAATAATGAAGATATACGTGCACGTAATTGTACGTACAGGAGAACACGCAAGATGGTGCCGTGTATCCACTCAGAGAATCTATGACGTAAAGAAAGAATTCTTGTTTTTTTTTCCTGTTTATCTTCCTCTTCTTCATTCTTTTTCTTTCGTTTCTCTCGCTCCTCTCAGTCAGTGATTCGGTGACTTTGCAAATTCTCCTCGAATAGCTCATAGCCACACGGCATTTCTTACCTCTTTTTGACAGCGTGACGCACGCCATTGTCATTTAGATGTTCCGCGACGTTTCCTTCCTTACCCGACGGGACGGCATCCTCCCTGCATTAGCTCTTAAGACCCGACGACACCGACTACTACCCGTCGCTGAGATAGTAAACGAAGTCACGTACTACAAAGTTGCCGTACCAACCTCTCTGAGGCTTGGTAAAAAGCTGAAGAGCTTTTCTTCTCGTGGCTCTTACTTTTTTTTTCGCTCCCTGAACTCTCTCTTGCTCTTTGAACTCTGCGTGTATATATATAGGGCTTTCTGTCTTTCTCACAAGACTATCTTGGTTATTTGTCTACCTCGGCAACACTGCCTTCCACCTCCTCTCCTTCCGACGGAGTCTTTATCGCCTGCAACAGGGAACGACCTCAGCCCTTCAGAGCTTTTCGTGAAATCCTCCAACATTCTTACGACTCCCTGCTTCTTCTAATTATTTCGTTTAAACTCTTACCTCGACTTCGTACCTTATACCCCACTTCCTTGACGGCTCGAGAGGACCTCGAGGGCATCCTTCATACAGCACGGATTCCGTCTGGACTGCTCTTTCGCAGCGCGGCCATTTTCCATCCCACTCGGACGTCTACCCGTCGCTCAAAACGAATAACAAACTTAAGCCGTTATGGTCTGCTGACTTCTGGGCCGTCGCTAGGGTATAGCCGTTCGTACGAGCCGAGCACAGTGTCTAGTAGTCTTGCTAGAAGGAAATAACGAGTAAAAGAGAGTCTTGATATACACCACTAGGATTCTATATCGAGAATTTGAATAGTACATACAATCCGACTAAGCAGACAGAGTTGGGTTTAGCTACCGATAAAATCAATCGGTTCGATTACCGACAGGTAATGTCGGTAATGAGACGTTGATGCGACGGCAATTCAAAGGGGAGCGCGAGAACAATGGAGTCAAGCTAAACTACATGTGGAATAGGGTATATGAGCCCAATCCGTGAGGTCTAAGCCTTGTAATTTCGAAAGTCAATCCACGGAAGTTGGAACTGCGCCCGGACCTCCATCATCGCTATTATCATTATCCACTAGATAGATAGAGAGAGAGAGAGAGAGAGAGCTGGTGCAAAAAGCATAGCTACGCCGGGAGCAGATGGTGGAGAGTTTGAACCAGGTTGAGTTATTTGGAGGAAGAAGTCCCAGAATGTAAAAGGGCGGATGGAGATAGTAGTGAAGGAGTTACGGGAGTAGGATACCGGAAGAGTGTTCCAGTGCAGAAGAAAGAGAGAAAGAGAGAACAGCTTGAGAATTATTGGTAACTCTACTTGGATATCTAGGATACGTAGGCTATGTAGTAAGTATAGCTATAGTTAACCTAGAACTAGGTGGTCTGAACTGAAAAACTATGCCAATGGCGGACTTCGACCCGTAACCTCTTACACTTCCTATCCTCTTCCCGATAAACCCGGCACGTTTCGAAAGTTCGATTAAACTTCCGAAACTACTTAAATACGCGAGACCCCCTCGTATATAATCCCGTGCATATATATTTTTTAAAGCCTTCCCACGCTTATGTAACGCCATCTTCGTCACTCTTACTTTGCATGTAATTTTCCGTCTCTCTCGCTCTTCCGAGTCTTAGGAAATATACATAGTTAACCATCCAGCGTAAAACCC